TTAGTTGTAGGATAAGTTGACCAGAAGGAGTTTCTCTGACTTGGAATAATAGTTATATTCTCATCAACTCTTCTAAGAACTTTTTCTGTTTCAAGACCACTCTCAAGTGAATCATATATTTGATAAAGTGTAGGTCTATTGTTGAATGAGAGATTAGCAACAACTACCATTGGATCATCATTCTTGTTTAGTTTCTTAATAATTCCTTGCTTCTTTGATGTGATAGAGTTAAACCAATGACAATATGCTAGAGTATGCTGTTGTCTCACATAAATACAAACTGTATAACAACTACTAACTTTATCAACAAGTGCCATCCACTGCTTTTCATAAGAAGTTGCAAATGTTCTGCATTCATTCATGAACTGAACTGTGTTAAGAAGCAAGTTACTATTCCATTCAAATGTTTGCATCTGAGAAGAATGTACAGTTAGTTCTATCCTAGTCAAGCCAGAGTTTCTGCAAGCATACAATGTTTCTCCAAAGTTGTGCAAAGTTGGCATTACAAATTCAGAAAGTTTGGAACTAAGAGGATTACGAACTTCACCACTCTCAAGAAGCTGAATAAACTTGTTGTAAATTTTGTTCTTAACTTTAACATCTCCTTTCTTTGTAAACCAGCTAATACAGTTAGAGCCAGACTTGCGTAAATCATCTACAACATCTTTCTTTTCAACTCCTCTTTCTAAAAGGTATTTATAGATAATATTTCTAGATGACACATTCTTACAATCCATTGTGATATCATAATTTTGTAGATATATTTTGTAATCAGCCATAGCAGCAAACTTCACTGTTAACAAAGAACTAGCTATTGCAATATTTGGTGTAGATACTTTATAAATAGCAACTGGTCCATATTGCTCACTAATCTTACTTCTAACATACTTATAGCCAAAACCTTCTCCAAATACTTTATGCAATCTAACACTAGCTGACTTCTGCTTTACTTTTATATCTGATCCACTGCATTTCTCAATAACAACCTCAACAATGAATGAGTCAACAAATATTTCAGAAGAATGCTCAAATCCAAGTTGCTCTACACCTCTAGCAGTATACCTAGCATCAGCGACATCAGGCATATTTCTTCTTTCTGATAACACTCTTGATAGTAATGCTCTTAGTTCACTTTGGAAGGGGTCATTCCTGGACTTGTAAATTTTAGTTATTTGCAATTTTGTTAGATAGATATTTGAATAATCGTTTTCAAAACCATTTTTTGCTATTAGATATTTTTGGAACAGATAATTATAATTGTTGTGTCCAGAATGTTTTTGTGTGTATAATTGATTTTAAAAATACAAATATTTTTTTTGCCATTTCACCCAAACCGCCATCGGCATCTTGGAAAAGTTTCAGTGAACATAATTTCAACCAGAAAGAAAAACTTTGCATATTTGGGGTTAATTATCATTGGGCAACAAAAGTCAATATCTCAATAGATGTGGCTAAGCAACCACAAGGAAATTATGTTCACTGAAACTTTTCCAAGATGCCGATGGCGGTTTGGGTGAAATTTTTATTTCACTGAAATTGCTAATAGTTCCAGCATGCATAAATAGTTAATGGGCAGATAAGAATCTCTGTATAACCCCCAGGGGTGTTAGTATTAAGCATGTGTTTGATGTATGCAACTACAGTTGTGCAGATATGGAAGTAATGGTTGCCAACTGCCCATTTTAAAACTAGATCCTCTCAGTATGGATACTACGATTATGAATTCTAGTTACTTTAAGCACCACTTCTTGATTTGGTTGGCCAATAACAGAAGCAATACATTCACCAAATGGACTACTTGCCAGTACTTTGATAAGTATATGAGTGCTACTAACTATTTCATTGTGAATCATAGAAATATCTAGATAGTAGAAAGGTAATCCTCTAAAAGTATATAGGAAGTAATAACTAACTAAGAACTCATCACCAACATGAAGTATGTTGTAAGCAACTTTATATCTAGCTGGCTTGAGATCAGTATTTTCTCTTAAATATGTAGGTTCTAGATCATCAAGTTCAATATTGCTAATATCTGCAAGAAGGTCATCTATTCCTAAACCATCAGTATTATCACTAACAATTGAGAGAGTTGAAAGCCTAACTTTCTCTCTTGCTTGCTGAGCTGTTAACCAATCAATATGTATTCCACAATAGTTAATAAGTCCCATTTTAGCAAATGTATATTGTTGTCTTTCTCTTGAAGCAACTGGCCAGAAGGAGTTTCTCTGACTAGGAACAATAGTGATGTTTGTACTATCTCTTCTTAGAACAACTTCAGATTCAAGAGGACCACTACTAGTAGCATATGTAAGAAGAACAGTTGGGTGTCCATTGAATGTAAGATTAGAAACAACAGTCATCATATCCTCATTCTTTTTCAACTTTTTAGCTATTCCTTGTTTCTTCTTAGTTGTTTTATTGAACCAATGGCAGTAACCAAGAGAATGTTCTTTATGGAAGTAAATACACAATGTATGTTTGTTATGAATCTGATCAACTAGTGCCATCCATTGCTTTTCATAAGATGTTGCAAATGTCCTGCAGTTATGAAGAAACTCAAGAGTATTGACAATTAAGTTTGTGTTCCATTCTACTTCTTTCAACTCAGGAGAGTGAACAGTAAGCTCAAGCCTCATTAATCCTTCATTCCTACAAGCAACAAGTGTTTCACCAAATTGCTGAGAAGTTGGCATCACTAGCTCTGATAGCTTAGAAGTAAGTTGATTGCAAACTTCACCACTTTCTAAGAGTTGAACAAATTTATTATACAACTTGTTCCTTATTCTTATCTCATCTTCTTCAGTAAACCAGCTAATACAGTTTGCTCCAACTTTATTTTCATCATCAAGAATATCTTTGCTACTGATTCCATTATCAAGAAGAAATTCCTTAACAATAGCTCTAGAAGAAATATTTAGACAATCCATTGTAATATCATAGTTTTGAAGAAATACATGTTCTTGATGCATCCTAAGAAAGATATCAGTTAGTACAGGATCAGCTATTGCAACATTTGGAGCAGATACTTTATACACAGAGACATTACCATTTGTCACACTTGTGCTGCATCTTATGTATTTAAAACTATAACCATCACCAAATACTCTATGCAATCTATCAAAAGGAGTAATATTGTGAAGTTGATCCATTAGAGTATATGAGTCAGGAATCTCAACAACACATGAATCCATAAAGATATCAGATTGCTGAACAAATCCTTGCTGTTCGATGCCATTACTAGTATATCTTGCATCAGATATATCAGGCATATTATCTCTATTCTTCAACTCAAGTCCCAAAAGGGAGTTAAGATGTACTCTTAAGGAGGCCATTCACAAATAAGAAAGTTTAAAGAAACTTAATATCTTGTATCAGAATAACCAAGTATTAAATAACAAATCAATTACTAGCAGTTGAAAAATATTTTAAAAATCAGAATGTTTAGTGATGGCCAAAAAGATTTTAGCAACTAGATTAACTAATAAACAAAAATATAAGAATAGACACTTCTCCGAAACCCCCTTCGGCATCCTGAAAAATTTCAGTTGATACACAATTAATATGCTTCTACTGAGATACAGGCTGGGTCACAAGAAATCAACTGAAATTTTTCAGGATGCCAAAGGGGGTTTCGGAGAAGTTCAAAAAAAACAAAAGAACAAAAAGTTTTACAACTTCTAATTATTTTTTACTTAGTTTAGTGATTGTGAATGGCCTCCATTGGTGGGGCCTACTGTGTAGAAGGTGTGGTTGGGAGGGATGCCATTTGTGCATTTGGTGATGCCTCAGCCATAAGGATGGCTGGTGAGATCGAAACTGGTTGGCCATTAGAGTTGCATGGCTGGTCTGCCGATTGTGCAATGGCATGCTCACTCATTTGCACATCTAGGTCGGGGGAGGGCTCGTGGGTCTGTGCAGCTGGGGTGGCTGCAACTAGCACCTCAGCTTGGTTGTTGTGGTTAGCGCTATAGCACTGGGAGCGGGCGCAATGGTGCTGAGGGCCTGGGCAGTGGCACTGCTCAGGGTTGATCTCCTTGCATCGTGGGCATGCCATGGTGGCATAATCGCCCCGCAGGAGAGGGATTGGGAGCGGATGCTTGTGCATCTTGAAAGATGCAGGCAGCGTCTTCCCGTTGGGGACATGGAGTAGGAACTCCCAGTCTCCGTAGTGGCGCTGGTTGATGAGAACCGGCTCCAGGTGGGAAACTTGGCCGTAGGGCCTGAGTGCTGCGCGGATTCTGTAGGGCAGCGTTGCTGGGACGTGGGCAATGGCTACGTGATGGATCACGCCCATTGCCGATGTCCACTGCAGCTCCTGGTTGCCAAGCCGGAATGGGTGCTTAGCGATGGTGATGGCGTCGTCCAGGCTCATCAGGGTGACGCCGATCTTCTCTGCCGTGCATGTGAAAGAGAATATCGGGTAGTTGCGGTGCGACGGTGGCACCGTCGGGCGGCCTAGAGCCGCAAAAACCTAGTTCTTAATCAGCATTGCATGGTCGGGGTTCGTGCTCACAATTGGCACATAGATGGTTGCCGAGTTGAGTAGCGGTGCATACTCAGCCTTCTCGGCCTCCATCTGACGTGATGGGCATCGGGGCGCTGGTGGGCCTTGGCTTGTGCCCTGGCCGGTGCTGTGTCCTCGGGGAGCGCATGTGCGCTTGTGGCCTCCTACTGCCTCGGCATATGAGAGCTGCCTGCACGGTGGGCCAGTCCCTGGCATAGCGGCGACGTGGTCCACATGGCCACTGCTGGTGATGCCAAGAGCTGCCCATTCTTCATCTGGCACTACTGCTGCCAGCAGCTGCACTGGTTGCAGATCTGGCGAGAATCCCGTAGGCCGTGGCGCCACTGCATTAGCCATGGCAGCCATTTGGGGCATTTGCGCAGTAGCTCCACCATGGTGGGAGTGTTGCGCCATGGGAACACTGGTTACAGCCAGGTCATTCACGGTTGCAGGTTGGGTTGGTGCGTTGCCAGAGGCAATGAGGGGAATGTAGTTCGCCATTTCTTCACAAATTCCAAATAATTCAGGGAACTTTTGAAATTTATGCGTAACGGGTAAGCACTATGGTGCTGGCGGTTGCAGTTGCAGTTGCAGTTGGTGGTGTGGCTGTTGGGCAGTACTGGGCAGTACTGGGTGGTGCTGGGCATACTCAGGGCATAATCTGGGCATACTCAGGGCGGCAAACAGTGCGTTGCAGCGGCGAAAGAGTGCAAAAAGATTACTGTGCTAAGAGGAGCGAAGAAGAGATGCCCGGCTAGCTCATGGTGAAAGAGCGTTTATTTGTATCTTAGATGGAGGTCCTAAAGGAAAAGCCGCCAAATGCTGCTAAGATAATAAAGAGGTAATTTAAAGAGAGAAATCCATGCACTCAGAGGTTCCAAAATCCTGGTTACAGGGCTGCGATTGTCCATTATGGTGGTCTGCGTGATCGGGGCGAGTTTTCTGATATTTGCGATCCGATATGGTCTTGATCGTGATCACCGAGATCAGATTGCCTTTGGCTTGTAGTCGGAACCGCAAGTTTAAGCTGGTTGAGATAGCTGCGAAGGAAGGAGTCGGGTGGGAGGAATGCAAGCGCATATTTGGTGAACTCTCCATTGTATGCGCTAGTGAACCAGGCTGTAGACCACACGGTGTCTGTGTAGGCTTCGTCATGGCGTGCAATAGCCAGGAAGTAAATGAGCAGACTTGTACCGAGCTCCCAGAGCTGTTGGAATTCTTGGGCTATGCGCGAATTGTCCCTGATCTGTGGCAGTGTAAATGCTGTCCAGCGGAGTGCTGGTGACACTAGCCAGTGTCCTGGGGAGATCTGTGTGGGTGGGAATGGGAAAGGGAGCCGATTTGGGGGGCGTGGTCTTGTGATTGGCAGCTCATAGATGTCCATGTCTTGGATCCCAGTGCCATGGGCTCTTTCCATTGACTCAGCTACCTCAGCAAGGACATTTGGCACTAGGGCTTGGCCCACAGCTACATATTTGGGGAGAACCTGGTCCCGATAGTGGGCTGTGAGTGGGCATGCACCTGCCAGGTGCTGTGGGGTTTCTGTAGCTCCACAGCGGCACTGCTTTGGGGAGTCTTGGTGGTATCGGCGGGGCAGGCGATCTACATGGAGCCGGTGTAGCGTAGCGCGGGCTTGTGGTGGGGCATTGACTCTGGCCACAATCGACCATGGCGTTGTTTTGGGGATTTTTGGGAAGGCCAATGTGGGGACTTGGTGTGCGGGTTCTGGGAATGGAATTGGGGAGTCTGTGCGTAGGAGGTGTTGGGTTGTGTGTGTGGTCCTGGACCACCGGCTGAAGTAGTGGTTGTGCTCTGGCTTTGTTGGCTGGCTGTTGACGAACAGACTTGCCAGATATGGCTTTAACACTGCTGCCTGGGGGTTTGCTGTGTGCTGCTCTTTCTGCTGCTGGATTTGCTGCTGGATTAGGCCCAGGTTTTCTGCGAGATCTGCTGCTGCTTGTTGTGCTTTGGCTGATGAGCCGTGGTACTCAGACTTGAGCCAATTGGAGAATGACTCAATGATGCCTATTGAGAAAAGTGGAGGGGTTGTTGGCATATTTGGCAATGCACGAGCATTCTGGTCACGAATCCATCTGTAGAACTTGTGGACTTGGTACCAATGGGCGCTCTGGATGGGGGCTATGCTGGTGCCGATGATTGGCATGTTGGCTAAGTTGCTGTGTGCCACAGTGGGGTCTAGGCGGATCTGGATGTGCGATTTTGCATGCACTAATCGCTTGTAGATCGATTGCCAGTATATTGGCCAGACCTTATCTCGAAGGTTGATGCGGCGGTGTCTCTGGAGGAAAGGGTTCTGGAGGAAGCACCAGATATGGTCACGCATTGCCCTCAATGGCTTTGGTGCACCGCTGTTACCCGGGAGATCGACTCAGTCATATTGCCAGTCTGACAGTAGTATCCGTGCCCAAACTGGAATCGTCTCTGGTATTGGCTGCGATGTAGCTTGGGCATTGATGATGCACTCAAAAGCATCCATTGCTTGGCCTGCCTCTCGTAGCACAACTGCTCAGTAAATAGCATGGAGGGATGTAAATCCCAGGCCCCCACTTTTTGCCGGTTGCGCAAGCAGAGTCTCATTGAGGTATGGTCGGGTACGGCCCCACAGAATGCCAGAGACCCGCTGTTTCAGTTTCCCAATATCTTGCATCTGGAATGGGGTAAACCGAGTGGCGAAATGTAGAAGGGGGTGGGCAAATGTGGTGATTGCAAAAGCACGGCCTCTGAGTGTGGTGTGTTTGCACACTGCTTTTGCAGCTCTCACCGAGATGCGTGATATGGAGCTATTGACCAGATCCTGTACCTCTAGGCCAGTGCCTAGGTATGCTCCAAGATAGCGCACTGGGATGCCAATTGGTACTGGTTTGACTGGTAATTCGGCCGATGGGCTCTCAGCATCATAGCTGCTATGCCCAATTAGAATTGCCTCAGTCTTCTCAACGTTGAACAAGGCATTTGTGCCCTTGCAGTATCTGTCAAGAGCATACTGCAGTTTTTGGTAGTTGTGGGCATGCTTGATAACAACTGCTGTGTCATCTATATACATGGAGTGTGAGAATAGCATTGGGCCTGATGCAAGGTTCAGTGTGGGGAAACATGTGTGTGGGACATGTTCACGCAGTGCACACCCTAGCAGCTCCATGACCATGATAAATAGTATGCATGATAGTGCATCCCCTTGTCGAACACCATTTTGCACTGGAAATGGTGCTGAGTCAATGCCGTTGATCATGACAGAGGAGGATGCAGTGCTGTACAGTGCCTCGATGAGGTTGGTGACCTTTTGAGGGAGCCTGTAGTTCTCACGCAGTAGGCGGAAGAGAGTGACATGTGCCACACGGTCATATGCCTTGGCCTGGTCAAGGAACATAATGACTGCAGAGGGGTGCTCTTGTCTCTTGAGATGGTGCATCACACACATTACATTGTGGATAGCATCAGACATTCTGCGGCCAGGAACAATTGCTGTTTGCTCTGGTGAGATGTGGTGCTGGACTGTATAGCCAATGTGTCGGGCCAGTATGCTTGTGATGACCTTGAGGTCAGAGTTCAAGAGAGAGATAGGCCTGTAGTACTGCAGGTCCAGTGGGTCCTTCTTCTTGAACAATATCACAATGCGGCCAGCAGTAAACTGCTCAGTGACTAGGGATGCATCAGCCAAGATGCAATTTGCAATGTGCCACAGAGCTTCACATGCCTTAGCACACTTGATGTACAGCTCTACTGGTATACCATTGGGCCCAGGAGCACGTTTGCGGCTTGCACTCTTACATGCCTCAGTGACCTGTGCTAAGGTGATCAACTCACCCACCATTGCTGTTGCCTCTGCAATTTGTTTTGCTGGTCGAGCATCCACATATTGCTTATGTAGATCTAGTAGATGATCCACATCTTGGGCTGCTGGTTGGGTGCACTTGTACATGTCCATATAGAATTGCCTGGCAACTTCAGGGATCATAGTACAGTCCTCCACAATGTTGCCAGTATTGGCATCCCATAGGGCAGTGATTGTTGTTGAGGATGGTGGGTTGATGGCATTTCTGGTGCGCTGGTAGTTCCATGTGTTTCGCCGATCTCCTTTATGAAGCCAGGTGTTTTTGCAGTGGTCAGCAACATGGTCAGCCATGGTCACATATAGTGCCTTGGCCTCCTCTTCAATAGCTGCCATTTGGCTATGAAGTGCCTTAGCCACTGTACTAGAGTTTGCCATATATGCCTAGTTTGCCAAGTTGGCAAATTGGCGAAACTTAGAGTGCATGCTACGGTGCTTGCCACAATCTCGTTGGTAGTCCTCCTTGCGAAAGTGGTCAAGTATGTCAGCCAGGACTTGCATGTATGCTGGCAGTATCTCTCTGGGCGTTTCAGGGATGTTGCTGAGGAACATGTCAAATTTCTTGTTGACGAACTCAACATTGGTGTCAATATTGAGTTTGGCTAGGTCCAGACGGTATGGTCAGTGTGTGCGCTTGGGCTCAGGGGTCACAGAATCAATGGTGAGTATTATCGTCTTATGATCTGCCACTGGTAGAGCGGCGATGTACTCTGTGTTCCATCGCAAAGCCTATTCGAGGGGTACCAGAAACAGATCTAGACGAGATATGTACCCACCATGATTGTGGTTGTAGGTGAAGTCATTCACTAGTGGCCCAGTTGTGGCATTGGCAGGTGTTGCTGATGTGCATTGGCACTGAAAGTCGAGGATGTCCACAGTACTGTTGTAGAGGTTATACATGGGAATGATGTGGAAATTGCACTCATCATCATTGGCATGTAGGTGGTCTCTGTGTGTTGGGGCAATATTGAAATCACCACCAATAAGCAGTGTCCAGCCATGTTCCTGGAACATGCTGGCTGCTGTTGCTGTATGGAAGTGGAAGTCATCAGTTTCCTGTCCAAAAGGGCCATGTATGTTGATTAACAACAGGCGTAGTAAGGGGATAGTGAGGAATGTTGCTCGTGGTGATGAGAATGGTATCTGCAGCTCTACAGCACCAAGTGCTTTGGCTGTCAGAATGACTGTGTCATAGTGGGCAGGGCGACCATCAGATCGTGTAGCAGTGGGGGCAGGTGCTGAGCAGACAAAGCTATTAAATGCTCCCTGTAGGCGTGTAGATGGGTCAGCTGCACCTTGGAACTCCTGGATGAACACAATGTTCACAGCATTGTCTTTTGTGAGTTGTTCAAACTCTAGCAATTTCCGCTCATTACTCATTGCACCTTGCATGTTTGCTGAGGCAATACAGAGGCATGGGAGGGAGAGTGGGTGGAGGGATGGTGGTTCAGGGACTGGTAGTTCAGCCCAGGCTGGTGAATCTGGGTATGGCAAGTCAGTGCCCGAAGGCTCCTGTTCTTGTGGGTCCTCATTGTCACTGTCATTGTGTTCGTCAGGCACAAATGCAGCAGCAAGGATATTTGGGGGTGGTGGTGGGCCTCTGGCTAATGGGGCATCAGCCATAGAGCCCATTGAAGGTCGTGAAGAGGTAGGTCGTTTGCCAATGGTCTCTAACATATCTTCTCGAATTTCTCGAGCTGACATTCAGAAACAGTTCCGGTTGTTAGCAGTTTGGTGCTAGTGTTCTAGTGAGCACTTGCAGCGCCCTGCTTGTCCAACTGTGGGGATGTGTGGCGGGCCTTCTTTGTGTGGGATCGCAGTCTGCGGCTTAGTGGAGCATCAGAGGAATCAGATGCGCTGTCCTCTATGATCTGCAGTCCCTCAGGGAGGGGTTCTGCTGGGGCGGCGTAGGGTTGCTCACTGTCCTCGTCATCTTCAAAGCCGAATTGTTCACTATATGAGCAAACTGATTGGCTGCTGAATGATGCGGCTGAGCTGTGGTCATCTTCATAGAGGATGCGCTCAAACTCGCTGGCAGTGGTTGGCACACTTGTGCCGTGGGGCAGCTGTGGCCCATATGGCGGGAAGTCAACAAGGCCTTCTGGGGGAGTTGCCCTGGTTGGCGTTGATGGGGCCTGTTGTGTGGAAGGCGTAGTTGGGAGGGATGCCATTTGTGCATTTGGCGATGCCTCGGCCATGAGGATGGCTGGTGAGATCGAAACTGGTCGGCCATTAGAGTTGCGTGGCTGGTCTGCTGATTGTGCGATGGCGTGCTCACTCATTTGCACATCTAGGTCAGGGGAGGGCTCGTGGGTCTGTGCAGCTGGGGTGGCTGCAACTAGCGCCTCAGCTTGGTTATTGTGGTTAGCGCTATGGCGCTGGGAGCGGGCGCGATGGTGCTGGGGGCCTGGGCAGTGGCACTGCTCAGGGTTGATCTCCTTGCATCGTGGGCATGCCATGGTGGCATAATCGCCCCACAGGAGAGGGATTGGGAGCGGATGCTTGTGCATCTTGAAAGATGCAGGCAGCGTCTTCCCGTTGGGGACATGGAGTAGGAACTCCCAGTCTCCGTAGTGGCGCTGGTTGATGAGAACCGGCTCCAGGTGGGAAACTTGGCCGTAGGGCCTGAGTGCTGCGCGGATTCTGTAGGGCAGCGTTGCTGGGACGTGGGCGATGGCTACGTGATGGATCACGCCCATTGCCGATGTCCACTGCAGCTCCTGGTTGCCAAGCCGGAATGGGTGCTTAGCGATGGTGATGGCGTCGTCCAGGCTCATCAGGGTGACGCCGATCTTCTCTGCCGTGCGTGTGAAAGAGAATATCGGGTAGTTGCGGTGCGACGGTGGCACCGTCGGGCGGCCTAGAGCCGCAAAAACCTGGTTCTCAATCAGCGTTGCACGGTCGGGGTTCGTGCTCGCAATTGGCACGTAGATGGTTGCCGAGTTGAGCAGCGGTGCATACTCAGCCTTCTCGGCCTCCATCTGACGTGATGGGCGTCGGGGCGCTGGTGGGCCTTGGCTTGCGCCCTGGCCGGTGCTGCGTCCTCGGGGAGCGCGTGTGCGCTTGTGGCCTCCTACTGCCTCGGCATAGGAGAGCTGCCTGCGCGGTGGGCCAGTCCCTGGCACAGCGGCGACGTGGTCCGCGTGGCCACCGCTGGTGATGCCAAGAGCTGCCCATTCTTCGTCTGGCACTACTGCTGCCAGCAGCTGCACTGGTTGCAGATCTGGCGAGAATCCCGCAGGCCGTGGCGCCACTGCATTGGCCGTGGCAGCCGTTTGGGGCGTTTGCGCAGCAGCTCCACCGTGGTGGGGATGTTGCGTCGTGGGAACGCTGGTCGCAGCCGGGTCATTCGCGGTTGCGGGTTGGGTTGGTGCGTTGCCAGAGGCAACGAGGGGAACGTAGTTCGCCATTTCTTCACAAATTCCAAATAATTCAGGGAACTTTTGAAATTTATGCGTAACGGGTAAGCGCTATGGCGCTGGCGGTTGCAGTTGCGGTTGGTGGTGTGGCTGTTGGGCGGTACTGGGCGGTACTGAGCGGTACTGGGCGGTGCTGGGCGTACTCAGGGCGTAATCCGGGCGTACTCAGGGCGGCAAACAGTGCGTTGCGGCGGCGAAAGAGTGCAAAAAGATTACTGCGCAAAGAGGAGCGAAGAAGAGATGCCCGGCTAGCTCATGGTGAAAGAGCGTTTATTTGTATCTTAGATGGAGGTCCTAAAGGAAAAGCCGCCAAATGCTGCTAAGATAATAGAGAGGTAATTTAAAGAGAGAAATCCATGCACTCAGAGGTTCCAAAATCCTGGTTACAGGGCTGCGATTGTCCATTACGGTGGTCTGCGTGATCGGGGCGAGTTTTCTGATATTTGCGATCCGATATGGTCTTGATCGTGATCACCGAGATCAGATTGCCTTTGGCTTGTAGTCGGAACCGCAAGTTTAAGCTGGTTGAGATAGCTGCGAAGGAAGGAGTCGGGTGGGAGGAATGCAAGCGCATATTTGGTGAACTCTCCATTGTATGCGCTAGTGAACCGGGCTGTAGACCACACGGTGTCTGTGTAGGCTTCGTCATGGCGTGCAATAGCCAGGAAGTAAATGAGCAGACTTGTACCGAGCTCCCAGAGCTGTTGGAATTCTTGGGCTATGCGCGAATTGTCCCTGATCTGTGGCAGTGTAAATGCTGTCCAGCGGAGTGCTGGTGACACTAGCCAGTGTCCTGGGGAGATCTGTGTGGGTGGGAATGGGAAAGGGAGCCGATTTGGGGGGCGTGGTCTTGTGATTGGCAGCTCATAGATGTCCATGTCTTGGATCCCAGTGCCATGGGCTCTTTCCATCGACTCAGCTACCTCAGCGAGGACATTTGGCACTAGGGCTTGGCCCACAGCTACATATTTGGGGAGAACCTGATCCCGATAGTGGGCTGTGAGTGGGCATGCACCTGCCAGGTGCTGTGGGGTTTCTGTAGCTCCACAGCGGCACTGCTTTGGGGAGTCTTGGTGGTATCGGCGGGGCAGGCGATCTACATGGAGCCGGTGTAGCGTAGCGCGGGCTTGTGGTGGGGCATTGACTCTGGCCACAATTGACCATGGCGTTGTTTTGGGGATTTTTGGGAAGGCCAATGTGGGGACTTGGTGTGTGGGTTCTGGGAATGGAATTGGGGAGTCTGTGCGTAGGAGGTGTTGGGTTGTGTGTGTGGTCCTAGACCACCGGCTGAAGTAGTGGTTGTGCTCTGGCTTTGTTGGCTGGCTGTTGACGAACAGGCTTGCCAGGTATGGCTTTAACGCTGCTGCCTGGGGGTTTGCTGTGCGCTGTTCTTCTTGCTGCTGGATTTGCTGCTGGATTAGGCCCAAGTTTTCTGTCATGTCGTAATCGGTCCACGGTTGGACCACGACAATGGTTACACATCAAGGGGTTTTATTTGTCTTCCTTTTTTTCTTTTACTTCTCTTCTCTTCTTCGTCACATGCCGCTGTTCCGCTATCAGGACGGACTGCCCCTGACTATCGCCGGTCAAGTTGTCGCCCACGAATGGATTCGCGGCGATGTACCTGGCTCGCGACGTCCACCAACAGATGGCCGCTGATGTGTATACATCGGGTCTATACGGAAATGGGAACACTGTCCCGTGGTCGCCCGGCAGCCGATAGCAGCAAGTAGCATACTCCGTTTGCCGAAGTCCATCCCGCCGAACGTGTATAAATACAGCCATGAGCAGTGAGCAACTTTTAGTTTTATTGTCTACTTTTTAGTATATGATCTCGTTAAGGAACAGTTCACTGAGTTATATTTCTATTTAGTTTTCCAAAAGATAGTTAGGACCGTTACTGTCGAAGTAGTAGATTACCTCGCAGATTTCCACGAACGAGAGAAAAGAGCTTGGTAGTTTACTATTTCACTAGGATATCTGAATTTCCCGCGATTATTATTATTATTATTATCATTATTATTATTACCGTTTATTCACGGATATTCGATTCAAGCAAGACCAACGACTACAATGTCCTTCATGACCGACCCAGACAGTGCTGGTGATCGACTCACTGATCAAGCCTCTCCTTCACCCCTTTTAAACACCACAGATGGAGCCCGACGGGGGGGGGCTTTCAATTCGATTCCAGCACGGCCCACGATCTTCTCAGGCCAAGGTGCTGAGGACTATGTAGCACGATTCGAAGCCTACGCAACCAGCTTCGATTTACCGAAGGACTCCTGGGGTCGACACCTCATGAGTTATTTGAAGAAGAAGGAACACTTCTTGATGATGGCCAGCATCACGACCGACCAGCTAAAGGACTGGGCCATCGTTAAGGAGGTGTTCACCAATCTCTTTCCATCCCTGGAGCCGACCTACTCAGAAGCGGAGATGGCAGAAGCAGTTCTTGCAGTTCCGATGGACTGTGAGCAACCCCTGCCATACTTGTTCAAGGCCAAGGTCGCTCTACAAGGAGTATCGCAATGGTCGGACAGCCAGCGCTCAATCAAGCTACTGCGCTATATTGGTAGCAACTGGGCACGTGACATCAAGGACCTCGTTTGCGGAAATGAGAGCTTTGAGATGCTCTACAAGATCATCGTCAAATATGCCTCCCAGCAAGTCAAGAAGGGCGAGTGGTATGAGCAGGCATTCGCCGACAGTTCCCGGACGGAAGGTTCAGAAGCAGCAGCGAAGAGCAAAACAGACAAGTCTCCAGTGCCAAAGACACATCACCAGGAGTCGCATGCAGGTGACATCCTTGGCGAACTGACGGAGAAGTTCGAAAAAATGATGATAAATATTGTCCAGAAACACAGGGGACATGCAGCAGATGTGAACGCGGCAACCCAAGTTTCCCGACCTCGAGCACAGCAATGCTTCTACTGTGGCAAGGAAGGGCACAGGATGCTGGGATGCGATTATCGGGCACAAGATGAGAAGGATGGGCTGATCAAGTTTATCAACGGCTTCTGTTGTGATATCAACGGCCAACCGCTGCGTCGTTCTCTCAACGAAGGGTTTATGGCATCAGTCAAGAGGCCTACCATGGCAGTCGGCACTGTCAACGATATTCGAGTAGCCCAAATTTTTGAGGAGGACAAGCTAGAGGATGAGCACGAGGATCGCAGGGACGACGACCAAGAGGAGGAGCAGTATCATGTCGATGCCGGAAAGCGTGTTCGGGACCTTACGCAGGATGATATCAATGCCCTGGTTCTACAAGATAAGCGGCGCCGCCAAGCACCCAAAGGCATGGAGTTTCAACCGAATGTAGCTCAAGCTAAAGCTGCATCTGCTCACCCGAAGTCTGCTACTCCCTTCGGGCCATCGACCACTAGCGTGACAGAACAACGTCAGACTGAGACGACTAACCAAGACGCAGTAATGACAGAGCCAGTAGCAGCGAGTGATGCCCACAAGCGGGACCCACCAGCATATCGTGTACGGGCACAGGCCGAATTGCCACCGTTGAAGTCGACACCTGAGAAAGCATTGCAGAGTGCAAACGTCACGATTCCTATGATGGAATTCTTGGGTATGAGTAATGAGGCACGGGACTATCTACGCCAGGTGCTTACTCGTCGTCGTGTTCTAGGACCAACAGACTTGCCGAAAGTCAATGCCGCCATAGCCGAACCAATGAATATAAGGCCAAGACAGGGCGCGAGAACTTCATGCAAGATTATGCAAGTATGGGGCTCTGTGCGTAACACGCCAGTAGGAATCGTCATTGACCCTGGGTCAGAGCTAAACATCGCGAACACGGAGTGGTTACAAGGTTTGAATGTACCCATCACTTCACGTCAGAATGCTGTGATGGTCGGCATTACGAATCATACGCAGAAGGGATCAGGTATGGCGCATCGGATGGACGTGACTATTGGAGCAGTAACTATTCCGGTAAACGTTTTGGCGCTCGACAACTTCAAGTACCATCTGCTATTGGGACTGCCATTTTTGGAACAAGCAGACTGGCAGGTCAAGAAGGCGTCAGATGGCACTCGACACTACCATATTTCAGATGGGGTAGCTGAGGTAAGATTTGCAACAGCAGAGAAGCCGAATCCTCAATACCAAACGCATGCAGCCAGTGCGATAGACAAGAAAATCGACGAAATCCCAGATGGCGAATTCATTTGCAACCTGACTTCATTGGGCAGCGAATGGGCGATGAATGCTGCACGATACAAGCCAGTCGCAAAGAAGATACATCCGGTAAACCAGCCACTGCGACCTGAGGATCAACTCGCTGAAACAGAGAGGCCCGACCAGCTGACTAGGCAGACGAAGCGCTTGACAGAGGAGCGTTTAGGTCAGTTGCAGATTGGGGATGGTTGGCTCACTCCCGTCGAGCAGGATTACTTTCGAGAGCGACTACAGGAAGTGGACAAGGCATTCGCTTTCAATGACGAGGAAATGGGACTACTGAAGGAGTCCATTGAACCACCGATTCGTATCCCGACAGTGCCACATGAACCATGGGACCACAAGCCATTCCCTATGCCACGAGCCCTGTACGATAGGATCGTGGGGATGCTCAAGGAAAAACGCACTACTGGGGTATTGGAACCATCTATCGGACCATATGCAAACCGCTGGTTCGTAATCGAGAAAAAGGACAAGACGAAGCTGCGTTTTATTCAAGACGTTCGCCCTGTTAACGCGGTGACTGTGCGAAACAGCGGGAAGCCTCCGAATGCAGATGAAATCACTGAAGATGCATCCGGAAGAGTGTTGATGACCATTTTCGACCTCTACTCTGGATACGATCAGCTGCCAATTGACCGACGTGACCGTGATCTTTTTGCACTACACACTCCTCTGGGGCTGATGAGGATGACACGGCTACCAATGGGCTGGACAAATTCTGTGGGTATATTCCAGCGGGTTATGCACAAGATCTTTGCGCAATGGATGCCTGAGAAAGTGCGTATCTTCATGGACGACGGTGTTATTCTTGGACGAAAAGTTGGTACGATTGCAGATATGGATCGTAAAGATGAGGACGGAGTTCGACTAGTGGTCAAGGAACATGTGGACGATGTTCTAGCCGTTTTTGGGACGATGGTAGATGCCGGACTCACCGTCAGTGGGAAGAAGACACACTTTGGTGTTACCAATGCAGAGATTCTGGGACACGAGTGTACGCAGCAGGGACGACGCCCGACTCATAGTGCAGTCACAAAGATTAGCGATTGGCGACGACCGGCGAACCAGACAGATGTACGGAGCTTTACGGCCGCAGTCTCGTTCTTCAGGATCTGGATTCCGCAGTTTTCAGTCCAAGCTGCGCCCTTGTTTGAGCTCCTACGAAAGGATACCGAGTTTCACTGGGGCCCAATGCAAGAGGAGGCTTTTGCAGCACTGAAGAATGCGCTATCGTCAGCTCCTCTCCTACGTGCCCCGGACTACTCTTCTGGAGACCGACCTCTGATTGTGACGACCGATGCAAGCCCAGTCGGAGCCGGTTGCAATGCTTAGTCAGTACGACACACTTGGGAATCGCTACGCCATCCGTTTCGAAAGCCAGAAGTTTAATGATCGCGAACGCCGATATCCGCAGGTGAAGAGGGAACTATACGCAGTTTATTCGATGGTCAAGAAGTTACGTCATTATCTCTATGGAGTCCGGTTTGTGCTAGAGACAGACGCTAAGCCAGTGGTCGCAATGATCAACAAGCCAGATCTGCCAAATGATACAGCTTCCAGATGGGTCGCATTTCTGAATCTCTTCGATTTCTCGATTGGACACATCCGTGGACAAGACAACATGGTGGCTGACGCGCTGAGTCGCACATTCTTCAATATCGACAGTACGCGGATTAGTGAGCTTGAGGAAGAAGTATCACCAGCAGTCATCGACGATTCGGAGGATCTATGCTTAGGACTTGACACGGTTAACCAGCTGAACATACGCAGCCAAGATCCAAGATCCGAATGGACAGATCTCATCATGCTTCTGACAACGGGAAACACCCCAGTTGGGCTCCCGCATGAAGCAGCGAAGCGACTAGTAAGCAAGTCACGGGGGTACTTCATCGACAAAGGTCTACTCTTCAAGCGCCACAAGATGGGCCTACCCCGACGCGTGATTGCAGACAAGACCGAGCAGCAGCGGATTACTGAGCGAGTGCATGATTCACACCCTACAGGACATCGCGGGGTACGAGCAACATTCCGAGTGTTATTTGAGCGATTCTACTGGAGAGGTATGTATGAGATGGTCGAGAATGTCTGTCGGTCATGTCCAGTATGTCAAGGCTGGAAGCATGGCACCTCGACGGAGCCGTTAACCCCACACCTTGGTTCGACACTATTCTCTCGCATTGGTATCGATCTCGTCGAGTGGCCCGAAGCAGAGGACGGCAGCGTTTACCTCGCAGTAGCCCGAGACGACTTGACTGGATGGGTAGAAGCTCGAGCGCTGAAGACGAAGCGTTCGATTGAGGTGTATCGGTTTCTGTACGAAGACGTGGTGTGTCGATTCGGAGTGCCTGGAGAAATACTCGCCGACCGTGGGGAACTATGGGGCCACATTGCTGAACAAGCCCAACAAGATGGCCTCAACCTCAAGTTCACTACTGCCTACCATCCGCAGACAAATGGTATGATCGAGCGAGGACATGCGGAGCTACGAAAGGCTATGGCACGGTTCATTACTCCCGAACGACAAAGATACTGGCCACAATATGTGTCGGCAATACTTTGGGCTGACCGGATCACAGTAAGGTCGACGACAGGTCATTCGCCCTATTATCTCGTATATGGGACGAACTGCGTTTTGCCGTTTGATATCGAAGAGGACACATGGATCGGTATTTATTGGGATAAGATCACGACGATTGAGGAGCTTCTGACTGCGCGTGCCGCTCAGCTTCTCTATAGCAGCAGAGTCCGCGAAAAGGCAGGGTTAGGTCTGGACGATGCTCGCCTGGTAAACAAGGTTTATTATGACCGTCGCGCTCGTATCCGTAAAGAACCATTAGCAGAAGATGATCTGGTGCTACTTTCCAATACTCGTTGGCGCAAGCGTGTTGCTGATAAGTTCGTGAACCGTTGGACTGGGCCCTATCGTATCGCAGAGGTGTGCGGCCAGAATGTTTACCGCATTAAGGAACTCTCGGGAGATGTTCGCAAGGACAAGATCTCAGGGAATAGGCTCAAGCGGTTCTTCATGCGGTCGAAGTATTCTCGTCCTGAGGACTTCGAGCCACCCCCGGCCCCTGTCATGTCGTAATCGGTCCACGGTTGGACCACGACAATGGTTACACATCAAGGGGTTTTATTTGTCTTCCTTTTTTTCTTTTACTTCTCTTCTCTTCTTCGTCACATGCCGCTGTTCCGCTATCAGGACGGACTGCCCCTGACTATCGCCGGTCAAGTTGTCGCCCACGAATGGATTCGCGGCGATGTACCTGGCTCGCGACGTCCACCAACAGATGGCCGCTGATGTGTATACATCGGGTCTATACGGAAATGGGAACACTGTCCCGTGGTCGCCCGGCAGCCGATAGCAGCAAGTAGCATACTCCGTTTGCCGAAGTCCATCCCGCCGAACGTGTATAAATACAGCCATGAGCAGTGAGCAACTTTTAGTTTTATTGTCTACTTTTTAGTATATGATCTCGTTAAGGAACAGTTCACTGAGTTATATTTCTATTTAGTTTTCCAAAAGATAGTTAGGACCGTTACTGTCGAAGTAGTAGATTACCTCGCAGATTTCCACGAACGAGAGAAAAGAGCTTGGTAGTTTACTATTTCACTAGGATATCTGAATTTCCCGCGATTATTATTATTATTATTATCATTATTATTATTACCGTTTATTCACGGATATTCGATTCAAGCAAGACCAACGACTACAATGTCCTTCATGACCGACCCAGACAGTGCTGGTGATCGACTCACTGATCAAGCCTCTCCTTCACCCCTTTTAAACACCACATTTCTGCGAGATCTGCTGCTGCTTGTCGTGCTTTGGCTGACGAGCCAGCCCGGCTAGCTCAATCGGCAGAGCGTGAGACTCTTAATCTCAAGGTTGGGGGTTCGACCCCCCCGTCGGGCTTGCTTTTTTGTATTTTGAAATCAAATGTTGTTAAACTTCTATTTTTTTGCCTGCGAGTGACTAACCTCATCATTAATATCTGCTTATGCTGCTAAAATCTACTAATTTGAATTTTTTTTTCAAGTTGGAGGTAATTTGAGTTGCCTATCGGCTTATTAATCACCACTATATACTCTCCTGCTATTAATACTATTTTTTTTAGCTGACAACCAGCAAAATAGAATATTTAAGAATATCCACTTAACACCATATTAAAAGAATATATTACTTTCCTATTATCTATTTCCTATCCTTTCCTATTTTTTTTTCAAATTACTCTTCCCTTTTACTTAGGAGGTCATTCAGAGTTAGTTATCTGTATAACAGTTATTTATACATGGGAGATCAGTCAGAAATGGTTAGCTATTTAATAATTATTAATATTTTTATTGTTTTCTTGTTCTGATGCCAAATATGGTGCTTCTACGAAACCCCCTTCGGCATCCTGAAAAATTTCAGTTGATACACAATTAATATGCTTCTACTGAGATACAGGCTGCGTCCCGAGAAATCAACTGAAATTTTTCAGGATGCCGAAGGGGGTTTCGTAGAAGCACCATATTTGGCATCTTTGTTTGTTTGTTAATCTAGTTGCTAGAATCTTTTTGGCCATTGCTAAACATTCTGTTTTTTAAAATATTTATCTACTGTTAGTAATTGATTTCTTATTTGTTAATTGGTTATTCTGTTAACAGATATTTAGTTTCTTTAAACTTTTATATTTATGAATGGCCTCCTTAAGAGTACATCTTAACTCCCTTTTGGGACTTGAGTTGAAGAATAGAGATAATATGCCTGATATATCTGATGCAAGATATACTAGTAATGGCATTGAACAGCAAGGATTTATTCAGCATTCTGATATCTTTATGGATTCATGTGTTGTTGAGATACCTGAATCATATGCTCTTATAGATCAGATTAACAATATTACTCCTTTTGATAGATTGCATAGAGTTTTTGGTGATAGGATACAGATTTAAGTATATGAAGTGCATGGTAAGTGTGAGAAATGGTAAAGTCTCTGTTTACAAAGTATCTGCTCCAAATGTTGCAATAGCTGATCCTGCACTAACTGATATCTTTCTTAGGATGCATCAGGAACATGTATTTCTTCTGAACTATGATATTACAATGGATTGTCTAAACATATCTTCTAGGGCTGTGATTAAGGAATTTCTTCTTGATAATGGAATCAGTAGCAATGATATTCTTGATGATGAAGATAAAGTTGGAGCAAACTGTATTAGCTGGTTTACTGATGAAGATGAAATAAGAATTAGGAACAAGTTGTATAATAAATTTGTTCAACTTCTAGAAAGTGGTGAGGTTCGCAATCAACTTACTTCTAAGCTATCAGAGCTAGTGATGCCAACTTCTCAGCAATTTGGTGAAACACTTGTTGCTTGTAGGAATGAAGGATTAATGAGGCTTGAGCTTACTGTTCACTCTCCTGAGTTGAAAGAAGTAGAATGGAACACAAACTTAATTGCTAGTACACTGGAGTTTCTTAGTGATTGTAGGACATTTGCAACATCTTATGAAAAGCAATGGATGGCACTAGTTGATCAGATTCATAACAAACATACATTGTGTATTTACTTTCATAAAGAACATGCTCTTGCTTATTGCCATTGGTTCAATCAGGACAACTAAGAAGAAACAAGGAATAGCTAAAAAGTTGAAAGAGAATGAAGATATGATGACTGTTGTTTCTAATCTTACATTTAATGGACACCCAACTCTTCTTCTTACATATGCTACCAGTAGTGGTCCTCTTGAATCTGAAGTTGTTCTGAGAAGAGATATCACAAACATCACTATTGTTCCTAGTCAGAAAAATTCTTTCTGGCCTGTTGTTTCAAGAGAAAGGCAACAACACACATTTGCTGAAATGGGACTTGTTAACTATCGTGGAATGCATATTGATTGGTTAACAGCTCAAGCAAGCAAGAGAGAAAGTTAGGTCTTTCAACTCTCTCAAGTGTTAGTGAGGATACTGATGACCTAGGAATAGATAATCTTATTGCTGATATTAGCAACATTGAACTTGATGATCTAGAACCCACATATATAAGAGAAAATACTGATCTTAGGCCAGCTAGATATAAAGTTGCTTATAACATACTTCATGTTGGAGATGAGTTCCTAGTTAGTCATTATTTCTTATATACTTTTAGAGGGTTGCTATTCTATTATCTAGATATCTATATGATTCACAATGAAGTAGTTAGCAGTACTCACACTCATATCAAAATACAAGCAAGTAGTCCATTTGGAGAATATATTGCTTCTATTATTGGTGAACCAAGTCAAGAAGTGGTACTTAAAGTAACTAGAATTCATAATCGTATTATCCATACTGAGAGGATCTAGTTTTAAAATGGGCAGTTAGCAACCATTACCTCCATATCTGCACAACTGTAGTTGCATACATCAAACACATGCTTAATACTAACACCCCTATCTTCTGAAATCATTCCTGATCCAAGCTCTGATATATACTGTTAATTTTCTGCTCATATTGAAATTTTTGCTAAGTAGTTGGACTAGCTTTTCTCTCTCTTCCTCATCTAGCTCAGCAAGTCGAGTGTTGAAGAATTTGTAGAATGGGCCCATTGCAATAAATGACAACTTTTAAATTTATGAGTGCCTCACAATGATGAATCATCAATTACAAGAACTCAGAGAAAAGGAGTATCACAAACTGTACACAAACAAATGGAAGTTTCTGAATGATGACTGGGTAATTCTAAAACATACAAAATATCACAGAAGTGAAGTTTGTGAAGTAAGAGAAATTAAACTTATCAAGGACACACTTCTTAAACATCTAGGGATGATTCCTGTTTTCTTCTTTCTGAATGTTTTATTTGGTTGCACTCATTATCCATGTCCTTACAGAAGTGTAGAGAAAGGACTGCTCATCATATACCAACTTGTAGAAGGATTATCTATCAATGAAATGGAAAGATTTATTCCTAGGAGTAGCTATCAAGCTATTCATAATATGTTCTATATTTCTGAAATGAAAGATTTGAATAAGAAGCTAACATACTATCTGCAAACAATGTTTTCAACTCCAGAACTACGAGTCTTTGCAGCAAAGATACAGAATCCTCAAGGGTTTAAACATGTAACACTAATGTTAGATGGCCATGACTCAAGAGCACTACACAATGGAGCATACAAACCAGATCTCTATTCCTTCAAATTGAAAAAATCAGGATATCGCACACAACTATGCATTGATGTGAATGGAATGGTTCTACTTGTTTCACCAACTGAAGACTGTAGAGATCACCCAGACTCAAGAATGATTAAGAACATGGGGTTGCTGAAGAATATATCACCTATTGATTGTATTGTGCTTGATGGTGGTTATCCACAAAGTATTTTGGAAGAGATGACTGAGGAAGAAGAGCAGGATACTTTTGGACTGCACAACTTTTGTTTACCAGTAAGAAAGCAGAGAGGAACAAGCTTATCAGAAACAGAAGCTGAATATAATTCCCATCTTGGATCATTACCGTTCAATGGTAGAAAATACATTTGGAGAACTAGGCAATACATTCAAAAGGCTGTCAAACAGGGAGATTGTTAGAGTAAAGAATAGGAATGTTTACAATGTGCAAATGAAGTTATGCTGCTTACTCTATAATATGAAGAAGATACTAGCAAACAGTGATGTACATATTGATCATCATCACTCACTCTGGGTTATGAGCAACTTTGATTACCCTGATACACATGATAAGTCAACACAAGTGGAACCAATACATACTTTGCCCCAAAAAGCAGAGTTAGAAGTATCTATTATTGAAATTCAAAATCGATTCCTTCAATCTAAAATTGATGATACATATGATTGCTTGGTGCATATTGATTAATTACAGATGGAGTACTAATGACTTGATGACTTGAATTTGATGTTTTAAAATAGCACAGCTTGATTCTTTCTAAAATTGATGACACATATGATTGCTTGGTGCATATCTATTAATTACAGATGGGATTCTAACAACTTGATGAATTTATTATGATTTTTTAAAATGGTATAGTTTGATACTTTCTAAAATTGATGAGTTATATGATTGCTTAGTATTAGATAAATAGTTATAAATAGGATGATAACGACTTGATGACTTGAACATGATGTTTTAAAATGGCAGCTTTTGAATAAATCTAATTCTATAAGGAGATCAGTCAGAAATAGGTTAGCTATTTAATAATTATTAATATTTTTATTGTTTTCTTGTTCTGATGCCAAATATGGTGCTTCTACGAAACCCCCTTCGGCATCCTGAAAAATTTCAGTTGATACACAATTAATATGCTTCTACTGAGATACAGGCTGCGTCCCGAGAAATCAACTGAAATTTTTCAGGATGCCGAAGGGGGTTTCGTAGAAGCACCATATTTGGCATCTTTGTTTGTTTGTTAATCTAGTTGCTAAATCTTTTTGGCCATTGCTAAACATTCTGTTTTTTAAAATATTTATCTACTGTTAGTAATTGATTTCTTATTTGTTAATTGGTTATTCTGTTAACAGATATTTAGTTTCTTTAAACTTTTATATTTATGAATGGCCTCCATGTTGAAACTATTAGCAATTTCAGTGAAATAAAATTTTCACCTAAACTACTAGTGGCATCTTAGAAAAGTTTCAGTAAACATAATTTCCTTATGGTTGCTTAGCCACATCTATTGAGATATTGTCTTTTATTGCCCAATGATAATTAACCCCAAATATGTAAAGTTTTTTCTTTCTGGTTATAATTATGTTCACTGAAACTTTTCTAAGATGCTAATAGCAGTTTAGGTGAAATTTTTATTTCACTGAAATTGCCAATAGTTTCAACATGTATAAATAATTGTTGTGCAGATAACTAACTCTGTATGACCTCCAATTTGTAGCTATATAAGTTATATAATTGAATAATTATTTTCAGAATAGCTTTTTGCTACTAGTTTTTTTAGGCATAGCTATTATTAATTATTTTATCTAAAAAATTTTATACTTATAAATAATTAGTATAATATAACTTTTTTTTGCCATTTTATCCAAATTGCTATCAACATCTTAGAAAAATTTCAGTGAATAAGATTCTAACTAAAATGAAAAAAAAGGAGCTGTGCAGATATATCTTCAATATAGCTGTTTGTTTAACTCATCAGAGATCTGATGTTGTTGCCTCTATTGTGTAGGCTGTAGCAAGGATCTCATTGGTGCCCGGCTTACAGATCCACTCCCGCATCATCATGTCCACAATCAACCCACATAAAACCAGGTCTCTGGCTGACCAGACCCTCCTCAGTTTCTTCAGTTGATCTTGATTTATCCTTTATTTTGCTCACACCACGCTCGCAAATACTCATTCCATCTCCAAGGTTAACAGCCGTCACCTGATTCGGCAGAAATGTCGACGTCAGGGACAGCCACGGTAGGCGTGCAACAAGCTGAATACATCTCAGCAAGTAGACTCGCTTATTACGTATTACTCAATGTTCAAATGCTATTCAAGCGCTCTCACCCAGCTTGCTGCTAAGGCTCTTGGACTCTCTGATCGCGCTCAGCTCCTCAATGAACTTGGCGTTCGGGATCGTCTGTCCCTTGGCCTTGGTGCCTACATCGTCACGGCAACGCACGTTGACGCTCTTCTCCTCCGCCTCCTGCGCACCAACAACGCAGATAAAGTTGTACTGCGCCAGCTCGGCATTGCGAATCTTCTTGTTCAGCGTCTCGCCGCCCAGGTCCACCTCCGCGTGGAAGCCAGCTGCATGCAGCTGCTCCTGGACCTCCTTCGCGTAATCGTACACTACACCTGTGACAGGCACAACCATGACCTGGCGCGGCGACAGCCACAGCGGCCACTTGCCGGCGAAGTTCTCCGTCAGAATAGCAATCATCCGCTCGACCGATCCCAGGATGGCGCGGTGGATGATCACCGGGCGCTGGAAGTCGCTGGCCGAATCGGTGCCCTCCTCCTTGGTTGCCGCCGGTGCGCGGTACTGCAGTTGGAACCGCAGCGGCAGCTGGAAGTCCAGCTGGATCGTCGCGCACTGGTGAGCGCGGTTCAGAGCGTCACGGATCGTGATGTCGATCTTGGGGCCGTAGAACGCACCGTCTCCAGGGTTGATCGACCACTTGGCGCCAAACTCATCGAGGGCCTCCGCCAGCTGCTTCTCAGCCCGGTCCCACACGGCGACCTCGCCCAGGAACTTCTCCGGGCGAGTTGACAGCTCTAGCTCAAACGTGAACCCAAAGATGCCGTACACATCCCTCAGGAACTTAAGCGCATGCTTCATCTCCGAACCCACCTGATCCTGGGTACAGAAAATGTGCGCGTCGTCCTGCTGGAAGCGACGCACACGCGTCAGTCCTGACAGCGCACCCGAGGCCTCGTTACGGTGCAGCACACCAAAGTCGGCAAAGCGGATCGGCAGCTCGCGGTACGACCGGTCGCGGATGCCAAACATCAGGCAGTGGCCCGGGCAGTTCATCGGCTTAAGCGCAAACTTCTCCTTCTCCACCTCCAGACTGAACATGTCCTCCTGGTAGTTGGCCCAGTGACCCGACTGCTCCCATAGCTTGGTGTTGAACATGTTCGGTGTGATCACCTCCTCGAATCCACGGCTCCAGTACTCGTTGCGGATAAAGTTCATCAGCGTGTTGTAGATGCGCGCGCCGTGCGGCAGGAAGAACGCCGACCCCGGGCTCAGCTCGTGGAAGAAGAACAGCTCCTGCTGCAGACCGATCTTGCGGTGGTCGCGCTTGGCCGCCTCTTCCAGGAACTTCTTGTACTGCGTCATCTGCTTCTTGTCCGGGAACGAGATACCGTAGATGCGCTGCAGCGAGTCGTTGTTTGCGTCGCCCAAAAAGTACGAGGCAGAGTTCTTCAACACCGCAAACGAGGTGATGCTACCGGTGCTCGGCACGTGCGGGCCGCGGCACAGGTCAATCAGCGGGCCGCAGCGGTAGACCGTGGTCGAGGTGCCGTCGGGCACGCGAGTGTCAATCAGATGAACCTTGTACTTGTTGTACTCAAACATCCGCATCAGGTTCTCCTTGCTCAGCACCAGGCGCTGGAACGGCTGCTTCTCCTTGATTGCGCGGTTGGCCAGGGTCTCCAGCGGGGCAAAGTCCGACTGCGACACACCGCGGCCTAGTGCCTCGGGCAGGGCAATATCGTAGTAGAAACCGTCCTCGATTGGGGGACCGTTGCACAGATGGCAGCCAAAGTGCAGCTCGCATGCCTCGCCCAGAACATGGGCGCTCGAGTGCCAGTATACCTTCTTGCCCTCTTCAGTCTCAAAGTCCAAGGAGCTCCAGCGAGGCGCTGCCCTCGAAGGGGCGGAGGGTGTCCCAGAGCTCGCCGTTAACCTTGGCGATCACAAGGCGCTTGGCCAGCGACTTAGGAGATTGAGTTAGCAATGTCCATAGGAGTGGTCTCCCACGAGGTGACCTTCGCGCTGCGAGCCGTCGGGCAGAGTGATGGCGATCTTCTCACGCGGCTTGTCTAATAGAGAGCATGCATGTAAATAAATTAGCATTGGTCTGCTGCGGCATATATGCGTCACAAGTGTGACAATACATACAGGGGGTGGTGGGGGCGGTCCAGTCACACTACTCACTGCTTGGTGATGTTTTGACATAGTGAATCACTTCCGTATTGGGGGTGTTTTGGGTACTTACTGGCAACCTCCTCCTGCTGCTTGGCATACAGCTCGTCGAAAATGCGGTTGCGGTGCTCGATGAACTCGGGGCGGTCAATCTAGGGCATGGATCAAGGGGAGAGTGTGTGGTGGTTGAGAGTACGCTCTAGAAAAACACACGCTGCGCTTGTAGTGTTTGTACTTACCTGAGGGGCAGGGGCGTTACCGGCCTTGGGCTTCTTGGCCTGCTTGGCCTGCTTGTCGTTTATCGACATGTCGGCGGTCTTTTGGGCGAGGTCAGACATCTACAGCACAAATGCCACGAGCATAATTCAGTGAAACGAGCACAAGCCAGCGCTGCTGGTTTAACGATGCTGCACCCCGTACGTTACCTTGAGTAAAGCTTGATGGTCCTTCTTCTGGAATAAGATAACGTGCTGTAGTAAACAAAGAAAAGGGTGGTTGCGAAGAAATTATTGAAGGAAGAAAAGGGGAAAGGGAAAACCTCGCATTCCCCCACACCCAGGTGGGCTGCTTTTCGGCACTGTTGGCCGATTCCTGCCAGGCGCACGTTTAAAATTTTCTGAACCAGAGGTGGTCTCCTGATTTCCAGATCACTGTATTGGATCAAGACCCTTTTGCCTCAGTTGGTTGGTAGGCTGTTATTCGCTCGCGACTTCTGGGTGCGCTCACGCCTATGGAGTGAAGACCAGTGCCATTTAATATTCACACTATCACCCATCCCTTTTTCACTTCATTCTGTCCAGCCCTCACTCATTTTTAAAAGCAGCCTTACTATTATTACTTCAGGCAAGATGATGCAGGATTCGACAAACGATTCGCTGGCAGGCACGCCGGCCCTGAGCTCGCGTGCAACTGGAGTACTCGAGAGGCTGCAGGTCCAATACCAGACGTTCTTAGACCGGAGCACGCCATATGCCGGAGCGCGGTGGGGCACAACGGCGGCTCTCCTTTTCGTATTCCTTCTCCGCATTGTGCTGGCACAGGGCTGGTTCATCATCTGCTACGCGCTGGGCATCTACATGCTGAACTTGTTCCTGGCGTTCCTGACGCCCAAGTTTGACCCTGAGATGGCGGAGGAGCTGGAGGAGGCCGAGGCGGCAGATGAGTCTGGTCCGGGTCTGCTGCCGGTCAAGAACGACGACGAGTTCCGGCCGTTTATCCGGCGCCTGCCCGAATTCAAGTTTTGGCTCAACTCAACCAAGGCGGTGCTGATCTCGCTGGTGTGCTCGCTGTTCTCCATGTTTGACATTCCAGTGTACTGGCCCATCCTGCTGTTCTACTGGGTGTTCTTGTTTGTCATCACCATGAGGCGCCAGATCGAGCATATGATCAAGTACCGCTATGTGCCGTTTGCCAACTTTGGCAAGCAGCGCTACAACCGTAAATAGCTTTTTTTATAAACATCCTTCACACTCGATCTTTAAAAAATGAACCTCTGCGTTTAATACACTGCAACAATCAAACTGGCCCCCTCGATGACGTGCATAGCGGGCTCAATGCGCCTGTGAGAAGATACTGCTAGTACGGGGCGTTGTCCTGCGCAGCTCAAGGTCCAATGCACTCAGGCGCCTCTATGGCTCCTAGAGGCACAGGAGGATAAGCGGATGTCATGTGCGCCCGGATGGACAAACTCAGGTCACGTTTCCGTGTTTTGCGTCCCTATTACTTTAACGGAAGGAGAGCGTCATGGTCGGTCAGGCAGGCAGGTCAGACGGGTTGCTAGCGATCCCCCTTTCTAAAGCTGGTTCTCGCTCCCTCTCTTCTACGCCCGATAGTCCCATTGCATAAATTGCCAGGCATCACGCTTTCCGGTGTCACATTTTCCCACCTTCCAGCCCTTTTTTCTCTCAGTTTTTGCTGCTTCCTGGCAGGCCCAGCATACTTTTCCTCTTCTTATTTTGCGCCTGTCTACTGTCTACGACCTTGCGTTCTGGGCCAATTCCATATTGCTGTATTACTTTTTCGCGCATCGGCCCTTGAGACTGTATTTCATTCTCATTTCTGTGCTCACACCCCCTCTTTTATCTTACACCTGGTCTATTAACCAGACAAGCTCTTGACACCTCCCCTTCTTTTTTATTAAGTTATAGACTATACCTTGTATTACTCAATAATCATGTCTAGTGTGCCGACGATATGTTCCGACACAGCTAGCGAGCCGCTGCTGCGCAAGGACCAGGGGCTGCGCACGCGCCTGCGCACGAAATGGCTCGGCCTGGACCGTGTAAGCCGAACCGTATTTCTTGCCTTTGGGCTGATGATCGGGCTGGCGCTTTCACTCCGCATAGCCATCGAAGTACTCCACCCATTTGACAATTGGCCAGGACCGCGCATCACGCTGCCACCCGACCACGATACGCTGAAAGACGACGAGTCGCGGCGCAGATCCGTGCGCTCGGCAATGAAGCACGCCTGGGACGGATACCGCCAATACGCATTCGGCCACGACGAGCTCAAGCCGGTGTCCAATGGCTTCAACGACAAGTGGGGCGGCTGGGGCGTGACATTAGTGGATGCCCTGGATACGCTGTATATCATGGATTTATATGAGGAGTTCAAGGAAGGGGTCGCCCATGTGGTGGATGTCGATTTTGGCAAGGCGCAGAGTGGCTATACGACGCCGTTTTTTGAGATGATTATTCGGTCGCTGGCGGGGCTACTGACGGCATATGAGATGAGCAATGACAGGAGGTTGCTGAAGAAGGCGCAGCAGGTGGGCGATGCGCTGTTCCCGGCGTTCAACACCACCACTGGGATTCCCTATCCGCGCGTCGATGTCAATCGAGGCACAGCAGTGTCGTCCAGCCATGTATGCCTGGCCGAAGCCGGCACTGTGCAGCTCGAGTACTGGAAGCTATCGGAGCTCACAGGCAATGACAAGTACCACCAGGCAGCACAGCGTGTGGTAGATATCCTAGACAAGGCCGACAAGCCGTACCCAGGCTTATATCCTATCTGGATCGAGATTAGCTCGGGCAAAATGACCTCGGGGCAGATTACGTTTGGCGGACAGGGGGACAGCTGGTACGAGTACATGCTCAAGCAGTACCTCTATGGACGACAGAAGCATGAGCAGTACAAGCGCATGTATATCGAGTCGATCGATGCCATGAAGGAGAAGATGATTCGCACATCAATCTATGAATCGAACATGGTGTATCTGGGCGACCTGGACTCGACGGCGACAAAGTTCAATCCCAAGCTGCAGCACCTGACGTGCTTTGTGCCCGGGATGCTGGCACTAGGCAGCAAGCCCTGGATCGGCCCGACGACATGCATCTGGCCAAGAAACTGATGGACACGTGCTTCCAGATGTACAATCTGACGGCAACTGGTCTCGGCCCTGAGTATGTGCTGTTCCGTGACCAGAGCAACAAGGGTCTATCGCCAGACAAGGACAAGAACGACTTTGAAATTGAGGACCTGTCAGCAGCAAGTGGGTTCGAGAAACGCTATGGGTTTTACTTTGGCAACGATCCGCAGCTACATTTTAAGGCCCGAGACTGTCGAGAGCCTGATGGTCCTGTATCGCACGACTGGCGACGCAAAGTACAAGGAGTGGGGATGGCAGATTTTCCAGTCAATCGAGGCGTTCACCAAGACAGGGACGGCATACTCGGCATACAAGGACGTCATGTCGGCCAACGCTAGCTCGCAGTGGTCCGACTCGATGGAGTCATTCTTCTTGGCTGAGACGCTAAAGTATCTGTATCTGCTGTTTTCGCCTGTAGACTACTACTCACTTGACGAGTATGTGTTCAACACCGAGGCACATCCGTTCAAGATCCACCGCAGTGGGTCGTTCTAATTCTGCTATGCGATTTTACTTTATTTATTTTCGCTATGTCTTTCCTACGAGTAGTAACACATGTTTTGTTTTTTTTAGAACGTTGCTTCAAGGATGCGGGTGGTCATAAAGCCTATTGGGGGGAGAGCTGGACCGTGCAGTAGTAGACCGCACACGTTTAGGAAAAGGAAAACAAGCTACTACTCGGTCTGGCGCAATATGGCGGTAATACTCGTAGCCTAGGTATATCAGTCCACAGCTATTTCTTGGTGTGTTTGGCATTCATTCAACGTTTCGCAGACCACATAAAAGTATATACAAATATTACTTCTTTGTTTTCTCTAGTGTGCCCAAAAATGGCATGTGGCTAGAGCGGTAGAAACCCGCTCCACTGGTAAAAAAAATAGTGAATGCCGGCTACCAACTAACAAACAAACTAATTGTTGACGCTCGTTTGTAAGGTAGGAACTGAGGAGAAAGCAAACTTGAAACTATTGTAAATGCTTGGAAGGATTTATATTATTTACATGGCGACATCTGGCCACACCTTGTTATCCGGCTCGGTGTTTCATGTTTTTTGTCTTTCTCTCAAAATTACTATTTGTTCTGTAATTCAGCTATTTTCCACTAATATCTCTTGGGTCTCAGCTGTACCTACATTTTTTTGCCATGACTTGCACCTTGAAAAAGCTCGGACTGGCACTAGTAGCCATTGCACACATATCCGGTACCAACGCCGAGTGTCTCTCGCTCAAAGGTAAAATAGATGCACAGACAGACATAGACGCACCCAGAGCACCAGAACATACGGCTAACCAAAAGAACTGTTTGCGTAGATTCGCAAGGCTGCCCTGGATTCGCACAAGAGTTCATTAGCACCAATGCCACAGCACGGTTTGTGTGGTATCCGCCCAACGACATCAATGCATTCGACAAGGCATTGACCGAGTACGTCAACGGACAGTCGAACCTGGACGAGTTCCAAGCGGTATTCCGGTGCTCCGGGCTGGACAAACTGGGTGGGTTCCAAAAGGACCATGGGCAATCAGTAATCCGGTTCCACCGCAGCATCATCTGCGCAGACCTGATCGCCAGCAAGGACAACACGGACGAATGCTATAGGCAGAATACAAAGGGAAAGCGCGACTTGGATCCCGGCATGGAATTGGTCAAGATGGCGGCCATGGTGAAGCGAGCCAAAACCGCTGTGCGGGGCGACGTGCAATGAGTGGGTGGATAGTTTGGAGACTATTGTTTCGAACTCGACGCTGTGTACGGCTAGCCCGGGGATCAATCGCGAGGCCACATTACAGTCGCTGCGGGACAAGTGCAAGTCGGCGCCGTACAATGGCGTCAAGGGCAGCTGTGTCAATGGCGATGACAACGAGCCTGGGACGTGCGGTAAGTTGGACCATTATGCAGAATTGCACTATTCGATCATTGGAGGCTTATTCAAAGTGCTCAAGAGTCAATTGACTGTGGGTGGCTTCCATCTTTGTACCATAGCCAACAAAAGCAACAATTGACTGAATCACCCTCGATTATGCCCCACATAGGCTTTCAGCGCGTCGAGGACTGGTGCAAGCACTGCAAGTATGCGTCGGATTACCCGGATGCATGCATGACAGCTGGCGTCCACATCAGCAGTGGAAGCACAAACAGCATAGCCTCCAAGACCAAAGGTGGGCATCAGCCGACGGCAACCAACACCCACGAGACGCTGGACTCGACTGATCGCAGACTTGGAGAAGCAGGCACACCAGGAGCGGCTGTATCGGATAGCCGCCATCGTTCTCAGCATCGCAGTCGGCATCTGTCTGATAGCACTGATGATCCTGATAGCTGACTTCGGGGTCACGCAGCACCGGAACACCCTGGCATGCTGCGCGGACGCAAAAATAAGGCCGAAAACACTGGGCTGGATGGGGTGTTGGGCATGGCGGAGCGCGTGGACAAGACCATGGACTTTGTCGACTGCTTTGTCAGCGCAGTGGGCAAGCCACGGCCAGTAATACGGCACTTTTTCGCACGGCGCGACGACGAGATCTCGTTGCAGCAGGGCGATATTGTCACGTTGCAGATGGCGTTTGATGATGGCTGGGTGGTTGGCAAGAACTTGACGACAGGCGGCGAGGGCACGTTCCCATTGATGTGCGTTATGGATAACCTGCCGCCATCAATGCCAGCGCAGTGGTCAGTGCTGCCCGAGAGCAAAATGGCCAGCAATGAGAACGTGCGCAAGCCGTCGCAAGCAGTGACCCGGTCGCCGCAGAATGACAGCGGCTCGATGGTTTCCAACTCCAGCTACTACCACAGTAGCATTGGGATCAGCGCCATGGGCAACATGTCGGATCAGGTGCGTCGCGGGGGGCTCGGGAATGTAAGCCGCATGAGCAACCTGACTGTAGCGCCAAATATCACCCGGACCAATATCCCGAGCCAGACGTCCAGCAGATCTAGTCGCCCGCAGCACCCTAGGCCCACAGTGCTGAATCACAATAGCGCCGGCATTGCACACAGAAGTGGCAGTCGAGGGCAACCGCGAGAACACCAGCATTATTAGCCGGCTACTAGGGGCATTCGGTCGCACTGGTGCTACTAATCTGGAGCCGATGAGCGAGGAGTCGGGCAGCGCTGTCCAGATGTTCAAGCGGCTAGTGTCGGCGCCGTTTGGGAACCGAGAGACTACAAGCACTGACGCTGGGGTCGAAAAGTCGTCGCACTCGGGTCGGCCCTCGTCGTTCAACGTCAACCATGTAGTCCATGTTGGAATTGACACCCGGCAGTACCCGCGGCCAAGCGACACACCACGCAATGTGTCGGATAGCAGACAGAATGTCAGGGCAGGCGAGCGCGGGTACTTTAGGCAGCCGGCGATCGATGGGCGCGAGATTGCTGAAGTGGTGAGGCAACGGACAGTGGGCAATGCCAGTGCTGAGACGTACCAGACGGCCGAACAGATGGTCCACGGCAACAACTAGCCAGCGAGAGACAACATTTTTTTTACCTTTTCTGCACATACTCCGCTTTCACATACTGACACCAAGTAAATACAATTTGATCAAACCTTGCTTTTTGCCATGCAAAAGCCCTGTTCTCGCCAAGATCAGATCAAATCCTAAGCCATGCTCTTGTCCAGCAACACATTCTGCTGCGCAGTCGCCACCAAAAAGCTGAAACGGCTTTTTTACCCACCCTGAAAACTGCATTTCCCTTTCACAAATTGCAGCATCCAATGGACACCAACGACCGCGAGAGAACAGCGCACTCCAACAGCCAGGCAGGCAGGGCCATCCGCGGCCCGCAGAGTGCGCTGACCGACTACCTGCAGGAAATCGGCGTCAGCGACCACTTCCGCGAGCGGCGGCGGCAGGAGGCAGAGGAGCGGCGGCGGCAGGCCGAGGAGGCAGCAGCCCTGCGTGAGCAACAGGCCGCAGCAGCAGCACCCGCCGAGCAGCCTGACAAGAGCCAGGAAGAGGACGCAGAAGAGGAGGCAGCAGTGGCCGAGTCCAGCAGGGCAGCGCAGCGCCGGGTGCAGCCGAAGCGGACAGCAAAGAAGAAAAAGAAGAACGACTCATATGACTCTGGCGAGGACGAGGCAGACTATCGGGCGGGGCTGAACAAGAGCTCAGCACGCAAAGGCGGGCATTTCCAGCGGTGCGAAATCTGCGACAAGCAGTTTCTCATGCGCGCCGACTATGCCTTGGCACGGCTTCTGTGTCCGGCCTGCCGCAAATCAGTGGACAAGGCCGCGCAGCCGGCGAAAAAGCCCGCAGCTAGAAAGCGTCTGGCAGAGCCGAAGCCTCCGGTGACCAAGCGCAAGCGCATGCGTAAGACAGCCGACGGACTGCTGGAGCTCGACCAGCGGCTGCCGTCGCTGCAGGATCTGTGTGTGCGGGCAATCGCCAGGAACATCGATCAGGTCGAGTCCTTCGGTGATGTGTCGGAGGCCGTGACGCTGAAGATGTGTCGGATTGTCAGCAAAATGCGTCTTTTGGACGAGCAGACGCTGGGGCTGTTTCTGGGCCGCACGCGCACATCTGTGACTCTGTATGACTGCGCCAAACTGTCCGACCACAGTCTGGGCCGCCTGCTCGACTGCCCAAGTATCGACTCTTTGTACTTGGGTATGTGCGGCCGTCTGACAGGAGCGCGCCTTCTCGACTTTGCCAACCGCCTGCCCAGCCTCAGCTCGCTGACTCTCGAGGGTGCATTTCTAATCGACGACGACATGTTTGCTGAGTTTTTCCGCATCTGCGGCAACCGCCTGCGCGTGTTCCATGTGCGGTGGGCTGGATTTGGCGAAAAAGCCATGCGGGCGCTGGTGGTGAACTGCGGCGGGCTGGAGGACCTGGAGATCGCCGAGTGCACCAATTTCAACGACGCCTGCCTGGCCATGCTGGCGCCCCCCGTCGAGCAGTCCGAGATTGACCTGCAGAACGTCGCCCGCGCTCTGCGCGCACAGCTGCGCGGCAAGAGCTCCGGGGATATGGCTGTGCCGCCGTGGCGTGCGCTGCCACTGCAGCACTTGGCGCTGTCACGCCCCCACCACGCGATGGACCACAAGACCACCATGCGCGTGATCGAGACTGTGGGCCCGGGGCTGGTCTCCTTGGATGTCTCTGGCTTCAAGGATATCACCGACGAGTTCGTCACCGCCGGACTGCACAAGCACTGCTTGAATCTGCGCGAATTGGTGATGGACGAATGCCTGGAAATCACGGGCGCCGGCCTAGCCCAGTACTTTGCCAACCTGCGTGCTGCCAGAACTGGCCGGGCTGGCGAGAGCCTGGAGTGCGTCAGCCTGGAGCGCTGCTACCGGCTGACCGTAGAGGCTGTGCAGGAGCTAGTGCGCAGTGCTGGCAGCTCGCTGCGCAAGCTGAATCTGAACTCGGCCGACGACAGCATGACCAAATGGGGGCTGCTGGCGCTGGCTGGCCGCATGTACGACAAGGAGGGCGTCTTGGTCGAGGAAACCACCGGGATGTCCGTATCTGACCGAGGTTGATTTGTCGTGGGTGCGCTGCACCACCGATTTGGTGTTGGAGGATATTTTGTCGTGCTGCCCACGGATTGAGACTGTGCGTGTGTACGGGTGCCCGCACGTGACGCAATTCGCCCCCACCCGCCCCGGCCTCAAGTACATTGGCCGCGAGAGCGATACCCTCTGAAATAGCCATCTCGGAGCCAACTGCGGGCGCTATCTCCCGCCGCGGGTCGGCCAAAGCCCCGAGTGATGGGAGAGGGCTTTCTTCCTTTAGCTCGCATGAATGCTGATCCCCCTGCCCAGCGGGCGAATCATGTGCTAGTGGCTTTTTTGCTTTCACCTGAACATGAGCACGCCGGGTATGTGATGCACCGGGCTGCCGTTCAGAGGGGTCGCCCTAAAAGGACCAGCAAAATCCTCTCCCTCCCCTCCTGTTCCTCATCCACTCCACTCCCCCATTGTTTCTATTTAACCCTCTTTTTCTGCCTAATATATACCATGGCTATTACTCCAAAGACGCTCATTGGCGAAATTCGCAAGGGCCATGAGCTGGACGTGACCAAGCTGGAGGCCTTTCTGCAGCGCGAGATCAAGAAGGAGCTGGCGATGCCGCTGACCATCAAGCAGTTCAACGTGGGCCAGAGCAACCCGACATACCTGATCATTGACAGCAGGTACGTTTTTTAACATTTTTTGAGCAGCACTTCAGAGTGTGATGACGACACACTGCCTACAGCCATGAATTCTTCAATTTCCTGTTTACTCCTTTCAAGTAGCGGCAGGAAATTCGTTTTGCGGAAGAAGCCTGCCGGCCAGCTATTGTCAAAGACTGCACACGCGGTGGAGCGCGAGTACCGCGTATTGGATGCGCTCGGACGCCACTCCAATGTGCCGGTACCGCGCGTCTACGCACTGTGTGAGGATCCGAGTGTTATCGGCACGCCCTTCTATCTGATGGAGTTCCTGGAGGGCCGTATATTTCCGGATGCGCGGCTGCCCGAGGTGCCGCCACACGAGCGCCCGCAGTACTGGTCGGCGCTGGTGAGCACTTTGGCGAAGCTGCACAAGGTCGACTACAAGGCCGTCGGGCTGGAGGGCTACGGCCGGCCGTCCGGGTACTACGAGCGCCAGCTGCGGAGTCTAAGCAAAGTCGAAGCTGCACAGGCTGCGGCCACTGACAAGCACGGCAATGCCGTTGGCAGTCTGCAGCGTCTGGATGAGCTGAAATCGTGGTTCAGTCAGCGCGAATGCCCCGACGAGACTGCGATCGTCCATGGCGACTTCAAGATGGACAATGTTATGTGGCATAAGACCCGGCCCGAGATCATTGGTATTCTGGACTGGGAGCTGTCGACGCTAGGCAACCCGCGCACCGACCTGGCCAATCTCCTGCAGCCGCTGCTGACGCCCTACAATATGCCTGGTCCCTTCAAAGGCCTGAAGGATGCGCCTGCCAGCGAGTTCCCACCCGACGAGCAGGTGCTTCTGGGGCAGTACTGTATGGAGATAGGCCGCCCCTATCCGCTCGCCGGCTGGGACTACGCGGTTGTGTTTGGGCTGTTCCGCAATGCTGTGATCATGCAGGGCGTGGCTGCGCGCCTTGCCAAGGGCCAGGCGTCGTCAAGCTTTGCCAATATCGTCGCCAAGCAGTTCCCCGTCGTCATGGCCCTGGCAATGAGCGTCGCTGACGGCAGCTTCCGGACCAAGCAGAGCAAGCTTTAATTGTCGAATAATTGCAATAGATCCATGTAGCCCCATGCGGTTTTTAGTTTTTCCAGCTGGAGCAGCCCTTTGTATGATTGCAAGCGGACAATGAAAGGACCCGAGAACGCGCATCTGGATTCCGTCAAATAACTCTGGATTGTAATTTTACTGTCGCTTTTTTTTTTTGAGTTTGAATAGCGAGTTCATTACAAATATTAAGCACTGTCCAGGGGTCCTTTTTCTCCGTCATGGGCCTGGCGCTATTCATGAACATTCGCGAAATGAAAATGGGCTTTTTTCGAGAAACGATTCACAGCTATTGTGTTTTTGGACAGATCGCAAGAAAGTGGAGCTGGAGGCGATCAAAAAGCACTTGAATGGAGAAAAATGCAAGCAGGGAACAAAATTTTACACTATTGCCACAGATGGCGGACTGGAAAAAGAAAAGTAGCTAGCACTCGTCTTCTTCCTCTTCTGGCTTCGGTGTCTTCCTTTTTACTACATCACACGGCTTGCGTTTCTTTTTTCTTCATCCTGCTCCTTGATATCTCCAACCACGCTCTAATATCACTAGTCACCCTTCCATCATCATCACCCAAGGGTAAAATTTCTGGACACAACAGTACAGGCCCCCGTTACACGTTAGCAGCGCATTGGACACAGTAACACGTACTTGTGTGTGTGGAAGGTCAATCGCATGAGCTTAGGTACAGATCTTCCCAATGGTCAACATGATCACCCACCCAAACGGCTACCCAATGTTCCACAGCTACTAACCACAGTTTTTTGCTGTTGTGTAGGCAGCAACCTTCAGGTAACGAGATTATACACGCGGGACGCCATCGCATCTGCCACACAGCACGATATTAACATTATTGTAATGTAGTACGTATACCGCTGGCGGATTGGTCAATGGAGCAGCCTTGCGCCGTGCGTTGAGCACAACAGCCCACCCTTTGATGCCGATGGGCTGTGCTGGGTATTCAAACTATTCAAGGGCCGCACGCGCAACCCACAGGTAGAGTAGCAGGCCAGGATATTTTTCCCTCACGCACAATACATAGACTTTTTTCTCTCTCATGCCAGAGCTACACGCCCGCCTGAACAATAGGTGGCGCATACACTTTGCATTCCGAATATAGTGGGAACGTGCTGACTCCAAATCGCATAATTTTCTGTAGGCGCTGGCGTTGTATCTGGCCGTGCACGAATCGTCTGCCGACCGGCTCAGACAGATGCGCAAAAAATTGGATATCTCGTTCACATTGGAGAATCTGCAGGCGCGCTCGCTCAGCTTCAACAAATACCCGGCGCCAATAACCGTGTGGGTCGACAGCAACTACAGCACCTGGGGGGACGACAAATTCATCGACCTGGCCGACATGAACAGCTTTCTCAACGACGACACGGCATGTCTAGTCGTGCGCTTCCATGTGCGCGAGACCATCCATGAAGGCGCCCCCATGTCCCTACCAACATCCACAATAGCCGTGTATGTACCAGACAAAATCGCCGCGCCATTCAACCAGCTTTTGAAGTCCGCGCGGTTCTCTGATATCCAGTTTGAGCTGCGCGACTCGTCCTCATTGCTACTGTCACCTGGCCCGCCCGCGCACGGGCTGTTGCCGTCACCACGATCTAGCGGCGAATTTGTCAACCCGCTGGGCATCGACCAGTGCGTGACGCCGATGCCCGGGAACCGCACGCCCAGGGCATTACCGTATGCGCATCGTCCACGGATGGACGAGCCGCCGTTGCCGGGCCACCGGTATCATGCGCATAAGGCGATCCTGATGCAGGTATCGCCGGTATTTGAGGCCATGTTCAGCAATGGAATGCGTGAGACATTCGAGCAGGTTGTGGAGGTCTGGGATGTCACGCCGCGGGCGTTCGAGCGCCTTTTGGAATTTGCCTACACACGGCAATGCGATCTGGACCCTAAATCGCCCAAATCCGCCAATGTTACGCCAGACGAGGTCGTCGAGACCTTGCTTTGCGCTGACCAGTTTGGCGTCACAGAGTTGCGCCACGTGTGCTGGCGGAACTTGATGTCCAAGATTTCCATCGAGACAGTGTGGGAGATATGGTCGATAGCAACCGACCTGGAGGCGAAAGAGCAGATGAGCTCGTGCCGCATGTTCTGCTGCCGCCATTTCACACAGCTATGCCAGAACGAATCAACCATGTGGGCGCCTGCACATCTACTGAAGGAAGTGCTGGCCAGCGATGCGCTGAATGTGCAGAGCGAGGAGGATTTGTTCGAGACCGTGGTCCGATGGGCCGAGTTCAGCGAGGACGACTCGGGCGACGAGCAGCAGGCGCGCGCCACGCCTCCGGGCCAGATAGTGTCGGCCGAGAAGCACACCAAAACCACCCGGCCGTCAGATAGCGCCGTACTCAAATGCTACCGGTCGCCGGCCAACCTGGCGCTCCTGCCGCGCAGCCCACGATCGCCGTTCCTGCAGGCACGCAGCCCGCGCCGGAAATCTGAACTGACGCGTGAGGCCTTCACTGCAGGCGCTATGCCGGGCGCCACCACTCCACCCAGTACCGATTCGCCGCGCACGTCAATCTGTAATGTGCGGCTGCAGTCAGTCGAGTACTCCGATACTGCCACCTTGGCTACATTGCATGCGCGCAAAGAACACCTATCGTCGCTATTGCCCTGCATCCGGTTTCCGATGATGGACAAGCAATTTTTGCTTACTGTCGTCGAACGTAATTCCGAGCTGATGGCCATGCCACTGATGAAGGATTTGCTGATTGAGGCGTACCGGTTCCATGCGTTCAATCCACCCGCGCCTGTGGAGAAACCTGAGCGGCGCCGGGCATCAGAGTGCTTTGCAAAGCGGGAGTCGAGCACGCCTGTGGAGCAGTATGCGAAAATTATCTTGCCATTAAATGGCACGGACGAGTACACGCTGTCACGCTCGCAGCGCCGCAAGTGGGTTTTCCAGAATGCTGCTCAGAAGACCCTTGCTCAAAACATATTCGCCTAAAATGTAACGTACCGAGTTTACGTAGATTTAATACCACACAACATCGTTTGCACCTTTTATTCGTATCACCTTACCCCTCCCCGGATTCAATTTTCACAGAATCCCAAAAAAGCTATTTCAAATTCCTTTCCTTCCATACTCATTCAATAGATATCATTCACATCACAACCACTGCTTCAGTCTGTTTTCCAATCTCAGTTTGTTGAAAAGGATGTCAGCACCGCAGGTGAGATACGAGGACATTGATAGACCAGCGTTCCCAATTAATATGCTGTTCATGGATTCTTCTATGACGGGCACCTGCCATCCCCTCCCCGTTTGACCGGGGCAGGCGACCGCAGGCCCGGGTCTCCGCTTGCAGGGCTACAAATCCGATCATCATGGAGCATGTCCACAGTAGCGGAAAGCAGCGCGCAGCCTTATAGCACGGAGCCGGCAACTAGGCACTTGTCAACAACAAAAGGTAAAGATTCCTCCCTCTGCCTGCCCCTGCCTGCTGCGTGTCACCGCCCGCCTCCCCATCCACCGATTATGGTTATGTCTGCGCTGTGAGTGAGAGCCAGCAAATCTATCGGAACAACAAGACTGGGCTCTCAAAGAACAGCGCATCTGCACTTGCTCTATCGACGAACATGCAAGCTGCCCTGCCATGAAGCAAGGCCGCAAGGGGGTCCTGGCAGTCTCACTGAGCGAACTCTAAACCACAGGCTCCCTTGCTGCGTCGAAGTTTACCTGAGGCGCCTCCCCGCTCTAAGCCACCGATTCTCTGTCGACACCACTGCCCTCGCTGGTGCTGCCTTAGGGGTGGTCCCGCTGGCAATCGGATGGCCTGTCGGTTTCCTAGATCGGCCATGTGCATCCATCGCAGATGCCCGTCCGCAGTGAACGACAGTGTTTTGGATTCGACTGGGCAACAGAGGAACGCCACCCCGCCTCTTCCCGAATACCCGCTAGTTCATTCCTATTTCCTCTCCTTGACAAGATACCGTCTCCAAGAGCTGAATAATGGCTATTGAGCGCGCCTGCACCAATAGAGAAAACCACGAGTGCGAATGCGGCTTCAGCAAGATCTCTTCTCTAGCAAGCGTTTCACACCCTAGCAAATAAAAATCGCAGTAACTATCGATAGAGCATCTCCGGTGTTAGGCCCATGTGTCCTTGCTGCCGCAGCCCGCCGCAGTGTTTTGTGTAGATATACCTACAGCGCCATGCACGAGGCACACCCCTCCACTGCTTCTGGAATATGCTGGTCACAGGACTGTGTGCAGTAGTCCTATCCGGCCCGGCACTTGGCGAACCCACAAAAAGCACGTAGCACGCCCCTTGGCACCGATGTGCATGCACCAGAAAGCAGAGCACCAGCCCATTTAAGGGACAGGCATGCCCCAATCCCCCTGCTCGCATAGACTTGCTAATAACAACAGTACAAGCTATACATCTACCATGTCATTCCGCAATTTCTTCAAGAGGCTTCCCAGCACAGACACCCGCACCGAACCCGATGGCTCCATCTTTTATTCGAATACATCAACAAAATCACAAAGCAATGCCCATTCATTGACTAGTGCTGCCGAGGGCAATAGCCCAGACCATGTCCTCACATACCTCTATAGCACTAGCAGCAGTCAAGGCAGTTTCGGCACCCGTCCATTCACGTACCACAGCTAGACTTGTTCACAGAGTATTTTAATAAACCTTTCGGCTTGCATCGTTTGCAGCGACCTACTCTGCTTTTTGCCAACCGACCGTTTTTGTGTTTTGCTGGTAAATAGCCGCCACAGTCTACGCTGTTCTTCCTGCGTACAGCAACTACCTTCCTATGCATATACATAGCAGAAACTGGCTTTGTTATCCAAGTCCTCAATGTATCTGGATTCAGCAGGAGCCGCTGACGATTCACAACGCCACCTTCAAGAATTACCTGTGGACCAGCCCTATGTGCATGTATTCGGCAGACAGTGGCAACACCAACGGCTTCCATTTTATGAACTATAGATAGTTTGCAGTCTACATTGCTGCCGCCATTTCATTGACGCAACATGTGCTTAAACTAAATGCTGCCATGCATATTTTGATCTAACCGCATGGTCCGTATGGTTTGCCCATTGCATATCATGGAAACGGTAGCAGATGCTTAACACACATATCGACCGTCAGCGGTACAATATTCCAAATAGCAGCGTTTATTTACCAAATATGTCATTAGTTTGATGAGCAGGGCACTGGACGAGACAGCGTTCTACTAAAGCATTGGCAAAGACACATGTGCTGCTGGCGGAGGCAGCACGGACCAACGATGAAAGTAGCCTCAAACACAGGTTCATTGTGTATCATATACATGTTAATTTTCGTGCTTTCAGAAATTGATTTACAATCCAGGTCAGCTTTCGTGGCGCAACTGGTTAGCGCGTCTGACTGTTAATCAGGAGGTTGATAGTTCGAGCCTATCCGAGAGCGATCTTTTTACTCTGGTATCTTTTGATGCCCCAAAATATAGACATTTGAGCTGATCTCCATAAATATCCGAGAGTATACAGATGTTGTCATACTATTTTGTGGTAGCACTACTTGTTTTCTACATCATCTTAAACCTCTTTTTTACCATGGACAAGTTTGGAATGAACAGTCAGACGGAGCACTGGCATGCCAAGTATGTGGGTACCGGCAACCCAGATATCAGCAAGCACGAATGGTTCGTCAACCAGCACCGCGATACCTTAGCATATTACGCTTCGGATAACAGCCTGGCAGCCTTCATCAGCATTGCTGAAGGAGAGAGCATCGCGCGGACAAAGTACAATATGCTCCAGCGGATGCAGCAGCCATGCGGACACGCTCCCCGCTCCTCGGGCACAGACTCATAGCAGTGCAAACCTATCGATTGCATCACATAGACAATGGGAAAACAGGTGCTATTGTGCATATATGCTACTGCCGGCCCAAATTGGGACCTTGAATCACCATGCATTATTTAGTCTAGATGCTGGGTTTACTTCACCTCTATGGGCTAGCTTGTCATAGGCTGGGACGTTTGAAATCAGACCGGAATTACAAGACTCGCCGCTTGCCTTTGCTGCGGAATGGTCAATCGTTTAATGCATAGCTACATACATAGGGAGGGACCGAGTCGGAAACAGGCGAAAGACAAATTAACTGTGGCATGGTAGCTCTGACCTTAGTTGACAGTATAAATACAGTCCAAACTACATAATCCCTCAATATCATCACAGCGCCCTTCTCTGCCCACCACTTGTCAATTGAAAGGCATGACCTCTAGCACCTTGTCACAATATCCTTTTTCCCTTTTTTTTTTTTGAAGTCAAGCCAGGAGACAGTTGCCCATTTTGCTTATGTACGCCTTCCCTTGGGATTCAGGACCAGATTGAGCACAATATCGAATGCATAGGCTAAAGACAATCGATTGTCTCAAGGGCTAATCAATTGAACTTTCACGCTGCTTTGACAACTGACGGCAACTCTAGGTGCGCCACACCTATTGATTCGATGATATAAAAGTGCTGCCAGCTGGTCTACCCTCTATTAAAAGCTTTCTCCAATATATCTAAAGCCCTCCTTCGTAAATCAGTCCTTGACAGGAAGACCATACCTCGGGAGCTAGAATCATTTGGCAGTTTATAACATTAGCCTGCCCTCGATGGCAAAGTGGGCATGCATAGCTGCTATGGTCAAGTCCCAGTGGGAAATCGATACATACAATAGATATTGCGGCTCCAACCCATGAGTATTCCGTAGCGCACATCTAACCATATTATCAACAGAACATCATTGTTGGCCATGGAGCGCCAAGTTATTCATACGGCACCCCAGGTCTGACTGTACACGCCCAGACACGGGTTCAGGGAAGCCATCTGACCCTCCTTTTATCTCCTTACAAACGATTTTGAAAGAAATAAACAAAAATGACTGAATATTCATTTGGAAAGTTAAATTCGAATATCAGCATTCATGTTATTCAATTGGGTCAAAGTGCTGTTTACTGGAAACTTGCTCTATATTACAACCTCAGCGGTGGTGATCATGAAGCAATAAAGCGGAACCTCTCAGTTCTATTTAACAAACAACTACTAAAGTTTACTGTGGCTTTATCCTTCTTTGTCAATACAAACCACTGTTGATTACTTTACTATGCACACACCTCCCACCACTAAGCGCTGTTACTGCCATGTTGCTGAAATGAAAGCTTGGTGCCTGCAATGTGGAGCTCGGATAGATTTGCTATGGGAGGCGGACTCTTACAACAGGTACTGTACCTACAGGATGCCAAACATCATGAGACCTGGACGTTTTGGGAACAGCTGATTTTTTAGTTAGTGTGGAGTGTCCGGCAATACTTTTACTGTCGAGTTGATATTATTGGCTCTAGTAGTTCCAACCAACGCCTCAGTTCGATGGCAACAGAATTGTTCGTCCGCTGCAATGCACAAGCCGACTCTAGTTTATAAAGGCTGCCCTCCGCTAAGAGCTTTTTTTTGCATAATTAATTGGTTTTATATATTTCGATATGGATGTTTTTACTGGAAATCTTGCAAACAATCGTACCAGCGGTGATGATGCTTCAGCCATATCCAACAAATACACAAGGCAGCATAAAATAGAAAAGATGCATGGACTTGCATGTAAACTGTGGCAGAACTCGCAAGGGGATGGCGAAACTCTTACAGATAACGCTCAACCAGATGAGGGTAGTGGCACACACCTTGTACGTAACTTTGCATTCACCAGCCTCTACTGCCACCACTGCAACAGCCAACTGACATCCGATGACGCATTTATCCACCACTCCCACCGCTGCGTAGACTAGGCGGACTGCTTGTCAGCATATCATTTTTAAAAATGCATATGAAACAGTTACATAAAACATACATGCTTGGTGTTACAAATGCTGTGATTGGAATGTTATCCATTCATATCACACCCATTGCACTCTATTTACCATACACCTGCATACGGATAGTTTATTCAAATATTCAGTGAGCAATCTTGAGCGAGAAATCGACGTGCGGAACGCTTTGCGTCATGGCGCCAAAGCTGATGATGTCGATGCCCCGACCCATGTATAGCGGAGCCGTCTCCTCAGTGATACCACCGCTGGCCTCAACCAGCACAACACGCGAGAGCTTTGCCCACCGCTCCTTGATACTGACTGCTGCAGCCTGCATTGACTCGGGAGTGAAGTTATCGAGCATAACAATGTCAGCACCTGCCTCGATAGCCTCGTCAGCCTCAGCCTCACTCTGGCACTCAACCTCGATCTTGATCGAGAAGCCAGCAACCGAGCGCGCAGCCTTTACCGCATTGGCAATGGAGCCGGTAGCCCAGATGTGGTTATCCTTGAGCATCACCATAGTAGACAGATCCATGCGGTGAGTGTCCGCTCCGCCAACCTCCATACCATATTTTTCAATCAGACGGAACCCCGGCGTAGTCTTGCGGGTACCAGCGACAACGCCTTGGAAGTTGCTGGCATCGGCAATCTTGCGCAGGCGGCGTGCACGCGAGGCAACACCACTGCACCGTGCCAGGATGTTCAGGGCTAGACGCTCGCCCAAAAGGATCTTGCGCGCGGGCCCACAGACCTCGGCCACGGCAACCTTGCCGCCGAGCGGGTCAATCTCGGCACCCTCTTCGTGGGTCCAGCTCACTGTGCATCCGACCTGCCGGAACACCTCGTCAAAGAAGGGCCGGCCAGCGACGATTCCAGGGCTCTTGCAATAGAGCGTAGCGGTTTTCTCCTCGTTGCCGACAACGTAGCCGCCATAGTCGAATGAGGGGATGTCTTCGGCAAGCCAGCTCTCGATCGTGCGATGGAAGGTGGGAGGCAGAAGTGCAGTGAAGTCAGTAGGCATGGTTGATGTTAGTTAATATGTAGAGTTAAGCAGAGAAAAGCACCACGTATTCGATCTGCTCGTGGACGTGAATGTGATATGGCTTGTACTGATAAGCAGCAACCCTGATCCTCTGTTTCAAGAGCAATGTTTCACGTGACCCATTCCCAAATCCCGCCGCCGATCTAATCAAGGGCTATTATTCAGCATCTGGTCGGTTTGGGATTTTTGCGCAGCCCCTACCCACTGGCATTTTTATACTATTCTACTTGCTTTCGCTTTTTTCCTTCATTTCCTTTTCCAATTATACTTCGTTTTTCTTTCTTCATATCATGTCCACCCCCAGAAGGTACCATTCGCATATGGACGACGCAAAAGATACCATTGACCAGGTGCTGACAATCCTCGGCACCCTGCAGACGAAGCTAGGTGCAGCACCAGAAGGTATGTCAAGGCTTTACGATGATGTCTTTTCTGTGTTCCCCATTTTTCAAATTAATGTTAAGATTGGACTTTTGGCTGTATAGAGCTGGGTATGGTTGAGATTGGGCGATTTGAGCGCAAGTGTAGAGAGCTCGAGGTCATGACGCGGCTGTATCAGAGCAAATGCTGCGATTATGATGAGCTTGAAGCAAAGCACAACAGATTTTTGGAGCGCAGAAAGACAGCTGATGTAGTTCACGCTCCAGAAGTGTCTGACAACAATCAGTCAACGAGTAAAGCCCCACAGCCGCATTCAGAGCCAGCCTCAGCTAAGCGCTTCGCAGAGACAACAACATCGTTGACGAAGCGGCGGCGCACTGATACCTCCGTGGACCAGATGCACTCGCTGTTTTCATCATCCCCACCCATGTTCCGTCCAGTAGCCCATTTCAACGATAAGGCATGGCAGCGCAAGAAGGTACGGGCGGAGAGAACAAAACTGGCCCCGTGTGCTGCCAGTTCTCAAACAACGCAAATGGATGCCAGCGAGGCAAACGGACCAGTCACCGATTCCCCTATTTTATTATGCCCATCCTCGGACGAGGAGGAAATGGCTAAGGGAGTCAAGAAGTCCTCCCAGCCGCACATGAAGCCACAGAATGGCTGTGTTAGCAGATCGTCTACTAGGCTTGAAGGTGGATGCGAAGGTTGCAGAATGTTTTATGATGAACCAGGGTTCAATTTGACAAAGGAGGATCTTGACAGGCTTTGCACTCATAAAAAGGGTAAGACCAAGTTGTCACCGCTTTTTTCGATGAAAACCTCTCGTCTGCCCCCACTAACACTCACACGGAGTGGCGCAGTGGGCAAGGGCCGTGAAGTAGCTGACCGGTCGCGCCTAAAGGGAGACCGTCCGCTCACCCCAGAACATTTTTGGGATATCGACTACTTCCCACCAATTCGTACTGCGGGGCCAGATACCGTGCGCAAGCAGAAGTAGAATCGTGATTGCTATAAAATTGTAAATATGCCAATAACATGCACTATTAGCCACAGTGTAGCATGTATGAAGGGACTCTATCTACACGACGTTGATTTATTCTGGTTCCTCTTCAATAGCTAACATCGAGTGAAAATATGTCTGGACTTCCCGACTCTAGCGAGTTAAAGGATACTTGCTTTCCATCCGACGTAACAAACATGCTAAGCGTGTTGTTTTCGGCAAACCGCTGGCATGCTGAAGTGACCAGAACTGATCTCGGCAACTGCTGGCTATTAAAAATGACGACCGATCCAACATCTGTCCCATTCCTGCTCTTGCTGATACCGCTAACCGTATCTTCTGCCCAGTTGTTGTCTGTTGCACTGATAGACAGGGTGTAGTGACCAACAGGCGCGCTGATGGGAACCGGTACATTCAGTGTGCAGCTAACAATAGTGCGTGAGTCGACAGGAAGCTGAAATCTTAGCAGAACGCGATCCTGGCTACCATCCATGTCAAACGTGCCTAGCGTCCTCTGAAGCCCTTTAGCAATCGAGGCGCATGGCCGGCTCCCATTGCAGAGCCTCGCGTTATATGTAATGGTGGAATCATGTGCGACACCGGTCCTTATAGCTGTAGCGCTGACTAGGGATACAACAAAGAGTGTTGCAACGAGGCTGAAAATTGAGGAATACATACTGGACTGTTTGAGAGGCAACAAGGGCACTGTCCCATCCTGTGCAGGCTGTAATTTATATCAAAATGAGATGCTGGTTTTCGAATTTCATGCTGATAACACACTCGACATGACGCTATCTCATACAGTGTAGTGTAGCCAAAAGTTCAGGTCGAAGTAGTTGTGTCAAGTTGGTGGAACATAGAAAAATTGAGGGACAGAAGGGGAGCAAAAGAGAAGTGCGTCCGCCGGGAATCGAACCCGGGTCTACTCCGTGGCAGGGAGCAATCATACCTCTGGACCACAGACGCCAGTGCTTCTCTGTTTCTCCCGAAAAATGTATAATATATAGTATACAGGATTCCTGGATATGGTCAGCTCGGGCATTGTTTGGATTTTGCACTCTTCTGTTCCACGCACTTGCTCTATACCAGTATCCACGCTGCAAGCTTGTGCTCTGTTTTGTCTGCTGGCTATGTGGTATTTATGCAATATGCTTGCTCTTACTCTGCACACCTCATATAATCAGATACAACACGACCATTCCCTACTAGTAAAAATTCTACCAACCTTTCAGTACTTGGAGAAGTTATCGATGCTTCACAACCTTAAAACACTATAGCACATGAAATGTATATTCTGTTTGTAGCATTACTGACCTGTATCTGTCACTGGCATATCTTCTGCAACTACTTGCCATGGCATGTTTGATGTACTCTACGTTGGAACAACTGATTACACAGCCAGGTGCGTTTTGTGGACTCTCGACATATATTTAACTACAGCTAATTGGGTTGCATGGATATATTGCTTACTGACAGTTAAGCAATTTTTTGATTGCTAGCTGCAAATTGCAGACAGCAGATCGCTGGGTCTGGCCATCTGTGCCAAGAGCTTGCACATCACCAGGCAATACTGGAGCCGGCTAATCGATTCGACAACACACAGTGGGCGCCCGACTCATGGTCAAATGGAAAACAGGTTTTAATGTCAATCCTCCATTCTTGCTGTTTTCGCAGGACGTTCCCGAGCTGCTCGGCTGTCCATCCCAGGCAAAAACACATCCTATTCGCTCCTGGCCATTCTTCGGTTGGCTTAGTTTGTTCGTTCTCCATAGACGCTATTTTTCTATTTTCCTTCATATATTTTTCCATGCTGTTTTTATTACTCTAAGAACTGAACTTACAGTGGACCACAAACAGGCACATTTGGAACACAATGCCGATAACAGTGCCCCTAAACAGCACTGACTACGAACTATTTCAACCAACAGATACCTTGACCATCCAATCTTTACCACGTTGCGCCAACAGCCTACCCACCTCCTTGGCACTGCTAGATGTTTCAATGGCCTCTAAGCCAGTGACCATCAAGGAGGGTCAGAATTCAGCCTCCAGTAACTCTGAAGGCAATATTAGCGAATCTGGCACCAAGGCCCACCGCTTCCAATGGCGCAGCCTGCTCGACCCAGAGTTCTACCCCGAGATCACTGTTCGACGCACTGTGTCTTTTGTTATCTGGACGGTTCCGCACATCATTCTGACCGCATACCATGGAGCTGACAAGAGCAGTATACTAGCCGCGAGGATGAACAACGCCTCGATTCACTGTATGCTGTTCGATGTTGCATGCATTATGATTTTCATGTCGCCTACATTCTTGATGCTGCTACAGCATACCTTCTTGCCTCGGTTCATCAAATTCGAAAAGAACATCCATGCCCACAAGGTCGCCGCATACACAATGCTGTTTTGGTCAGCAGTGCACATTGGTAAGTTACCAGTTGATTGAGCCACTAGCAATACACAGCATTCTATCTCCGTTCACCTTCGTTGCCAAAAACCCAAATATCTTTGACCCGAGCGAGCTGGCAAGGTATTTCCTACCAGTTTACATAGCAATTGCTAACTCTCCCATGTCACATTGCCATGAGCAACAGATTGCCATTGCAGCAAGGTGTTTGGGGTAAAATATTGCCCTTAAGCTAGCTTGATAGAAAATGGCGAAACTGGGATTTACACCACCACAAGATGTGCACTAACCCACAGGCTAAATATATTTTTACTATAGGCATATGGTACCAGCGCTATATCGATGAGACAAAACCTAAAGTCAAGCTGGGCAAGATGGCCCCAGGAGTTCCTTTGTACAACCCCCTCTTTATTACGAAGACCGGCTGGACCGGGCATGTCTTGATGTTCAGCCTCTTCTTCATCTCTATCATGTCTGTCAGTAAGTGCAGTATCACAACATTTAAACTCATCCTTCACGGTTATTCGTGTCCACTCCTTATCCAAACGCCTACCTACATGGATACTAATGATTATATGAATTACATAGGAGTCATCCGCAAGCGCCAGTTCGAGCTGTTCTATTATGTGCACCACCTGTTCCTGGTGACATTCGTATTCCTCTTTCTCCATCATGACAACCATCTCGCGTATAAGTACATTGCTGGCCCACTCGCTTTGTATGTCCTTGACCGCCTCTACCGCAACCTTCGCAGCATCATCGGCAAGTCACCCATTCACGCTGTGGTTCAGCACCCATCTGGTGTGGTCGAAATTCAGATGGAGAAGAAGATCATTGGCTTCCGCCCTGGCCAGTATGTCAAGGTCTATTGCCCCTCGGTTTCGATGCTGCAGTGGCACCCTCTGACAATCTCCAGCGCACCCGAGGAGGAGCTTCTCACTATCCACTTCCGTCTCGAAGGTACTTGGACTCGCAACCTGGCCAAGCGTCTCGGCTGCAACTTTGGTAACGATGCTCGTGGTTCTAGTATGCAGAGTATCGTTTCCAAGGCCAACAGGGTTAAAGGAATCAAGTTTGCAAAGACAGAGAGACCGCGTCCCACGTCGCAACACCTCGATGTTCCCTACCACCCGCTGCACCACGATCCTACAACTGCCCCGATGTATTCGAATGCCGGCGGCAACAGTTCGTATGTGGGCATCGACATAGTTGCTAAGGGTGGTACCAAGTCCATCCGTAACAGCATGGTACTGTGTGCTGATGAAAAGGAGGTGGCCAAGATCTCTATGCACAAGATAGACCAGATAAATGGCAACAGCGTATCAGCCTCGGCAAAAATTGAAGAAGGCAACATGGCCATCAAGATGGGTCGTGAAATGCCGTTACTGTACATCGACGGTCCATACACTGGACCAATGGAACACTTTTTCAACTACGAGGTCGGTGTGCTCATCGCCGCTGGTATCGGAGTCACCCCCGCCGCATCGGTCCTCCGCAGCGTGTACTTCCAGTGGATCCGCGACCGATACGCAATGAACACGAAGAAAGTCTACCTGTTCTGGGTATACCGCGACATCGGTACACTGGAGTGGTTCAAGGACCTTCTGGTGGCTCTTGATGAGGAAGGACTGAGCTCAATCGTCCAGGTGCGCACATACTTCACTGGAAAAATCCCGGAGACACGGATCCCGCAGCTTACGCCCCCTGACGACAAGTTCGGCAACCAGGTCATCAACACGTCGATTGGAACTAGCTCGTATATTGGACGTCCCGACTTCAGCGAGATCTTTGAGTCGATTGGTGAGCTTTACCCCGGACAACGCATTGGTACATTCTTCTGTGGACCAAAGCTCATGGCACGCAAGGTCAGGCGCGAGGCACACAAGTGGGATAGCATTCTGCGCAAGCAGAGCAACACCAAGATTGACTTCCGTAACGAAACATTTTCTTGAATTTTTACTTGTTCCTTCGAGTTTCACGAATAAGTACCGAAATAAGGTCATGCAAGTGGTCTATTGGAGGTATTACTAAACAAATTACCAAGGTCGCGCAACTTGGTATTCTGAGAAATTAGCTGTTTTCTTAATAAAACATTTTATACTGTTAACTTGGGGAATGAGTGGTTATAGAATATATGGAAAATATAACTTCTCAAATTGACTGAGGGGAAGAAGGCTGGTCGTCTGTCTGGGCCTTTGTACGTATGCGTTTCGGCCTTGCCTATGGTGGCGCAGGGGGACTCTGGACCCCGAATGTGAACGTATACGAGTATGCATACAGTAGCAGAAACTGAGACATAAGTTGCTATTTAATTATGTGTACCATACGAATATCGGCAGCATGGTGGGGATAGTAAAGTAAACTGAGGTGTTATACGCAAAGTTTTAGAAATAAGAAATGGGAAAATACTAAGCGGCTAAACCGATAAAGATCAAAAGTAAAGAAAAAGAAGTGTTCTTTCAAGGAAGAGTTTAGCGCCACATAGGTGGTGAGTCGCCAAGTCAGGATTTTCCGAACACAGTAGCTTTCCTATTTAGAACTAACCGTATAGTCCATTGACTAGTGTCCAACAGATAGCCTTTGTACTCAATGCTTCAGCATGCAGCAGGATATTGATGAATAAGTCCGATATATCATCAAACAGTAGTGAACTAGAGAAACCTCGACAGCACGGCAGCACTAATCAGCCCACTTAATAGAGTGTATACATGTACAGGTGAAGGTATGTGTAAGCAGTAGTGAAAAAGAGCGAAATGCTAGTGAAAATCAAAGAACTTAAAGGACTACATTCAAGAATTATTGTGTATGCTATTTTTTGTCCGTAATTCAGAAGCAGAGGAGCAATTCGGATTCAAAATTGGATTCGGTTCCTTGATCAAGGGGGTCTAGCTCAAATGGGAGAGCGCGCGCTTAGCATGCGCGAGGCACTGGGATCGATACCCAGGTCCTCCATTGTTTTATTTGCATCTAGTGTAGATCAATTTTGTGCCGCAGGCTTCTTTCAGCAATATCTTTTTCTGGTTCTCTACATGCTATACGATAATATGCCGTTCAACGGACCGGGTCGCTATCAGGGAATACGACCCCAAGTGCTAGGCTGCCTGGGCAGACTTTTGTTCAAATTGTTGATATTCGGGGTCAAGAGTCCTCTGCCCTGCCATAAAGGGACCTGTGCACAATCCAAGTCTGAGCCAAGCCGAGTGAGCGAGCCTCGGCGCTAAAATTTGAACATTCACGTAATAGATAATTAATTCTCTGGCTTTATCAGTGTTATCGCTCGGTGGGAGTGATAATATGCTAGCAAAGGAGCTAGCGTTGGAAGAGCTCGAACCGGAGCTCAGACGTCGGGGAGAGAAGGTCGGGATCGTAACGGGTTGTATTGGAAAACAGGTTCTGGGTTAAGGAATATTCGGGGGCTTGTTGTTCCTGTCTTGTCCTGTCGGTCTGACTTCTCCATATATATGGAGTAGTCAACGAGTGTCTTGACTACACTTTATGTGTAGCATATACGATAGGAATTCCTGTGTTAGGATCCGTAAGAGGAGCATAAAGGGCGGACTTGTTCCGTAGACGAGGCAGTGTACTTGTGTTTATATTGCGAGTGGAACCTTGTGCGTGTGTGACGTTGTCTTGACCCGGGTCTTGATCTTGATCTTGCAGGTGGGCTTCGTCATGTTCATGCTCATCCGAGTTGAGCATATGTTATCACCTGGCCCAGGCGATAATGAGTGAGCCGAATGGAAGGAAGAGCTTGAGTCGGATATTATTGTATTCAGGAAATCAAAGTCAAAGACGGGATCGGAATTATCCTTCTCTCTATGTGCATGTATAAGATGTGCACTTATATATACCGATGCACACTTGAGCTAAGGTCTCGGGGCCGCATGGACGACAATAGGAATCCCAGTGACTGGGTCGACCCTTGTCGCATGGTTATGAGACTGGTCTTGTGTACTTGAAACTGAGACAGAGGAAGAGATGCGGGGCAGTCGTGGGTCTTGCATGTCTTGATCTTGATCTTGATCTAGGAGCGTATCAGCGACATGTTCATGATTGTCAACGACGGGCATAGAAAATAACATCAGAAGGTGATTATCAGATCTCCGATAGTATAGTGGCGAGTACACCAGTCTGTCACATTGGAGACCCGGGTTCAATTCCCGGTCGGAGAGTTTTTTTGCTTGGTCCAACTTTTTATTTCCCTTCTCCCTTTTCTTTTGCAACGCCTACTCGTTAAAATATTTAACTAGCTTTGGGTCTGCACCAACAACCTCGATGACCTTGTTGATCAGCGGTGCATTGTCTGGTGATAGCCAGTCGGCCAGACCAGGTATGATGCTGGCTCCAAACTCACGTACCGCACGCATACTGGCAACCAAGGCAATATCCACGTAGGTTGTCTTGTCACCAAAATAATGACCGTTGGAGCCGTTGTTCTTGAGGTGGTTCTCGTGATACTCGATAAAGTATTTCATCTGGACGTCAAGCTTTTCCTTGACCGATGCGCGGGTATCCTCGTTACCAAAGCGGTACTGCGGGATAAACTCATAGATATCCTTGATCTGGTGACGCAGTTCGTCCTGGCAGGCGCGGTCCTGTGGGCTGGAATCGACCATCAATCCATACTTGGTCGCTAGATAGTGCTCGATGGCCAGAGAATCACTGAGTTTGAAGGTGGCACCAGATTCGTCAGTCTCAATCAGCACAGGAAGCTTGCCAAACGGCTGGTTGGACTTTTCCTGGGGCCATGCGGGGGCTTCGTTAGTGTAGGAGGCGCCGCTGTAGCTGAGGAGGGCGCGGCAGGTCTCAGCGCGAGCCTTGATGGGGAAATAGCGAAGAACGTAGGTAGACATAATGGTGAGTTCGAAGAATACTGATATGTTAGCACTGCGTTTGCTTGTTGGAATGAGCCGCATTTATATGTTGCAGACCCTTTGCTAAGGCTGGAGTAGGGGAGCCATGAGTGTGAGGTATGCAGCGAGCGGAAATGCCTGTTACTGCCAAATAATTGTGTACAGACAATGGTGCTGCGGATCTACATGAAAATCAAAAACTAAGGGGCTCCCATGGGCACATGCTTACTAATTGGTATGTTGCTAGATGATCTCATGCTTCACCAGTTGGGCGTACTAAGGCCAAACATACAATTAGCAGCTTGCAGGCACGCTCTACCGCATTTGTCAGACATGTCAACACCGCTTGTTGCGAGCATCCTATTATCGCCAACCAATACAAAGTACACATGCTACAGAACGGCAGGCTTGACACGAGGCTCGCTAAAGAATTTTGCAAGCTTCGGATCATTGCCCACCACATCAAGAACCTTGTTGATCAGGGGTGTCCTCTCTGGTGAAAGATATCCGGTCATCCCTGGCATGCTTTCATCGCCGAACCTACGCAGCGCTCTCATGGTAGCCACAAGTGCGATATCCACATAGGTGATCTTGCTGCCAAAATAGTACCCGTTGGAGCCGTTGTTCTTGAGGTGGCTCTCATGGAAATCGATAAAGAACTTGGCTTGGGTGACATACTGCTCTTTGATAGTCTTGCGTGCCTCCTCAGTGGCAAAACGATACTGCGGTGCGAAAAGAAAAATGTCTAGGATCTGGCTGCGCAGCTCATCCTGGCGGGCGCGGTCCTGCGGACTGGAATCAACCATCAAACCTTTCTTTGTTGCCAAGTAGTGCTCAATCGCCATAGAATCGCTGAGTTGGAATACATTTCCCGATGCGTCGGTCTCAATCAGCACAGGAACTTTCCCAAACGGTTGCTTTGACTTTTCCATCGGCCAGACAGGGTGTTCGCTGGTATAATCCCCACCATCGTAACTTAGCAATGCACGGCAGGTTTCAGGACGGGCTTGGATTGGAAAATGGCGGAGAGTATAGGTAGACATAGTAATTGGCAGGTGATAGAAGAATGATACGAAGCAGCGATGGACAGCAGGTGCTTCGCATTTATATATCTCTGTGAGAATAGCAGGTATAGGGAAGTGGGACGGAGAGTAAAGCAGATAGCGGGGATTTTTTTGCTTTAAGCCAATGTATGAACATGAAAACGCGGCTTAATGTCCTTGAGGGATTTACAAAATCGAACAGTCGACGGATGCCGCCTTGAATCCTACCAATGGAACAGCGTTTTTACACTTGTACTTCTGATGTTCCTACCCTATCTATCGGACATGCTGCTTCAATGCGCAACAAAGGGCCACTATCACCACCGCCGTCGATAAACGATGTCAGCGAAATGACAAACTCCAGTCCTAAGGGACTCTTCAGTTGTTGGTGCTGCTTGTGCTCGGCGGACAGTGACAGGAACTGCGATGGTGATATCCCCAGGATTGTTGCTGCAGCTTCCGGCGAGACATCTGCAGTACAACAGTCAGTTCCGTCATCGATTTCTGCTGTAAGCGCAAACTCCCACACAACATCAATGTCTGGGACCTCTTTGATTTTGCAGCGCCGGCAGCTAAACCCGTAGTCGCTCTTGAGTGATTCCAGCACAGTGCCGTCTAGACGCGCAGAGGGAACAACAGTTCGCCTGCACTTTCTGTGGGCAAACCTTGTTATCCCTACTTGGTCCCGCGAGTCCTTGACAAAATCGCCAGCACTATGTATCCCAGTCACCGTTGCACGCACATAGCAATTGGCCTCACCTGCAATGTCAGCCAGGAACGAATATCCCCGCAGTTCAGAGCAGCTTAGCATTCCAGGCATCTGCGAGATATTGAATATCTGTGCATGGATTGCAAGGCTCCCGTTAATAATGACTCTACTGTCGTTGAGTGGATTCGGGCTCTCGTCCTCGTGGGTCTCAAAGTTGTGCAGCACCACCAGTTGGCCAGGCATAGCTCGGGCAGCGGTTCTTCCAAGCTCACCCCAAACTGTGGCATCGCATACTCCTGTTCCATCGCCGATGCGCAGAACATAGCGGTCCAAAGTTGAGCCGTTCTCTACCTGGGTCGGATAATTTTCAGAGACTGCGACGACTCGCGCCATCATCGTCAGGTTGATGATCTCGGGCACAAGCTGGCCAATCGAGATCTGGTGTGCGTATCGCCGATAGTCAAAGAACCCAAGGTCATTGTACGCAACGCTTGTTTGTGATGTCTCGTTGTATGAGGCGCGTGTGCCGCGCATGATGAAGGCAATTGTCTGCGGTCCATAGACAAACTCCGTATCTGAAGCCTGCTCGGCGCAGAGCAAGCCAATGTAGTCATCATCATGGAAAAGCCGCACCAGCGGTATATCCGCATCGTAAAATCGGATGGATACCAGGTATGGTGCTTCTGCATGCTCGATCAGACAGCTGACGGTGGCATACGAGACTGGCCGGCCGTCTTCGAATTCCTCTTTGGTACGCTCAATGCGCTCGATCTTCCCCCACACCTGGTTCGCATCGAATATTGGGTCGCGTGCATGTACAAACCTTTCTCGGCTAAAGGCAACGCCAAATATGTCTCGCAAGAAGAGCTCGTCAGTAGGTGCGGTGTCCTGCAGTGCACTGTTGGATGCCCCTACTTTGACCTCAAATACGAGTGCACAGTCAGGCAAAAGTGTTAGCAATGGTCTGCCTGACCCGCACCCGCGATCTGCTGCCTTGAGGTTTGTTGCGTAGATGCACCGCTGGTCAAAAAACCCAGCAAACTCCTTGGAGTCAATCATCGGGCAGTGTCGCTCGTGGACAAACATATCCATGTGCTTGTCTGCCGTGCGCAACCGCCGCTCACTGCCTGAGCTCGGTCCACCGCAGACGCTCCATAGCCAGATATCTGTGCCTGGAAGCTTGTGTGTCTGCAAAACCTTCAGGTGGAAACGAGTTGATAGCGGTGGCGGAATGGAGCGTCCTAGGAATGGATCAACTGTCCGGAATATCTCACCATCCGCAGATTCCTTGGCTATTAGCGAGTGCCATGACGCTTCAAGCTCAGTTAACAGAACCGTCCGCGTCATATTTCCATGTGCTGTCAACAGCGATGCTACTTTCGTTGCGATCCACGGCCACGGCACCTCGCCTGGCTGCTTCTGACAGCATGCTGCGAGATCCTCACGCAACGCAGCCAAAGTGCCTGAGAATTCCATTATTAAGCGTAAAGCGAGAGCAGCAGAAATAGAGACCCGAACTGCGCACTAATCGAGCTAATTTATTATAGAAACATGGACAGATAGTGTAAAATGGGTGATTAGGCTGAGTTCCTTGGGAGCAGGAATGAAATCTGCTTCTCTGTCTGGTTTGACTGACAATGCAGCTGCCATGTCTACTACAGACGCTGGCTGCTGCCTCATCCGTTTGCCTGTCTACTTTACTTTTCTGGATTAAACACACCATGCTGGCAAAATCTATTAGTATCAGCAGCGTGTCAACAGTGGCAGCTGTTGTTTTGATTTCTTGGCATGGCAGCATTCGCACTCTGAGACTAGCACACTGGCACAGAAAATTCTTTGGAGCTGTTTTAGATGTGGCGAGGTACCGGATAACGATTCCCTCCAATATGCATAGGCACAAATGGCATAGGTTGCGAAAAGCGGTATTGAAAACTGGTATGTTCTTGCTTTCGCTCAGTGGCATTATATCAATAGCACTATGGAACATGACAGCTGGCGTTAATTTTTGCATGTGTATATTTGTTGGTGTGTAATATCCATGAAGCGGGAGGTTCTGGGGTTATATTAGCGGCAGAGTGCAAGAATGGAGTGTCAAGCGTACTGCTCCACTGTTCGATCTCCTTATGTATACATTATTTCCTACTAATTTCAGCAGTTGATCGGTTCAGAGCCTCGGCTCGATCCGGATAAGCGTCAGTGTGTCCGAGTGGTTAAGGAGACAGACTCGAAATCTGTTGGGCTCTGCCCGCACAGGTTCAAATCCTGTCGCTGACGATTCTTTTGCCCATTCCTTTTGCCGCCCCACCCCGGCCTCGGCAATCCTCACTCCCCGAGCGCTGACCAAGTCACGCGCTGCACATGTTTTTGCTGCTGCTTTTGGCGGACCGCCGGCGATTCCTAAGCCGACCGGGTCACGCTTCCCACCACCACACCGCAAGCCACTGTCCCCAGCCCCCCCCGACGCCTTATGTAAAAGCTGCTGCTTGTGCTGCCAGCTGCGTATTTATTGCGCTCCAACCCACCTGGAACGAAGCGCCTGCCTCATCTCGTTCTCCACTCCAACCATGCTCCAACCATGCTCCAACCACTCGTATCTACCATTTACTTTGCTGCTCTGTCCTGTGCGCTTATCTCCCAGCCACAGCAGCGACAGCTCTCCACGCCAGCCAAGCCGTTCAGCCCTGCTCTCAGCCACAGACAGCCATTCACTGTCTACGAGACTCCTCTGTCTCTGAACCCCATTGCAAGCCCTACCACCTTTTCCTCGTCGCTTGCCCACAGCGACCCCTTGCTGCAGCAGAGCATGTCGATTGCTGCCACTTATCTGCACCAGAAGCATGGCATCCAACTGGACAGCATCCACATCACCGATGCATACACCGACACTGCTACAGGGCTAACACATGTCTACATGGTCCAGACCCACGGTGGCCTGCATGTCACCAATGCCGTAGCAAACGTCAACATTGACAAGAATGGACGTGTCATTTCGTCTGGCCATTCATTTACTCCTGAGCCTCTGGCTAGCAACAATGCCGACTTTTCATCAGCTGCTCTCTCAACAGACTCTGCCAGAGCGGCCCTTCTTGCTTTGGCCAACCACATCCAAGCACCACTTGCCGACACTGACCTTGGTGGCATGGCAGCAACCAGCTTTGACTCACCGTCTGGGCTCACTGTCACGAACTTGCCTGCACACTTTGCCATCGATGGAACTGCCCGTATTACCTCTGCTCTCTTGCAGAATGCTGACGGCTCAGTATCCAGCGTCTGGCGTGTCAATGCCGAGCAGCAGGACCACTGGTGGACTGCAAGCATCGACACTTCTTCGCACAATGTGCTCGCCCTCTACGACTGGTACTCGCAGTCTGAATCATACAATGTCTATGCCAAGGATGTGCTGTCTCCTGAAGATGGCAAGCACACACTGGTTGCTGACCCGGCAAGCAAGGATGCCAGTCCAAAGGGCTGGGTCACCAAGGGCTCGACCTACGGCAACAATGTCTGGGCACAGTCCAACCCAACCGGTGGCTCGACATGGCAGACAAACCACCGCCCGAAAGCTGGCCCCGGCAATGTGTTCGATTTTCCCCTCAACTTGTCGCAGCCACCAGAGTCGTACATTGACGCAGCTATTGTGCAGCTGTTCTATACCAACAACATCATGCACGATCTGTCCTACATCTACGGCTTTGATGAGGCTGCAGGCAACTTCCAGGATGAGAACTTTAGCGGCAGAGGGGTTGGCGGGGATGGCGTCATTGCCAATGCCCAGGACGGCTCTGGCACCAACAATGCCAACTTTGCCACGCCTCCTGATGGCCAGCGTCCGCGCATGCGTATGTATACATGGACCCAGACTATGCCAAACCGCGACGGCGACTTTGAGCAGGACATTGTGGCACACGAGTTCACCCATGGAATCTCGAACCGGCTGACAGGCGGGCCCGCCAATACCGACTGCCTGAATGATGGCGAGTCGGGTGGCATGGGCGAGGGGTGGAGTGATGCAGTGTCGACTATCCTGCGCCTCAAGAGCACTGATACACATGACACTGACCTCGTGCTGGGCCACTATGTGTACACCAAGGGGATTCACAACTATCCGTACTCGACCAGCATGGACACCAACCCATCAACATACAGCTACCTCGACCGCATGGACTACCAGGAAGTGCATGCCATCGGCGAGGTGTGGGCTGAAATTCTGTATGAAGTGATGTGGGCGCTGATTGACAAGAATGGCTTTGCCGATGACATTTTTGCCCACGACCTGACCAAGGGCAACTCCATCATGCTCCAGATCCTGCTTGACGGGATGAAGCTGCAGCCGTGCAACCCAACGTTTATCGATGCACGCAATGCCATAATTCAGGCCGAGCAGAATCTGACTGGTGGCAAGAACAGGTGCGAGATCTGGGGTGCATTTGCCAAGCGCGGACTTGGTGTCAATGCACCGGGTGGTGGATGGGGCAGGCATACCGATGACAGCAGTGTTCCTGATGGGTGCTAGCGGTGAACATGTGCATATGTAAATGTCCCCTCCATTCCGCCTTCATCAGTTTTCAACGACCATTTATAACCATCGCTTTCCAACCTTGCAACTACTTTGTTAACCACACCGTCCATTTCTTAAATGCATCGTTATGTGCCATGTGCACAAGCAGTAGAAGGAAGGCTTTGCTTAGAAGTAAGGTGTTTGGCGGCAATGGCTTCCAATCAATTTCGGCATTCCATTGTGGTATTGTCCAGATATTGGGATCTGTGTGTTTTATTATCCAGAAAAATGGCTCTGCTAGGCCCTGCTCATCAGGTATAAATATCACAGCGGCCTGTTGCTAAATGACAGAGCCATCATCAAACACCCAGTGCGGTTCCCTATTCCCCATTCCCCATTCCCCATTCCCCATTCCCTATGTTTCTCACTTGAAAGCACTTGCAGCAAAGGCAGATATTCGACTGGTCTTGTCTGCTTGCCTGTGCATAGATTCAGTATCCAGTAGACGAATGGCTTGCCAAAAATATCTTATCGGACAAGCGACAGCGAGCTAATGCATATAAATATGTACAGCCAGTGCCCGAAGCGGCAAGAGGCAACCAATACGATTGCTGGCTCTTGATCCTCTGAGGGACATGGCGTGGGGTTGCCCGAATGACAACAATATGCATGCACAATCGACTGAGCAAAAAGCAAAGGTGGCATGGACGAACACCACCGGTTGGCGCAAACCAGGGTGCCGAGCACTAGGACGATCCAAAAGAGTATGGCGATCTGGCGAGCAAAAATAGATCCGTAGTGGGGCTTCCGTGGATCGAACACGGTGCCTTATGAACTTCAGTCATACGCTCTCCCAGATGAGCTAAAGCCCCAGAACCATCGAAACTGGAGTCCGATTAGGCCTTGGATTCTGGATTCCTCCGAAAACAAAAGCATATATATTCTTATTCGTCAACTCCACATTTGTTTTCATCACTTTTCTCTTCCACCTGACGAATCTTGATGGGCTTTCGTCACAAGAGAGCTATGCTGCATACCAAGTATTTGCATTATGTCGTATCTGTGGATACCTGTGATCCACATTAGTGGTTGTTTGATATCTATCCATTTGAAGTATCTATAAATAAAACAGCCACATCTTACAAATCATCCAACATCCTGTGCTCGAATTCGCCAAGCTCCGGTGGCAGATCTGTCTCGGGAGGAGTCAGAATGACAGTTACTGAGGGAAACTCTGGATCGGCAAACTTCTTCAGATACAGCTCATATACCCTGCGCAGATCCTCCTGCTTGACAGCGCCCAGATGCTTTTTGCGCCATAGATCATACATGGCCGCTGATTCGAAGCCGCAAATGTTGCTTGTAATGCAGTTGGCAACAACGCTATCAGGCGTGGATTCCAACGAGGCATTGCTGTACACGATTGACGAGCGAGTCATGTTGATTTCAAAGTCGGTGACATGCTCGCCCCAGTCTTCATCAAGTGAGGCCACAAGGGACTGCATTTCCATGATGGCTTTGGGAGCGTCAGAGGCGCTGCTGCAGTCGAACGCGAGCATGCCCGTCCACATATACTGCTGGAAAAATGCGCCATACGCATAGCCCTTGCCTCGGATCGCATTGTACAGAGGGCCGTCGGAGCGCTGGAGCAAGGCAACTAGCATTTCGAGCGCGTAAAAATCAATGGCAGGAAGCTCCGCCAACTGCTCGGCAAATGGACGTGTGCTGGTTGGCTGACGGTACAAGTTGCAGTGGAATGAGATCTGGACATTGGATGCCTGTAGAGTGGGCATTGTGACTTGCACACGCAGGGGCTTGGCTAGATCAGGGAACCTGATGTGACGCGGGAATGGGAATGGGCATGCGGACAGGTCAACGTCGTTGCATAGGGAGCTGCGGGGATTCCGACCCACAAACTTTTCAAAGCAGTTCTGCCACTTGCGACCAAACTCGCCAATAAACTCCATGCTGGTATCTCTGTGGCCCTGTGGCGCGCTGAGCGACATGAACCCGCCGCTGGTATTGATAACAAACTCCTGGATCAGGTTCAGCTTCTCCACAGCACTCGTGTTTCCTGCCTTGAGCTCCTCGATGACTCTACGAAGCACGCGATCCTGCTCAAACAGACTGATGTGGTTGTCGATCCAACGAGGGCATCCTTCACGGTCCTGCGTAGTGAAAAGCGTAGTAACTGGAACCACCATCTGGTCGCCATTGCGTTTTAGATCAACAATCTCGCTGAGTAAGTTCTGCGCGACTGTCAGGATACGCTCGACTGCGAAGTCAGCAAACATCATTGCGTGGATGATGCTTTGTGTAGCCTCCTGCAGCTTGTCCTGTGGCGAACGAACGTAAATGTTGAACAGCTCGTCGAGCCAGCTGCATGAAAACCTCTCGTTTTGGTACCCAATCGCCGCACCGTTGAGCGTGGTAATGTCGGCAAGGTGGTTATCAAACTCGACATAGTCAATCCGATGCTCAGTTTCTGTCTCCCTTCCATCAGCACCATATGGTACACCCGCTGGAAGGACTAGGTCGGTCCCAAGAAGTAGCTCCTGGAAGAGCACAAGGTATGCACGCAGCTCATCAGGCAGGTTAGTGAGCGGGACGTGCAGTTTGAACTCAGGGAATTCCGAATCAACCTCGACCAGCTGAACAACCTTGGCTGGGCCGACAGGGGTATCTAGCTTGATCACGGAGTGGTTATGCGGCAGTCCACTGATCCGCGAGGCATCAGGAATCGGGATGCTATACTTCAGCTTGTCAGAAATATTGACCTTATTCGCCTCAACGGCTGCATCGATCTCTCTTGTATGCTCGTTCTTGTCGGCAATAGACTGCTCATTACTGAGCTCAATCTCTTGGCGCTCTGCCTCCAGCTGGCTGTTCAGTTCAGCATCTGGAACCATGGCGACGTGGTACATGGGCTCATCAATGAGCCACTGGAGTAGATCAAGCCAGAACCCGATGGGCTTTTGAGCCAGCCTATCAATGACGTCGAACACGCGAGCACGGGTGCCAATATGCGCACAATTACTGGGAGAGAAGTGGGCGGCGACGACATCGGGCAGAATCACTTCTTGCATCACGTCGAGTGGGCTGTCCTCGATGTTGGCAGCGAGCTTCTGACGGAATCGCTTGGTTGCTTCAGCCATTGCAGCCCGGTTACCGTCGAACTGCGAGTCGTGGATCCGTTGGAGCTCCTCAATAAGCAGGCGCTCAAAGTGCCCCTCAGCGAACAACATAGGGATATCTGGATCATGGTAGTCCTCCTCTTCGCTCTCTTCGTCATCGTGCCCATGGTCGTCATCGTCGTAGCTGTCGTCGTGGTCGTCGTCATGGGAATCCACATTGGGGTTATTCGGATCGGAGTAAGGAACACTGGAAAACGTCAGGGTGATGGAGCTCGGCAGCGTCATCCGCACATCGGCATACAGGTACCCGGCCAGCGGCGCTGGGCGCTCAACAAACCGCTGGGCGAGCGGGCTTGACGCGTTATCAGCCAGATATGCCATCAGGATCTCGATCGCCGTCACAGTCTCCACATTCTCGGAGAGGGGACCACGCCAGCCAAATGCAAACGAGCCAAAGTCTGCCTCTGCCGAAGGGAACTTCACATACTCGAACCGCTTTTCCGAGGTAGGCATGGAGCAGTTCATGGGCTCGCGCGAGTCGCAGCCCTGACTGGCCACAAGGTCAGCGGGCAGGTTCTGGATCACATTCTCGAAGGTGTCGCTGAATGAGCCGATCAGAACCACCGTAGCGTTATTGGCATCGTAGAATCTGCGGTGGTACTCGGTGATCTCTTTGTTTGTCAGCATTGCAATATCCTTGGTCAGGCCGCCGGTTTCAAAGCTGTAGGTTGAATCATCGGCAAACATCAGCCGGCGAAGACTCAGATCCATCAGATCCTCCTCGCTGTTCTCGCGCGCGACCATCTCGCTGAACACCACGCCCTGCTCCTTGCCTGTCGCGTCAAAGTGGTACACTTCGGTGATAAACTGGCTGTCGGTCAGCAGCGGGTGCAGAACATGGTCGAGGAACACCGGCAGAACATTGGCAACCGCCTCCTCGCCTGCTGTCGTAAGCGTATAGCACGTATGGTCCTCTGCCGTCCACGCGTTGGTACCGATCGAGAAACTGCAGTTGGCCAGTGCGTCCAGGTAGCCGCGATGCGGGTGCCGCAAGGAGCCGCAGAACACAAGGTGCTCCAGCGTGTGCGGTAGGCCCTTGTTGTCCTTGGCAATTGTCGGCACATAAATGTTCATTGAGCACAGTGGGCCTGGCACGCGGCACAGCACCACGCGCATTTTGTTCTCGCAATGCCTGTAGACCGTGGTGCGGAACCCACCGTTGCTCGTGCCGCTCTGAAAGACGAAGTCCTCGCCTTCACGAACAAACAGCTCTTCTGCTTGCATCGACTTGACCGGCATTGTTGGATGTAATGTAAAAAAGTAGAATATATAGTGCGGAAGAAAAAGTTTTCTCTCTCCTTCAAGAGTGTACTTGCTGCGGCTTGCATCTTTCAGTGACCGATCGGCTAATTTAATGCAAAGTTATGCTGAGGTGACCTGTAGGCATATCCGCACGCTCAAGTACCATGTGCCTTCATGCGCAATGGAGTATTTGGGGCTGCGTATTCAGACATACAGAACCAGCTTTGGCTCTGGCCGACCCATACCACTCCAAAGCCATGGCGCTATGGACGAGTATACCGCATATTGAAAAGAACGCAATGCTAGCTAATAAAGCATTCTAAGCTTCGAGTTTAGATGCAGGGCCGGCAGCTACCAGTTCGGTAGACGAGTCGGTTAGGGCCTTGTTGCGCACAAAATTGTGCCCAATAAACCAGAGACAGTAAATAGCAAAGGTCATGAAAATGAAAATGGTGTCGAACACATAGAATGCCCATTCTGCCCTATACACCGGGCTCGCATACCCATCGGCAAACTCGGCAACGCGGTAGATTGATCTCAAGTATAGCACCACCGTGGTCCCAACCACCACCTACATGACCTTAGTCTTCGCTTCCGCCCCATCCCTATCATGCTTGCCCGTAGAGACAACGTACTCTGTGCGGCACCAAACATACACAGCGATGAAAAAGAAACAAACGAAAAACACCAGCTGCACGCACAGCCCGATCAGCGCAATAGCCTTGGCAGGCGTCTGCAGGGACTCCGAGGTGGACATGCCGCCGCCGGTCCCTTGCATGGCGATCGAGAACAGGTCGCTGGCGAAAAAGAACCAGGTGACGAAATGAGGGCGCAGCCAAAACCGCCTAGGTTCGACATTGGAGGTGCGGATGATCTCGCCCAGTGTCTTGTGATTCACCAGGGCCAGGGCGTTGGGCGGTAGGAGCAGGAACAGGGTCATTAATACGAACAGGCTGAATGTTGTGTGGTAGACGCAGGCGGTGCGGAAGCCGTAGCCGAGACATTCGGCTAGTGCAGTGCCGGATAGTATATAGAGCTAACGCTGGGCACCCGCCCGGTGGGTCTGGATTGCTAGTACGATGGTGGTCAGGAGGTAGACGGCAGCGGCAATTTCTGGTGCGGTGTTTATTGGAAAGTATGTGAAGTATACGAGCCGCCCGTCGGCATCGCTAGGGGGATGGTAGTAGTCTACTGGGCCAGTGGCGATTGCCAGGTCGGCGCCAGCAGATATGTTGGGCATTTGGTATTTACAAAGGAGAGGCAGGATATTACGAGAAAGGGCTAAAAGAAAGCTGTATTTTTTACTGCAAAGCGGGACTGCTTGGGATGTTTATATTCTGTGACGGCAGGATTTCGGTCTGTTGCCCAGAGGATCGCATCTTCTCGCTATTCTATCTGCCATACCACCCCAGAGAGTTCAGACCGTGAGGAGTTTTTCCGCATACAGCTTTGGCTGCTTACTAAAGTCGGCCAGCTCTGAGTCACGCAAACCCCCTAATGCTCATACGGATTAGCCAAAAAAAAAAAAGAAACTCCGCCTAGTATGGAGCGGGCATTCTGATATTCTTGCGTCGTTGCTTGGTTTCGAATTTGTTTCTTGGCGCAGCTCAGGAATATGCTAAAAGCTGCTATTATGAACACTCCGCATGTGTAAAAATGTACTCGTCATCAACGAAAATATACAGGCGCTCCGGGCTATATCCGTTGTTTGGGTTACCGAAAGTGTAATCAATGTAGTGCGGGAACGGAATATCCTGCTCAAACACAGTATTCTACACAAAAGAAACAGGGCTAGAGCGTGTCGATCAACAAAAAAGGCGGTATGCAAACCTACTCGACGGTCGTCAGAGTATTCGATGCGCGACTCAAAGGCAATATTTTTGCTCTGTAAGCGATTGCTCCACTCGTAGAGTTTGCGTACGTGGTCAAGTGGTTAGCAGGGGGTGCAGTTAGCTCGAATGGTACGTATATTGCTGCTTACATTCCCTGCTGTCACTGGCAAATAGAGCAGATACGACCGACATGGCGCTGGAACAGGTGGTGGATGGTAGCTACATTAATCTTTAGTGAAGCAAGAGAGGTATAAAACTGATACTGGGCAAAGCAGATGCTGCATAGCCTTGGCTCTATATCCAAGAGGTGGATCTATGTGACCCCTCACAGCAAGGCAGCCATTCTTAATCTCGCCACATGGGGAATGAGCGATATTTTTAATAAAGTGATCGAGTAAAAGGAATGACAAGATAACGGAGGCTTTTATATCGGATTGTGCCGCATGCATGCCTACATGGGCAGAGTCTTGAGGACATTGATGAGGTGCTTGATGCCAACCAGGTTGGTGGTGAGCTCGGAGTTGATAGTCATCAGCTCGGCCTGGTGGTGCAGGGCGGCCGGGAAGCGGCGGGCATCGAGTTCGCGCACCAGGGTCTGGAACACGGGCGCCAGCTGCTCCTTCTTGTTGACCTCGTCGCAGTTCATCAGATCAAACAGCTGGTTCAGCCGCCGCTCCGCATCATCCACCATGCGCTTCTGGGCTGGCGCTGCAAACTGTTTGGCACGCGCAATGTGGGGGCCCAGAGCCGCCACCACAGGCTTCCACTCGGCCGGCAGGTGTGACCGGTCACCGGCCGGGTACTTGGCCGTTGGCTTGGGCGTCGCTGGCTTGGCTGGCGTCGCTACACGTGCGGGCTGTGTGGCTCCAGGCGACACCACCTGGCCGCGCGATGCTTGCGCCACAGCACCCGGGCCGCCGGGCGCTGCACCGATGGCCGGTGGAATAAAGCCTGGCTGCTGCATCGCCTGCTGCATCGGCGGTTGGAACGGCTGTGCCTGCGGCTGCGGCGGTACATGTTGGGCCGCCGGGAACGGCACACTGGCAGCGGGTGGTGGCGGCGCCGGCTTGCTCGTCGGAACAAATCCGCCGCGTGGAGGAGGTGGAGCCTGGGCAACGCCCGATGCCTGCGGGACAGGCGACCGCGCAGCGTTGAACGGTGCAATCGACGCAGGCGGCGGCGTGGCCCGGCCCTGCGGGAATGGGCTGACGATGGCGGCCGGCTTGGGGATGCCCTGCGGTGTGCGCTTGTTCGACTTGCTCACCATCGGCGGATCGTTCCAGGCGCCTTCCTCACGGCGCGGCGGCGGAGTGCTGCCGCTGGGAATCGACGACGGATTCACCGGTTGCGGTGGTGGCGGGAAAACCGATGGCATCGTCGGCGCTGTCGGTGCGTAGGCTTGGGTCATCGACGGATAACCCGCCGATGCTGCTGGATAAGCAGACGACGCAACTGGGTAGCCCGGCGCCGGTGCACCGTAGCCGGGGGTGTAAGGAGCCGAGTAGTGCTGGGCAGTGGGCATAGTAGCCGGCGCATAGCCTGGCTGAGAACCGTAGCCACCTGCAGCGCTGGTTGGCGGGTAGGCCGAGCTCTGCGTCGAGGGGTAGGCCTGCGACACCTGGCGCTGTTGCTGTTGCTGTTGCTGGGCGGGCTGGGTTGCGGGTTGGACTGTAGGTTGGACCTCAGGTTGGACCTGGGCACCATCGGCGGCCACCGGAGCAGCGGTCCACGGGGCATCAGCAGTGGCCGACAAGCGGTTACGCAGCGCAGCCAAGCCGTCCTCACCGGCCGGGGTGAAGCAGCGGTAGGATGCAGGAGTGCGCTCCAGGTACCGGCTGGCAATGTCCCGCAGACCCTGCGACACCAGGAAGTTGGCATACTCGATGTAAGCGTCGTACAGTGGCGCCAGCGGGAACGCCGCCTGCTCGTCGCCGAGCGCCGGGTCAATGTACTGCACAGCATTGCGGAACACCGACACCTTCTCCACCAGCGCATGCAGCGCCTGGATGCGCGCTGGGCCCTCGGCACCCTGTTCACGTGCAATCCAGATCCCCGCAACCTTCTCCAGGTTGCCAGACGCTAGATAGCACAGAACCGCATCGCTGAGCCGCTGGGCCTCGTCGAGTCGGTTGCCCAGCTCCTCGCACAGGCTGCTGAACTGGTCACCCTGCGCATACGTGCACAGAAGCGCCAGGATCTCGTCCCACTCGCCCAGATCTGCATTGCGGACAATGTCCGTCAGGTCGCCGCTAACAATACCATGCAGAAGCCGCACGTACGATGCCTGCTGCGCGCGCTTGCTGAAGTACGCCTGCTGCACACGCTGCGCAAGCTCTGCGCTGCCACACGTAGCCAGAATCAGCGCATCCGCAAACCGCTCCTGCTCAATGCACAGCTCCACCGCTGCCTCGATGTCGCCCAGCAGAATCGCGCGCGTGATCAGCCCGTCAGCATCCTCCGTTGCGATGTCCTTGGACTTGTCGTAGATGCGGAATGCTCCTGCAAACGCCGCCTGCAGCGGCTGGGACTCACTTCCTGAGACCGCAGCGGTTGGCTCGCTGTTTGCCGTCTCGATGGGCTTGCTGAAGAAGTCGTCAGCCTCGGCATTGCCCGAGGTGGACTGTGCGAACGGGTTGTCGTCTTCCTTCGCCTCTTCTTTCTCTTCTTCCTCCTTTTCCTCTTCCTCTTCCTCAGCAGGCTCCTCAGACGGTTCCTCAGACGGTTCCTCAGACGGCTCCCTGGAAGCCTCCTCCTCCTCCTCCTTAGCCTTGGCCTTAATGAGCTCCTCAATGCGCGCCTTGACGCCAGTCTTGTCGAAGCCCAGGAAGTTAATCAGCTTATCACGAGCATTCGTGTCGAATAGAATCTGCAACACCTCCCATGACCGCTCCTGGTCAGTGCCCTTGCTCTGCTCCAGACGCTCGCGGCAGACCTCAGCTGCCTGGTCGTTCTGCAGCAGCTCCTCAAGCTGGACTGCCTGTTTGGCAAGCTCAGGCTCCGACGCAAACTCGCGAATACTGACCAGTGCCGGTGCGGGCAGTGCAGGCTGCGCGGGCTGGCCCGGCACCTGAGCCACTGGTGCCACCGCCGTCTTGCCAAACGAGATCAGCTTGCCGCCGAACCCAAACGTCGCTCCGCAGGGCCGCGCCAGCCACTTGGGTGGCCGCTTCAGCGACAGTGCAGGTGCAAACGCCGTGCTGGACTGCGGTGCAAACGGATCGTCTGAAACCGGCGCCACCGCACTCTCGATCGAGTCGTTCTCACGCGCCAGCGAATACAAGTTGATGCGCCCGTCGAACGACGCCCCGCTGAGCAGGTTCGGGTTTGCCTGGTTCCACTGCACGTCGTACACCCAGTTGCTCGACGGTGGCAGCTCACCGATGATCTCGCCGTTGGCCGGGTTCCAGCACACCGTGCGGTTGTCCTTGCCGCTCGACAGCAGAAGCCCAGAGTCCTTGCGGCACCACGACAGCGACAGAATCCCGCGCTGGTGGCCCGAGAACGTCTGCGACGGTGCGTTGGCATTGCGCAGGTCCCAGAGCATGATCACCGGGTTGTTGTCGTCGCTGGACGCTGTCACCACCTGCGTAGCACTGGCTGGGTTCCACACAATCGCTGACACTCCAGCGCGTCCGCCGCCCATCATGCTGTTGTGCCCGATCACTCCAGGGCTGTTGAGCGACAGAACCTCGCGCCGCGAGCGCAGATCCCAGACAACCGACGACCCAGTGTTGCTGGCAGTGGCCAGAATATGCTGCACCTGGTTGTTCCACGACAGATCCGTCACATTCTCAATGCGCTGTGAGCGCGCTCCAGGCGAATACGATTTGTACTCGTTGACGATATCCCAGATAAACACCTCGCCATTGCTGGCTCCCGACGCCATCAGGTTCGACTGGAACGGGTTGAATTCGAGCCCGCCCACTGCGCCCGTATGCGCCGAGCTCGAGTGCAGAAGCGCCCCGTCAGCCTCCCCAGCAATCACCTTGGCAGGATCCCACAGAGCGACGTCACCGTTCTCCAGACCTCCCGCAATCACCCCCAGATCGTGGGAACCGACCTTGCCTGACCACGCCAGCCGCTGGAACCGTGCCGTAGCATCAACTTTGCCCACCGCGCCTAGTGCCCCCTCTTCGTCCGAGCTCAGCTTGAAGATCTCAAGCTCCGACGTGTTGGAGAATGTGGCATCCATGGCGCCTGCAACCGTTCCAGCTGCAATGAGCGTCTCAGATTGCTGAGGCCCCCACGCTGGGATAGCCGTTCGTTCGATATACTGATAAACCATCTAAACTCGCTTGCTCTTTATTCCAGGCAGAAAAATATGGATTTAGCTTTCTAGATGACGCGACAAATGAATATGGAATGGATGTGAGGAAATAAAATAGAGAAACGAGAGAATTGCAGAACAGCGCACGCCGTCCAGCAGTTTCGGACGGAGAATGGAAACTCAAAACTGCAACGCTGGAGAGAGCTTGGCCCAATCAGGGCAACCCAACGAATGCCAGGCGCAGAGTGTGCGTGTGCATGAGAAGCTGAGTCTTCACCCGCCAGTTTGGCCGCGGTATGCGTGTGACGCCCGATCGACAGAATGGCTCTAGGCAGGTTTGACACATAAACATGCCTCTCCCTTGTCTTCATTTGCTGAAAGCAGCCTATATTCTTTTAATTTTTACCCGAGGTCCATTTGAAGATGAATGCCCAGCAAGGTGAGCACCTCCTCTCTCTCTCTCTCGGCCGACCCGACAACACACTGCATACCACTAATTCCATAGCGCTACTGCAGGGTTTCCGCAACTGAGCTTTATCCCAGCCACCGATGCGCCCAACTACGCGCAGACGTTTTACAGCAGCGTGCAGCCCGGGGCTACCAGAATCTCAGGCCAGACGGCTCGCACAATCCTGGAGCAGTCAAAGCTGTCGACTCTGGATCTGGGCAAGATTTGGGAACTGTCAGACCCGCACCACGCCGGGTCGCTGTCGCTGCCAGAATTCATGCTGGCCTTGTTCTTGACACAGTGCCGCATCAACGGCAAGACCGTTCCGCCTGCGCTGCCATCCAAGATTTCAGCTGAGATCGAGGCTGCCAACAACGCTGCTGCCTCGGGAGGCTTTGCCCAGGCCAGTATGCCCGTCCCGGCTCCTGGATACCAGGCACAGCAACAGCCTCCAGTGCAGCCCCAGATTCAGTCGCAGATGCCTGCCCCCGGCTACCAGCAGCCACAGGCAATGAATGTTGCTATGCCCACGCCCTCATTCTACAGTGGCGGGCAGCAGGCACCAACGCTGGTTGCGCCCGCTGTTACAGTCCCTGCAGATATCTCACCTGTGCAAGACTTTGAGTCACGATTCCCCGATATTGTCCCTATGGGCGGCGTGGCCGCGTCACTGAGCAGCGCCAAGCAGTCGTTCCAGCAGAATTTACTCAGCGGACGCATCGGCGAGAGCGAGCACAAGTGGGCGATCTCGACTTCAGAGAAGGCGCAGTACGAGGCTATTTTCCGGCGCTGGGACCCAGGCCACCGCGGTGTGCTGAAGGGCGAGCAGGCACGCGAGGTGTTTGCGCAATCTGGGCTTCCACAGCACGAGCTGGCAAAAGTCTGGAGTCTTGCCGACATCAACAACCAGGGCGAGCTCAACCTGGACGAATTCAGCGTTGCCATGCACTTGATCTTCCGCCGCATCGCCGGAGATCGCCTGCCGCAGGAACTACCGCAGGAACTGGTGCCGCGCAGCAGCAAGGACTTTATGGACTCGCTGGTCAACATGAAAGAGCAGCTGATGTTCAAGGACTTTAAAAAGACACCCGTCAGGGTCACCACGCCCGTGCGCGCCTCCTCGGTTCCCGTTGAAGAAGACGATGCCAGCTATTCGGCATACAAGAGCGCGAACCGCCGCCGCAACCAGGCTGGATCGAGCCGTCACGGCACGTCGTCGGCGGAACCCACACCTGAGGCCACAGTGCCCGTCACTGCCGAGTCGGTCGAGCAGCTGCGTAAGAGCGTGCGCCAGCGCAAAGACGAGATTGCGTCTCTCAAGGCCGGCATCGAGTCAAGGCAGCAGTCTCGCACCGAGTCTCGCATCTCCGCCCGCTGGCGCATCGACGAGCTCAAGCGCGAGATCGAGGACCTCCATCGCACAATCCAGACACAGTCGGCGGTGAGTCAGAGTACAGCAAGCAGCTGGCCCGCCGTGCCAAGCTCGCTCGCGGCATCGATGAGCTGACAAAGGACCTACCATCTCTGATTACAGAGTACGAACGCCTGGCCACTGAGCTTGCCGAAACCAAGCGCGATGTTGTGCGCAAGCGCGATGCCAAGGAGAACCCCAGTCCTGGGGTTAACACCAGCGGGATGTCGGAGATGGAGGCGAGGGCTGCCCGGCTCGTCGCCCAGCGCATGGCCGCGCTGACTGGTCAGGCACTCGACGAGGATGGCAAGTCGAACGAGCGCATCAAGCACGAGATTGAGCGCGTCGATAAGCAGCACCACGAGCAGCTGTACCGCGCAAAGGCTGTGCAGAATGGCATGGAAGATGTCAAGCGAGAGATTAACAAGTTTGATCTCAGTGCCGCTTCGGCTGCCGATACTAGCAAGTGGCAGGAGGGTGTTGGGCTCAAGAGCGAGGAAGTCAAGGAGTTGATCGACCGCCTCAAGCGCATCGAGAAGATCACCAAGCCAAAGTTCACTCCGTCACCCGACAGTGTCTCGACGCTGCGCACCTCGGCGTTCTCTCCTGTCACCAGCCAGGGCATGGGGGCTACTCAGCAGTCGTCATCAGGTCCCAGCATTGCTGAGCGCCTGGCACAGGCAAAGACTAAGCAGGAGCGGGACCAGCTGCTCAAGGACATGGCGGAAGAGCGGTTCCGCGAACGCCAGCGTGCTCTGGGTCTCCCAGTGGACCCGGAGCCTGAAGCGAAGAAGCCAGAGCCGGCACAGCAAAACAGCAACCCGTTTGCTGCCGCCACTGCCAGCCAACAGCCAGTCGAGCCTACCCAATCTACTGCTCCGTACAGCGGGCCAAATTTTACCAACTCGCTCGAACTCGACAACTACAGCGACACTAGCTCAGAGGAGTGGGACAACGACTCGGATGACGAGCCCGAAAAGCATGCTACTGCTGCTGCTGTCGCTCCCGAAGCCTCCGCCAGCCCCACTGAACCAGCCGCCCAAGTACCTGATCCAAACAACCCCTTCCATGGTCTTATCGCCGCCGCCTCTGCCGACGACAGTAAGACGCCTGCCGCAGCCAAAGAAGAGAGGCTCGACCACGACAACTACCAGCAGCTGCGTCTGCGTGCCCTCTATCCGTACCATCCTGACGGCGCCGACGAACTGCCCATTGAGACTGGCGATCTGGTTGAGACTAAGCCCGTGCCGCTCGGCCGCCCATCGACGCTCGACCATTCAGACGAAGGCTGGATGTACGGTGTTATTTTGAAGGAGGCAGAGAGCGATTCCGGCGATGGCTGGGAGCCCAGTGGCAAGATCGGCTGGTTCCCGAAAGATTATGCTGAGACTCTGGGCGCCCCGGGATCCCGCGGCTGGAACAAGACCAAAGCCCTGTTTGGTACCGCCAAATACGACTATGAGCCGCAGCATGACGATGAGCTGAAGGTTGCCGTTGGGGACCGCGTGAGGGTTGTGGATGGCGACAAGGCCGAGAGCTGGTGGAAGGTGCGCAAGATCGGCGACAAGAAGGAAGGAATGCTGCCAGCCATGTACATCGACCTGGACGAGTAGTCACGAAGCCTTAGTAATTCACAATACAGCATATATGGCAGTCAGCAGTGGTCACATACAAGCCGCTCACTTGGAGATGCAATGTTCAACATTTGAAACTAGATCATCAAGAACTCTACATCCGCCTGATATAGGCATCGGCCTCCGACTGATTGGCTGGGTATCTCTGGTGCAGCGGTCTCAATCTGGCCTCCAGAACCGTCGAATCCGAGTTGACCGCAGATTCGTCATCGCTGGGCTCCGGGAATGCGAGCTGGTACGCTGACTTCTTGGTCGGCATCGTATCCAGCGACAGCACCTGAAGACCACTGTCACTAGAAGACTCTGTATCAATTTCCTGGCTTGGCTCGATCCTGGCTTCCTTGTGCCGTGCCACCAGCGGATATTTCTTGGTCAGCTCCCTATTGACTTCTTTGATAACACGAACGACTGAAGGATCGGTCACAAACACCAGAAAGTTGGCCAGCACTGTGGCCGCGTGTCCAAACCACGCGAGCTTCTGCATATGGACGAATTTTGGAATTTCGCTCCTGTCCGTCAGCTGGATAGAGTACTGGATGTAGTAATATGCGATATTGCAGCAGAACCAAGCCAGCGGCGCAATGGTATACATAGCGATACGCACCGCTGCATTGTAGACGTTGCGAGCTGCCCGCAGCCGCTGCTCCTCGTGCCGCATCGTGGTCCTGCACTTGCTGGTCTTGCTGCTGGACAGGAACGCCTGGTTCTCGGCAGAGATCTTTTGCAGACATTTGTTGATCTCGCGCTGCTTCTGCAAAAGCGACAGGATAATGCGTGTGAATGTAATGACGTTGTAGAGCAAGCAGAGTGCCGGCGTCAGCATATAGGCACACACCACAAACACCACAAACGAGGCTGTTCCTGGTTGGTATGGTTCGAATGCCGAGCAGTAGCCTTGTTTTGCAGCGATCCCCGTAAGCGTCGCCAAATGAACCAGTGCTGCTAGAATCGGAACTAGGAAGTACAGATACTCGCAGTACTCGCGTGGAACCACCAGCCTGGGTCGCAAAAACATGATGTGCAGATTGACGGCAATAGCTGTGGATGCGTAGACGCCTGTGTATGTGACAAAGCCAGTGAAGAAATAATATGCCCGGCAGCCTGTGCTATTCCCTTTCACCACCTTGGCCAGCATGGTGAGGCCCAGGATGCAATCCATAAGCGTAATAAAGAAAATTAGACGTAGAGATGTACGGTTGACGAGAAAGCGGCGCCAGACGAAGACAGCGAGAAGGAAAATCACCATGACTGCGGCAAAGCCCGAAGCCAGGCCGTAGCCGAGGTGGAAGAGATAATATTCGTTCTTTACCTGCCGCATAGCTTCAGCGAGGATTTTGTCTGGGTTGTCAGGCTCCAAGGAGAATGCCCGCATCAAGAGCGTACTAGTAGACGAAGACATTATAAGGAGCTAGTATAGCAAGTATGACGCTGTCTGATATAATAATAACAGCACGATGGGTGCAACATAAAAGAAAGGAAGGGAGATAAAAAAATACCATTGGCACAGTATTTCAAGCACGATTGCCTCCGCAAGCAAAATCTTATATAATATTCAATGCGCAGTCGCTCAATGCAAATGGCATAGCTATTGGGACACCACCACCTCTTAATTCCATACAGACACAAGCAGGGAGATATACTCCATGCAGTGAATTGTGCAAAAACAGCCAATCTGCAGTTTATTTGCAAATGCTCCAGGCTGTTGGTTGATTTCGACCAATGTCCAACGCTTAAAACTCCGAGTTGGAAGGAATATAAGTGCCTGGGAATTAAGCATATCACTTGCAAAGAGAACCATCGATTATATTTTGAATGACAATAGTTTATCTGCGCTGAAAGGGATTGGAGTGATGGACACTATAAATCAATTATAATTCAGTAAGCGTGTCCTTGTGAAAATGGATCATCGGTCTCGTTCCGTTGTTAAGAAGCTTCAATCGCTTGTACATTGTGACTTTATTGAAAATTCATACAATACTCATATTAATAGAAGTATCATGCTACAAGCAGTTTGTGAACTAAGCGGACACCGTGCGGAGAGCTGCTGTTGTCCGACAAGCCATTGTAATCTCTCAGTCATTAAAAATGAAGTGACTTTTTACTATACAAGCACACGCTTATAGATGCTTTTGAATTGGCGATCGCTTCAGTCCTGATTTATGTTGGAGTTCAGCTAAGCCAATGGCCATATCAAGATTCAGCAAAATCATTCAGCTGATACCGATAACGACGTGCATACAAACACTCAGGGAGGCATCTGGATTACTTGGATACGTGGTAATGCAGAAGAACCAAGATTGTAAACAACTGTAAAACTTATAGATGTATTGCTTTTCGAGCCAAGTCTGCAAATTGAAGTAAAACAATATCACAGATTGAAATGGCACATAATACTTGTGACTACTAGAATTGCTCTGTTCATGATGCGAGCTCGGCTGCTAACCAGCATGAGTTGACATGTCGATAAAAGCACCATAGCGAACCGGTCATTTGAAGGTGTCGGATGGCTGTTAATGCAATAGCGATCCTGGACATCTCCCATATTGATGGCCTACTCAGCGCAGGCGCTTCAGCGCTGGTTCATGAATGAATCAAGGCGCAGCTTGCGGTGAAGCGGGTACACCTTGGGACTGGTCCCGACACCTGGATGGGCCTTCCAGCGCCTTTGGTGCTGCTTGTTTGACTTAGTGGGCTGCTGCTCTGGTAACCTTCGCGCTGTCATCGTGTTGGCATAAAACGGTGCTAGGACACACCGCACAGATGCACAGGCAGCAACGTAGGCACGGAATTTTGCTGGGCTAAGGGACCGGCAGCAGTGCTTGGAAAGCTCTGCCTCTGCTCTGCAGACAGCATCTTCTGGGACTTGATCCTTTGTAGCCCGACGAATCCTGTCATAGTGGCGCAGCTTGAGCTCCTTATTGTGCTGCTGCCGTGTGTAGCGGTAGAGCATTTTTTTCACCCTCTTTCCCATTGCTGCTATTTTCATGCATCATGTGTAGCAAATCGCCCTGACCTGGATCGATGAATACACAGCGGCCTTTCAAATTCTGCAGCTCTGGCTGTGGGATCTGGTGAATATAGCGACAGTCAGCTATAGTACTGCCTCCTGTAGCATCGCCTCCCACAGCATCGCCTGTAGCATTGCCTCCCGCAACATTGCCTCCTGCAGCACCAGCCTTAGGTACCTTGTCTTGTAACAAAATGCATATCGTTACACCATCTGTTGTCGCCATCCCGTGGAATTTTCTATCACCATGCACCTTAATTGGCTTTGATGTTAGATCTGCGACCCGGCCCCACACATCCCACACAGATTGTGTGATCCCTTGGACCGGGTCGTGTGCACAGACTGGGGGTGCTGGTGCATATGCATTGTTAAGTGCTGCAACAGTGTCTGCTGCCGCCGCCGATGCACCAACAATTGAATCAGCCGCTACTGCTGCAGTTGCTGCAGTAGCCTCTGTTGCATCTGATGGCATCTTCGCTGCTTCGCGTGCAGCCTTCTTGGCCAATTTTTCACCCTTTTCTGCTGCTTTCCTTGCCTCTGTCGCTGCCCTCTTTGCTGCGTTGATCTCTGTAACCTGCTCGCGTGTTTTTGAAATAAACACCTGCTTGATTATTTGCTTGTCTAAGCACACATGGCCTGGGATCCATGATGTCCGCAGAGGCAAGCATTGGGGAGGAAGATTTGCCAAGCTGCTCATTCTTGATAAGCTGGCATAGGTGAATGTATGCATGCAGATACTTAAGTGGGTTTGCCTTGGCACCATAGCATTGGCTATCTTTGGCGAATCTGTACTTGGCATCATAGGCATTAAGGACTGGCGCCAGCTTGTTGTAGATTGCAGGCACTGGTGGGGTAAGCACAGGAGGTCATTCATAGTTACTAAACTAGGTACTAAATATTTAAACCTTCTAAAACATTTTGTTCTTTTGTAATATACTTAAATACCAAGTTTAAGGTAGGTACTAATAAAAATAGGTATAATGATTAGTCTCCTAGAAAGCTGAGTTTTGTCCCCTATGGTCTATAAATAATTAGGATATGTGTCAGATCATTAAATATTCAATAGCGATAGATGCCATTGCAGGATCTATTTAAAAGTACAACGATATGATAGTAGCCCTTAGATTCAATATTATTTTTCAGTACATTTTTCATATATCTAAATTATTCACTATAAAGAGCAGAGCAGATTTAGCACAAGCCAAAGAATACTCAACTTGTACCTATGCACTAAGCACTTGCCAAAGCAAACAACCCCCCTCCAATTCTCTTTAGCACCTCTAGTAGTGCACTATTCTTCAACCCCCTCTCCTATATTTCTTCGTACTTCTCTACACTCTCTATGTGTGGGCTGACTACTTCATTAAATCCCTATTTGATTCCTATAAACAAACGTTAATAAAGATGGGAATGGCTGATGCCACCCCCACCAATAATGTCGGGCCTATCGAAGCAGGTCAAGGCAGTGTTATGTTTGTGGCAGAGGAAGCAACGGAGTGGAACCCAGGGCTGGATAAACTGCTTGCGGACATATCCGAGTCAGATGATATAGCAGGAGGACAGAGTCAGGGAATCTTGTCAGGTTCGGGTCGAAGTTCAAATAAATACTATTCAAACTTGAAACAGGGTTAAAACGGGTTGAAACAGAATATATGAGTAGGGAACTCTAGTAGACACTGGATGATGAATTGTCTTGGGGTCTTGTCGAATCGAAGCATATATATGCTTCGATGCACTAGTGTCTTACTAGCGACGTTGCGTTGCATGAACGACGGGAATACCGGTCACTGGTCCTTGCAGCATAAAGGTACTGCATTGTTGTACCACCTGCGGACTTGGATCCGTGGGAGCTGGGTCAGGGGATATCGTGGGAGTTGGAGCCGAGTCATCATGTTCATGCTCGTCGGATTCGAGCATAACAGCAGAACATTCGAGGACTCATGATCTAAGGCTTAATCGGACTCCAGTTTCGACGGTTCTGGGGCTTTAGCTCATCTGGGAGAGCGTATGACTGAAGTTCATAAGGCACCGTGTTCGATCCACGGAAGCCCCACTACGGATCTATTTTTGCTCGCCAGATCGCCATACTCTTTTGGATCGTCCTAGTGCTCGGCACCCTGGTTTGCGCCAACCGGTGGTGTTCGTCCATGCCACCTTTGCTTTTTGCTCAGTCGGTTGTGCATGCATATTGTTGTCATTCGGGCAACCCCACGCCATGTCCCTCAGAGGATCAAGAGCCAGCAATCGTATTGGTTGCCTCTTGCCGCTTCGGGCACTGGCTGTACATATTTATATGCATTAGCTCGCTGTCGCTTGTCCGATAAGATATTTTTGGCAAGCCATTCGTCTACTGGATACTGAATCTATGCACAGGCAAGCAGACAAGACCAGTCGAATATCTGCCTTTGCTGCAAGTGCTTTCAAGTGAGAAACATAGGGAATGGGGAATGGGGAATGGGGAATGGGGAATAGGGAACCGCACTGGGTGTTTGATGATGGCTCTGTCATTTAGCAACAGGCCGCTGTGATATTTATACCTGATGAGCAGGGCCTAGCAGAGCCATTTTTCTGGATAATAAAACACACAGATCCCAATATCTGGACAATACCACAATGGAATGCCGAAATTGATTGGAAGCCATTGCCGCCAAACACCTTACTTCTAAGCAAAGCCTTCCTTCTACTGCTTGTGCACATGGCACATAACGATGCATTTAAGAAATGGACGGTGTGGTTAACAAAGTAGTTGCAAGGTTGGAAAGCGATGGTTATAAATGGGCGTTGAAAACTGATGGAGGCGGAATGGAGGGGACATTTACATATGCACATGTTCACCGCTAGCACCCATCAGGAACACTGCTGTCATCGGTATGCCTGCCCCATCCACCACCCGGTGCATTGACACCAAGTCCGCGCTTGGCAAATGCACCCCAGATCTCGCACCTGTTCTTGCCACCAGTCAGATTCTGCTCGGCCTGAATTATGGCATTGCGTGCATCGATAAACGTTGGGTTGCACGGCTGCAGCTTCATCCCGTCAAGCAGGATCTGGAGCATGATGGAGTTGCCCTTGGTCAGGTCGTGGGCAAAAATGTCATCGGCAAAGCCATTCTTGTCAATCAGCGCCCACATCACTTCATACAGAATTTCAGCCCACACCTCGCCGATGGCATGCACTTCCTGGTAGTCCATGCGGTCGAGGTAGCTGTATGTTGATGGGTTGGTGTCCATGCTGGTCGAGTACGGATAGTTGCGAATCCCCTTGGTGTACACATAGTGGCCCAGCACGAGGTCAGTGTCATGTGTATCAGTGCTCTTGAGGCGCAGGATAGTCGACACTGCATCACTCCACCCCTCGCCCATGCCACCCGACTCGCCATCATTCAGGCAGTCGGTATTGGCGGGCCCGCCTGTCAGCCGGTTCGAGATTCCATGGGTGAACTCGTGTGCCACAATGTCCTGCTCAAAGTCGCCGTCGCGGTTTGGCATAGTCTGGGTCCATGTATACATACGCATGCGCGGACGCTGGCCATCAGGAGGCGTGGCAAAGTTGGCATTGTTGGTGCCAGAGCCGTCCTGGGCATTGGCAATGACGCCATCCCCGCCAACCCCTCTGCCGCTAAAGTTCTCATCCTGGAAGTTGCCTGCAGCCTCATCAAAGCCGTAGATGTAGGACAGATCGTGCATGATGTTGTTGGTATAGAACAGCTGCACAATAGCTGCGTCAATGTACGACTCTGGTGGCTGCGACAAGTTGAGGGGAAAATCGAACACATTGCCGGGGCCAGCTTTCGGGCGGTGGTTTGTCTGCCATGTCGAGCCACCGGTTGGGTTGGACTGTGCCCAGACATTGTTGCCGTAGGTCGAGCCCTTGGTGACCCAGCCCTTTGGACTGGCATCCTTGCTTGCCGGGTCAGCAACCAGTGTGTGCTTGCCATCTTCAGGAGACAGCACATCCTTGGCATAGACATTGTATGATTCAGACTGCGAGTACCAGTCGTAGAGGGCGAGCACATTGTGCGAAGAAGTGTCGATGCTTGCAGTCCACCAGTGGTCCTGCTGCTCGGCATTGACACGCCAGACGCTGGATACTGAGCCGTCAGCATTCTGCAAGAGAGCAGAGGTAATACGGGCAGTTCCATCGATGGCAAAGTGTGCAGGCAAGTTCGTGACAGTGAGCCCAGACGGTGAGTCAAAGCTGGTTGCTGCCATGCCACCAAGGTCAGTGTCGGCAAGTGGTGCTTGGATGTGGTTGGCCAAAGCAAGAAGGGCCGCTCTGGCAGAGTCTGTTGAGAGAGCAGCTGATGAAAAGTCGGCATTGTTGCTAGCCAGAGGCTCAGGAGTAAATGAATGGCCAGACGAAATGACACGTCCATTCTTGTCAATGTTGACGTTTGCTACGGCATTGGTGACATGCAGGCCACCGTGGGTCTGGACCATGTAGACATGTGTTAGCCCTGTAGCAGTGTCGGTGTATGCATCGGTGATGTGGATGCTGTCCAGTTGGATGCCATGCTTCTGGTGCAGATAAGTGGCAGCAATCGACATGCTCTGCAGCAGCAAGGGGTCGCTGTGGGCAAGCGACGAGGAAAAGGTGGTAGGGCTTGCAATGGGGTTCAGAGACAGAGGAGTCTCGTAGACAGTGAATGGCTGTCTGTGGCTGAGAGCAGGGCTGAACGGCTTGGCTGGCGTGGAGAGCTGTCGCTGCTGTGGCTGGGAGATAAGCGCACAGGACAGAGCAGCAAAGTAAATGGTAGATACGAGTGGTTGGAGCATGGTTGGAGCATGGTTGGAGTGGAGAACGAGATGAGGCAGGCGCTTCGTTCCAGGTGGGTTGGAGCGCAATAAATACGCAGCTGGCAGCACAAGCAGCAGCTTTTACATAAGGCGTCGGGGGGGGCTGGGGACAGTGGCTTGCGGTGTGGTGGTGGGAAGCGTGACCCGGTCGGCTTAGGAATCGCCGGCGGTCCGCCAAAAGCAGCAGCAAAAACATGTGCAGCGCGTGACTTGGTCAGCGCTCGGGGAGTGAGGATTGCCGAGGCCGGGGTGGGGCGGCAAAAGGAATGGGCAAAAGAATCGTCAGCGACAGGATTTGAACCTGTGCGGGCAGAGCCCAACAGATTTCGAGTCTGTCTCCTTAACCACTCGGACACACTGACGCTTATCCGGATTGAGCCGAGGCTCTGAACCGATCAACTGCTGAAATTAGTGGGAAATAATGTATACATAAGGAGATCGAACAGTGAAGCAGTACGCTTGACACTCCATTCTTGCACTCTGCCGCTAATATAACCCCAGAACCTCCTGCTCCTCGGATATTACATATGATGACATTAAGGCTGAATTGACCACAAGTAGTATTGGTGATTCCCCTCTTGAAAGCGATCATGATAGTTTAATTCGCCATTAGGTATTCAAACAAATGTTCTTTAGTCTTGTTGTGTGGCTCAAGTTGTTCTGCAAGACAATATCATGTCAACCATCACCTTGGCCGATAACCATAATAGTTCTAGTGCGGAGCCAATTGAGGAATCGAACTGAGACTTGTGATCACTACAATCGCAGCTTGCTGCCCTGGTTTAGCTGCTACGCTCAGATACCACACAGGAACGAAATACTCAAAAGGGGCAGTGTGCGGCGCTCGTAATTTTATCGACACTTCCCGTTTTATTCTCTTGTTCCGTAATTCAAATATTTCAATAACACGTACAGAAATACCCATATCTTATGTGCTCTATATATTATCACAACAGTAGTGTTGCGCGCCCACCACAGCTGTCCCTAACGTCGACATGTCAGTCGAGTCAGGTGACCGCAGGCCAGACGCCAACGAGAGCCCTGCTACAGCCTACACTATAGAGGTAGCGTCTAGCTTCTGATGAATTGCACAGATGGCCACATTGAAAACACCTCCGCGCAACTCATCTATTCTCTTTTCTCCCTTTTCTTCAGTTAAATATCATCTTTAAAATTCCAACACATTTAACAAACACAGCTGTTGATATTCGGGGTCTGGAGTCCCCCTGCGCCACCATAGACAAGGCCAAAACGCATAAGTACAATAGCCCAGACAGACAACCAGCCTTCCTTCTTCCCCGAGTCACTTTGAGATGTTATTTTTTCCATATATTCGAGATCCACTCATTCCCCAAGTTAACAACAGTTAAACCGATATTTATTCACATATTACGCACGATTCTTGTGTAGCATATCATACAGCATCTGTCTACCAAAGTCGGCTTCCTTGTTCCCTCATATACACTGCTCCCCAGTCTTATGACATGCCTCACTAATGCACATATTGCCATCTTCCATACTTGCAGCGATGTTTCTGAGCACTGCTTGCTTTGATTATTGAAGTCTTTGTTCTTGGATTTGACAAAGTCTGGTGGGGCTGCGCGAGACAAGGCTGGTGTCAAATTGTTTCAAACGATAAAAATATAATGTAGAGTGGGCTGAAACACCTGAAGATATATATAGAAAGTGTGAAAGAGTGCAGAAAGGCACGAAGCTAATAGAAAAATATAAATGAAAGACAAGGAGGATCCGGTCCAGTATTTGACAGTATAGCAAAACATAAAGTGAAAATAGAACAATGAAATGAGGAAAATCTAATTCTGATAGCTGGAATGTGCTCTTTGGTTCAAGCCTTGGCCGTTTCTCTCAACTGCTTCTTATATAGATGAACATCTTCCTGCATATATACTCCAGTTTCTAACGTGAATGTTAAAATATGGCTATAAATCATGTGCTGTAAATGAGGGCCATTGAATAAATATAGATGTTCTAAAATGTGCATGCCTGTATTGTGTTTCATGTCATTGTAGCATTGTAGCACTGTCAGCATAGATTACATATGAGGCTAATAACTACACAACTGCCATATGTTAGTTCCTAGAATGAAGAGTCTAATCCAGTGCAATACGAAGTAGGAGGCATATGGATAATAAACTCATATTTTGAATTTATATCAGTGGCTATTTTGATGTCATATCAATATATTATTGTTGAGGCTGTTGCGCGGCCAGTGATGGCCACCATGATGAGACCATGGAAGTTATCAGGTCGACCAATAATGAGAGCAGCTCTCACCTTGAAGCAATAGAAATATCCAGTGGAGTCCTGTGGCTGCTACAATAACTGCTTGTCGCCCTGGTTTCACCGATGAGGTCAGGTGCCATATAGCAGCGAAATCTTCATAATGGCCAATGCATGGCATTTGTAGTTTTCCTTTCTCGTCTCTCCTTTTCATTTGTTTTGAAATTTAAACTTATTTAAACTCCCCTATTAGCACATTAAAAACTATCACAACCATTTTTGTGGGCTTTTAGTGAGATAAAGCTGAAGATAACGTGAAATTCAGTATCTTTCTGAATGATGCGGCCTGTTTTAAATAGTACTAGTTACGAATATACAGCCCATTGGCTAGCTGCATTGGTGACTCTGTGCTTCATTACCCGACCAATACACATGGCTACTTTGTATTATAACCAGCTGGCTACCTCTACATTGAGGATAGCTTCCCATAGACATGGGCAAGTATACTAAAAGGTGCGTGGTGACTAGTACTGTGCCTCTTACGAGCTCATGTATTGTAATGAGTGGATGGACAAGATCATGCTTTGGGCATTACCTCTGTACTTGAAATATAGCACGTTTTATTCTTTTAATAACCATACTCGTACCTGACAGCATCTTTATTTAATGCTACATCTGAAATACTATTACTATCCGAGTATTTGTGCACAAAAATGATGGCGCTAGCCCCTATTCCTTCATTTTGGATGCCACCTCGCTGATGTGGGACTCGTGTGCCAGCTTATAGGTTGCATGCTTGAAAACCACCCGAAAATTGAGTGGTTGGCGCGCTCTTCGCCTGTCCATTGTGAATCGGATGTCAAGGTCAGCCCCAGCTGTTTGCCACACATTCACCCATGTTCATGATTGCGTATCCTATGAAGAGCAGTGGCTACAGACCCCAAATAATGCTTGAGATGCATGATGTTGCCGAGAGAATAAAACTGCACCTCCCCACCCCCACACGAAAACTATTCAGTCCTTTTTCTCTCCATTTTTCCTTTCTCTCGCCCACCCTTTGGCTCTCGTTTTCTCTCTAAAGAATGTATTCTGTCGTCATCGAAAACATATTCTTTTTCTACAGCGATCCTTACAAGAACTCTGTCTACTGGCGGCTTCCTGCTGACAACGGTCTGTTCAAAGCGTTCCAGCCACTGGGGGCAGTGTGTCGTGTGTGGAGGGTGGTCGCTTTACCGTACATGTACCAGTTTGCGACCTGCGAGCTGCGGTATGCCTTAGATATTGGCGGGATCAACAGGGCAGTTTGGTCCGACAACCTGCTGCTGATCAAGTCAGCTGGCGCTCAGCATATGCTAAGCGGGCTCAGCATCCACGTCGATGTTGCCAACCCATGGGTGGTCGTTGAGTATTTGAAGCAGCTTGATATTGATTTCATTACCTGGTACCAGTTCACAACCCTGAGGTTCATAGTCGGCAACCAGGGTGTTCTCAGACCACAGGAGCTCTGCCCACCAGAGGCACTGGAGCTAATGTGCTCGTTTCTTGTTGACACGATTCCTGGCCTGCGAGAGATTTACACCATACCTAGCGAAGGAATCGACACAAGCGGTAGTTTTCTATTGAGACTCATGATCAGACGCTTTGCCTGGCGCTTGGAGCGACTAAATATCCTCTCGCTCACTCCGGTCAAGCTAAGCCTTGATTCTGACACTAGGCTTGCGAACATCAAGCACCTCAACATCCAGTCATACAGCGAGCTGCCTCACAGTTTCTACACAAACGTCCAGATATACAGCCTGGAGACTCTGAGTCTCAAGCCCTGCGATCTTGACCTTTTTGTTACGCAGCTTGTATGCAAGCACACAGTGGGAAACTTTCGCTTCCCTAAGCTCCGTCGACTCACTATTCACGGCCCTGAAAATCCTACCAATGCGTTCATCTTTCACCACCAGCGATTCAAAACCCCTCTGCTCATCAGCCACAGCCCGTTTCCTGCCCTCGAGTTTTTGAGCCTGTCATGTTACTCGCCAAACACCAGTCGGTTTCTGCGACTTGTACACACATCGCCTCTACACACCCTTCATCTGATTATGATCGGGGCATCTTGTCTTGATATAGAGCTAAGTAAACTCAAAGACCTCCAGGAGATTCGGGTGGTTGTGGAAGTGGTTGGCCGCAGCCCGATGAAGGAGCGGTTCCGAGAAATGATCACTCAGGCAATATGTCGACTGCCACACCTGGTGAGACTTGATGCCCGTTTCATGGGAAACGCTCGTTTTTGCAAGCCAGTAAGACTTGACACGCAGTTCTCCCAATGGCCCCACTCGCCAACCTTGCAAAGGCTGCGGCTGCGGCTGCGGACATACGTTTCTCCCACTGCACTCGTCCGAATTCTGAAGCAACTGCCACGGCTATGGGAGCTTTGCGTATATATGGACGTTGCTGATATGAGTGAGTGGTCGGCAAGGTACATGGGTACAGATATCAATGCAGCCACTCCTGAGCCTATTAGCTATAGCGCGCAGACGCTGTGCATCGACATGCTTACCCACCGTCCAGGATCACTACATATAATGACGTCTTTTGTCAGGATCTTCCGTTCGCTGCCAAATCTCCGCACCCGTCTATTTACCGCCCATGTACTACCCGGCATTTTCCAAAGGGAAATGGACTTTGGACGGTGTTCCGCCGAAAACCATGCCCATTGGTGACATAGTATTCAAGACGGTACCAGAGTTTCCGCCGGATCCGTAGGGCAGCACTAGCTAGAAATTCCATTTCCTTTGCACAATGCATACTCTGCTGAAGACTGCTGCGAAACCTTGTGGCTGTGCCATGGGGTTTCTGAAGCATCAGCAGCTGAAGCTTTCTTGTTTCACAACCTGTTTCTTGGTTTCTATTTGTATAGTGTAGCAGAATGGACGAGGTCCTGGACACAATTTTCCGCAATTGCTGCAGTCTCGAAGCATATTCTCGCAATGGCAAAAGTAGCTCTGAAGCCAGTTTCAGGACCGGGGTTGACTCGATAGCACAGGTCGACCGTAGGTGGAGGCGACTCGCACAGCCGTTTCAGTACCAGTATCTCATCGTAGAGCCCAGGTCTATGGAGAAGTTTGAAGCGCAGCCACCCACTGAACCCAACAGTCTGATACATGACGCCCACTGGAAGACCAACATGGACCTGGCCAGAGCTGTAGGAGCAGCAGGGCACTTTTCTGGCCTAATGCTCCATATCGACGTGCCGCTTTCAAGAAGCGTATTTGCCTATTTGGAAAGGCTGCGTATTTCAAAGGAGGTCTGCTCCCAGATCAAGTCGTTGAGGTTTGTGCTGGATATCGGCCAACAATACAAGCAGCTAGCAGCGTCCTCGGGCGAGGACCCTCTTGAGATGGAGTTGCATCTTAAGGTGCTCTTTCCCAACCTGACAAGCATTACTTCAATTGCCAACACGGGTATGGGCGCCGATATGTACTTTCCGATGAGTCAGCTGGCAAATGCATTGTCAGAGAATCTCAACAGCATTCAGTTTTACGCGCACGTCACTGGCATTTTCAGGGAACTGCCATCTCCTGCCTTGAAACTGAAACACTTGAAGGTTTCCTCAGACTACAGACTATTTGGCCAGATTATACCAAAAGTACACGTGTCATCATTAGTATCGCTGGAGCTGACCAATGTCGCCAGTGTTACGATATGGAGCCGGTTTGTATGCAGAGATCACACTGTGCCTCTGGTGTTTCTGTGCCTAAAGCGACTGGTTTTTGGATATAGAAGCAGCTGGTACGAGAGCTTCAACATACAGCTTGGTGTGCCTATACTCGGGCAAACACTCTTGACAAGCAACTCGTTCCCAGTACTGGAGTTCCTGGACTATCGATCACATAGCGGGGACATTGTCAATATGCTTGATACTCTAAGCAGTGCACCCGTGCAGGTGGTTCACCTGACTGTAGATTGCTGGGTCCGAGAGCATCTTGACATTAGCAGATTCAAGGACGTCCGGGAGCTCAGTATCAGATTCGATTCTAGCGCATACTCACATTACGACCGAGATCTGTTTGTGTTCCTTTTCCAGCGTGTATCTCAGATGCCGCTCCTCCGCAAGGCTAAATTCGAGTTCAATCGACATGGCCAGTGCTCTACCAAAGCTAGCATTCACGAGGAGCTGTTTCGGTATTTGAACTCTCCAAGTTTACGTGTTTTGAGCCTGAACGCCAGTGTATCACCCACAGGCTTCAATGAGCTTCTGCGAGGAACTCCGAATCTAACAGATTTGCGTATCGGGATAGAGTTCTTGGTTTCCGAAACTATCGAGAAATCATCAAGTGGCCGGTTTCTGTTCGGCCAGTGGGTCTCACCAGTCAGTACAAGCCTGCAAGTTTTGGCCCTCATCTCAGACTGGTCTAATATGCCATATTCCAAGCAGGATGTGTACTTGAAGTCGCTAGCAGAGAGTCTGCCGAATCTTTTGCACCTGGACAAGCTGCCTATGGCCAGTGCCTCCATTAGCGCGGAAGAACTGGATGGGTACGGCGAAAATCCGACCGCGCGGGTGTCGGGAGCCTTTTTGCAGTCGAGAAGCCGCTGGCGGTACTACCTAGGCAATCCGCAATAAACTTCTGAAAGGTGTGTGGTGGAGGTTACATTGGAGGATGGCACTATAAGGCCTGTGGCCATCGTGTGAGCTGGATGCTTGATTTTCTACCTTATGCCGTGGCGGCGATCTATTAGGCACCAGCATTTGTTGCCACCTGCAGCTACAATTCTTTCTCCAATTTCCCACATAAAAAGTGACACGGCGAAGTATCCTGGTGGCATGGGGGAAGCAGCTCTACTGCTGCATTATCTTGTGCCGCAGCCGAGCGTGATTTTCTTGGGACCGCTTGTTTATAAGCTTCATGTCTATGCCAGTCCTAAAGCTGCCTTCATTTCTCTGACTTTCAAGTTTTTGAGCTCCTTTTCAGAAAAGCCAAAAGATTAAAGGGGAAAAATAATGGAGTCCTTTGACATTTGCGGCATCGATCATCCTTGGTTCTGGGACTGGGATTGGGAGGGCAACGCATGCATTCGCAGGACTGTTTTCGAAGGGGTCGTGCCGTTGTCGTTTCTGCTCGTTAGCTTGTGCGTCGGCGATTTTGCTCGACCTGGCACGATCCTGCGCACCGGCAAGCCGTCATCTACCCAGAGCGCAGGTGTTGCTGACAACCGTGTCTGGATTGGGCCGCTTGTCGTGATGCTACTGCTGAGCCAGGCCGGCATTCAGGGGATGGAGGCAGCTGGCATCGAATCGGCAGTACTAGGCATTGGATGGCTGGTGGTTGCCTTGCTCGCCACTCGGCAGTGGGCCAAGTACCTGAGAAGCGGCATGTCCAACTACCGTGGTCTGTTCAGCGGAATAGTGTTCGGGTTCGTAGCCGTCCAGTTCTGCTGCTGCCTTGTCGAGATGTACTTTGGCTTCTTTGTTCGCACGCAGTGGCGCACGCCGATTTGGGGCGTCGGGCTGAGCGCTGTGGCCGCAGCGCTGCATGCAAAAACACTGGTAAATGCGCTGATTATCGTGCTACTGCTAATAGTGCATCCGTTGCCGCAGCTGGATTATATGAGTGACGCTATACCAGCACATTTGCGCGACGGTCATTATTCAGGTGTACGCCGACTCACTGGCAAAATCAACGTGCGCCAGGAGTCACCCGAGCTGCGCAGCTCGATCCTGTCTAACATGATGTTCCGCTGGATGACCCCGTTCATTGAAAAGTGCCTTGAGCGTCAGGCAATGCCTAGCGATCTGTACGTGCAGCCGGACCGCTACCATGTCCAGTTTGCACAACAGAGATACATTGCGCGTGGCCAGCAGGTACGAGAATATTCGCTAGGATTGCAGCTCATCTCGGTTTTTCGGTTCGAGATTTTGGTGCAAATTGCTCTGAATCTCTATGGCACTATCTCTGACTATATCCAGCCGTATCTGATGCAGCGCGTTTTGCGGTTCATTGACGAATACTCAGAAGATCGGTCGATCGGATTGCGGTTTGGGTACTTTCTGGCGGCAATGATGCTGCTGACCAGCATCTTGGGCACCGTGGTCGAGCAGCAGCAACAGTGGCACTCGCGGTCGCTGGTCATGTACATGTGTAATGTGCTGGTGGAAAAGCTGTCCAACAAGACACTGCGTCGGCGCGCCAAGGAATCGTTTACACAGCCAGATACGGAGGGCAAGTTTGGCGGCAAAGAGTCAACCGATGGCCGAGTATATAATATCTTGACTGCGGACATCAGCAGACTAAGCAAGGCGCCAGCAATCTGGAACACAGTCCTGGTCTGCCCTACCCAGCTTATCATTGGATGCGCCTACATGTACAGCCTGATGGGCATTGGCGGTCTGGTCGGTACATCGCTGATTTTCGTAGTCATGGCTGTGGGCAAGCAGCTGATGGTGCGCGCAAAGAACATTGAGGCTGAGCTTGGACTGTTTAACGATGCGCGGCTGGCAATTGTCAGTGAGGTTGTGCGCGGAATCTCCTCAGTCAAGTTGTTTGGGTGGGGCACCAAGTTTATCCAGATCGTTGGCGAAAAGCGCACAAAGCAGCTGGCTACACTGTGGCAGCGCGCCAAGATCTGGACCCTGCTCAATCTGTGGACTGAAAGCACACTGCCTTTCATCATCTTCGTCATGCTGCTGGCATACAGTCTGGGCGGGCAACTGGACGGCGAAACCACGTTTACCACAATTGCTGTGTTCAAGATTCTGCAGCGCTCGGTGTCGTGGCTGCCTAGCGCAGCTTCCGAGGCAATCACGGTCTATGTCTCTCTTAAACGCATAGAGGCGTATTTAGATGAGGAAGAGGTGCAGCCAGTTGCCGAGAGAGTAGATCCACAAGGCAGCGATATCGGATTCGATGGCGCAGAGCTTGTATGGCACCTTGCTGACGAGAGCGACTCACCGCGTGGAGAGCCACAAGGCTTACTTGATACCAGCAGCGACGCCAGTGCCCAGAAGTTTGTGCTGCGCAATCTCAATGTACGGTTTCCACTGGGCAAACTCACGGTTATTGGTGGACCAACAGGCAGTGGCAAGTCGTCGTTGTTGTCAGCACTCATCGGCGAGATGACTCTGGTGCATGGCAAAGTTCTTATTCCTGTATCGTCCGACTGGTCGCTGCACAGCGTTGCATACGTGTCCCAAGAGGCCTGGCTGCGCAACGCCACCATCCGAGACAATGTGTTGTTTGGGAGTCCATATGACCAGTCGAGATATGAGGAGACGCTACGCATGTGTGGGCTGAAGCCCGATCTGCGCATATTCAGTGCTGGGGATCTGACCGAGATCGGTGAGCGCGGAATTACTCTGTCTGGCGGACAGAAGCAGCGTGTGGCATTGGCGCGTGCTGTGTATTCGTCATGCAAAATTCTGCTAATTGACGACTGTTTATCTGCGGTAGACTCACATACAGGCAGGCATATTCTGCACGAGTGTCTGCTGAGCCAGAGCCCAATGATGCACGGCAGAACGCGCATTCTGGTAACGCATCATATGGCTATGTGTCTGCCGCACTGCCAGTACATCGTGATGATGCGCAGCGGCGAAATTATTGCCCAAGGTTCACCGCTTGAGGTGTCTCAGATAGTGGCTGTGGAGGAGTTGTCAGATTCTGAGTTATCGACTGATGATATGTCAAATGTGCGGCAGGCAGGACTCGATGACCCTGTTGCCGAAGACGAGTACAACGAGCAGCGTGCATTGCTTAGTGCTACTGCAACACCGGGCCGAGATGGTGCGCTCTGCAGTTCGCTACCAGTTGGTCGGCTCATTAAAGACGAGGAGCGGATGCGCGGCATGGTTAAGGTTGACGTATGGCGCAGGTATTTGAGTGCTAGTGGTAGTTGGTCGTTTGTGTCCAGTTGGCTGTTCCTGATCACAATTGCGCAGCTGCTTGGCACATACAAGGATTACTACCTGGCGCAAAAGGTCGGGTCTGACAAGACCCCCGGCGGTGGCTCCTCTCAGTACATATGGCTGATTGTGTATTTGTCAATCAGTCTACTCTCTTCGGTGCTTGTGGCCACCACCATGCTGCTGATCTACACCGGCAGCCTGCGCGCCTCAGTGATTCTGCACGAGCAACTCTTGCGCGCCGTAATCTATGCCACCCCGCGTTTCATGGATACCACGCCAATCGGCCGCACCTTGGCACGGTTCTCCAAGGACTTTTACATGATTGACGAGGATATCGGTGAGATTGCGTTCTACTTCATTCGCGCCTTCATCATCGCATTCACTACATTGATCGTGATATCGACCACGGTCCCACTATTCGCAGTCGTCGGCGTATGCGTGCTGTTCTTGTACTCGCAATTCACGTGGCGGTTCATGCAGTCACAGCGTGAAGTCAAACGTCTCGAGTCCACGATGTTCGCCCCACTGCTGTCTCTATATAGCGAGTTGATCCAGGGCGTCGCGTCAATCCGCGCATTTGGCATGCGCGACGCATACATGGAGGAGATCATGATACGGTATACAGAGCACACACAAGCGGATTTTGTGTTCCGGGCGACACGGCGGTGGCTCGGATCGCGCATGGGCACGACAAGCTCGCTGGTTGGATGCGCTGCGACAGTGATGATTCTGTGGAAAATCGAGTATTTCAGTAGCGGGCTGGCTGGGTTTGTGCTCATCTACGCAGTCAGCTTCTGGATGGAGTCACTGAGCGTTATCCGCAGGTACAGCAACTTGGAGCTCTCCCTCAATGCAGTCGAGAGAGTCGGACAGTACTTGGAAATCGACCAGGAGGCGCCGTCCAAATCGTCTGTGGGGAACAAGCCTTGCTCAGGTTGGCCGCTTAGAGGCGAGATTGAGGTCAGAGATCTGGTCGCTGGGTATTTTGCGAACGAACCTGTGCTGCACCGGCTGAGTTTCAGCATTCGTGCTGGCGAGAAAATCGGCATTGTTGGACGTACAGGTGCTGGCAAGTCGACATTGTCGCTGTCGCTTCTGCGGTTTGTTGAAGCTACCAGTGGGCAGGTCTTGATTGACGGTGTGGACATATCCAAAATCGGGCTTGAGGACTTGCGCCAGAACATCACGATTGTACCCCAGGACCCAGTTCTATTCAATGGCACGATCAGGTTCAACCTGGATCCCTTTGGCGAGTACCCGGACGAGATCCTGCTCGACGCACTCAAGCGTACGCTTCTGCTCAAAACGACCCATGAGTCGGCAGGGGATCGAGGCATCGCTGTATTTGATTCTCTTGACGACGAGATCATGAGTGATGGACAGAATCTGTCACTGGGCCAGCGCCAGCTGGTGGCTTTGGCACGCACACTGACACGTCGGTCCAAGGTCATTTTGATGGACGAGGCTACGGCATCAGTTGATTTCGAGACCGACGAGACCATGCAGCGCACTATCCGCGGAGCAGAATTCAAGAGCTCGACTATTCTGTGCATTGCACATCGCTTGCGCACTATTATTGACTATGACCGGGTTCTTGTGCTCGAGAATGGCAGGGTGGAGGAGTTTGGCACTCCGGCGGAGCTGATTCAGGCGGAGGGCGGAGTGTTCAGAACGCTGTGCGAAAAGAGTGGCGAGCTCGATGTTTTGGTCAATATGGCATGTGGAAATCTAGAAGCTTAGAAGACATAGTGGCGCTTCTATTTGAACATACGATGAAGGAGGCGTTGAGGGTGCCGAGGGGCCACGGTTGTGTATAAAAGAAGACTCTGTCGAAGGACAGTAGCTTTCTCCGACATCTTCAGTCTTTCTCTCAGTCGCTTTCCACCATTGTCACAAATTACTTGCCATGAAATACATCTCCGTCCTGCTTCTGGCTGCTGTCTCGACCGTGCTTGGATGCACATCGAATTCAGAGTGCTCTGGCAATGAAGCCTGCGATATCAAAGGGCAGTGCTCTATCCCCGCTTCCTGCAGCTCCTCGGGCGACTGCCGCGATGGAGAGTTTTGTGCGCCCGGCGGGATGTGCCTACGTGCTTAAAGTATTCACATATCATATTTGAATATTCTAAATATATCTTACATGTAAGAATATAAATGTGTTTCGATCTTCCGAATATGCTGTATTACCTATGGTGGATTCACATTCGTCATGGTGATATGAAGGAGGGTCAGGATGGGAAATACAGGTTCCATTTACCTATTGGAGTGCTGTTCAAATATGCCGGCACTCAGGCAGGACAGTCGCAGCTCTCATATAACCTCTTTTTTTTTTTTCAAACATACATGCTCACAGCCTGGTACAGGTGCGGATCAGCTGAGCAAGGTTAATAAATTAACCACCGCCACGAACAAAACTATCGGTGATCTAGAAGAGTGACCACTTTGTGTCGCTGTCAGCACAAGAGCCAGCCCAGGTTTCCCTCACTTTCCACTTTTTCATTTTGCTTGTGCTTTTTTCTTCTTCGAATTTCGGCCCGAATGGACAAGCTGACAAAGGACTGGGAAGACCTGAAGCGGCTGACGTTGCTGTCAACCGAGAACCTCCGCACGTTACCCTACTCGACCCGACTCCCTTTGCGGTCCTTGCGGTGGCGTGCCTATCTTGACATACTGCCAATAGAGAGCTTTGGCGCTGACGAGTGCCCACAGGTGTGGACAATGGCAATGGACCGCGAGCGGCAAAACTACATCGCAGCTGCGGTCCAAATACATAGTCGACCCAGGCGAACTGGCGACAGAAGGGAAAGATGTCGACTGGGAGCGGATGAACCCGCTGTCGCTGGACGAAGACAGTCCCGTGGCAAAAGTACCATCGCGACCAGGAGCTGCGCACACTGATAATGCAGGACGTTACGAGGACCTTCCCAGACCAGGCGATATTTCCGATCCGGCGCGCGTGCAGAAGATGATTGGAGATGTGCTGTTTGTGCATGCCAAGGTACACAACTCACTGCAGTACAGACAGGGCATGCATGAGCTATTGGCGCTAATTCTGATGGCAGTGGAGGCTGACAGTGTGGAGGAAGGAGAGCTGTGGGATCAGCCGCGTGGTGGATGTGCGGTATGTGGAGCATGACGCGTATGCGATGTTTGCGCGGCTGATGCGCATCTGCACTGTGTGGTTCCAGTCGCCCAGCATGGTATCGCCTGGGCTGCGGGCAGTCAATGCGCGGCGGCGCAGCAGCATAGACGCGCCAATAATCTCACAGTGTCAGCGCCTGATGGAGCGGATTGCGCTTGTGGACCCTGAGCTGGCCGGACATCTGCAGGAGCTTAGTATTGAACCCCAGCTATTCGGGATTCGGTGGTACCGGCTTCTTTTCAGTCGCGAGTTTGCACATCTGTCGGATGTGATGGCGCTGTGGGATATCATGTTGGCCGATAATGTGTCGGGGATGCTGGGGCTTGTGGATTGGATCGGCGTGACGCTGCTATTAGCGAATCGGCAGGATCTGATGCAAGGCGATTACGCCGATTGCCTAACGACGCTCCTGCACATACCGCCACTGCCGCAACCTGGGCAGGATGTGCTGGAGCGTACTCCAATGTTTCCCAACACGCCGCTGCCAGCACACGCAGCTGTAATATCACCGATCATGGATCCGACGAGCGATCGTGAATAAGGTGCCGGTGCAGGCGCTGGTGCAGACAAACCTGCTGCCAGTCCAGCGGTTGGCGCTGCAGGCCGGGTACCTGCGGGGCAGGCAGACGAGAGGCACGGCAAGCAAGATTGCTGAACAGTATACGGTTTGGGAGGACGACTCGTGGAATCTGGTCAATGACGATGCAATTGGGTTGCGGATTATTGACGGCGACCCGCTAGGAGGCAGGTCGGTGCAGGAATATGGCAGAAACCACCAGTCGTGCCCGGGCCAGCAGCAGCAGCAGCAGCAAGCCGACGAGTGCAATGCTTCAGGCGCGTAAGCGATATACAAGCAGCACACTGCAGCAGATGCGGGTCAGGCGGCTCGGCAAGTGTGTCACCAAAGAGCCCGCCTGGTACGCCTACGTCACTACCGCAGAAGCTGCAGACTGACTCGGTGAAGTCGCCAGGCGACGGAGCACAGGCGATTGGAGCACTGACGGCTCAGGTCTCAAGCCTTGCAGCACAGTGCGTGGAGCTGCTGGCGCGGAGCCCTGAGCCGGAGAGCTTTGCCACGGTGAGCGCTGCGCTGTTTACGATGTCGAGGGTGTGGCAGGACGAGGTGCTGAGGGAGCCCGCAGGTGGTTCAGATACGGTTCGGTCCAGGGATTTGTCCGAGTCGGATATGCGCACAATGCTGCGCCAGCTCGATTTAGTTTACGTATCCCTGTCCAAGCTCAAGTGACTGTTTGCTGGTCCTTTTTCTCTTTCCTTGACCCGCCCAATAAGCCTTTAGATAATCTCTACTTCTTTTTACCCCCCCCAAATTTAGACAGCAGCATTCAGTTGTATTATTATGTCTAAGCCCAAAGACGTCCGACCACCAGTCCGACAGCGACAACCGGCTACCGCGCAATCGCCCAGCTCGGAGGCAGCGGCAGTGGCGGCAAGTCCACGCCCTTGAGTATCCGTGGGTCGGTGAGCATGGCCAGGGCGACTGAAAAACTCGCCACCTCTGTCCCCTCCTCCCTACCGCGCACTTCCCATCTGGACGATAACAACGCACACAGCGCCAGCAGCGATGCCGGCGACTCTGACGCAGCCTCCGCGCGGCTTGGCTCCAGTCCGGCTCGTCTCGATGCCAACGAGACCGCACGGCGGCTGCGGCGGCACTTGGTGACGAGGGCGAGAGACTCTGTTGCGAGCAGCGCGCGGGGGTCGATAGGTGCCACCAGCCAGCTGCGAACAGAGCTGGAGGATGACGAGGGCGGCTATGCCGGCGATATCAACGACGATGAGGCGGAGGATGCTCGGGAGGTGGTTGACCCGCTGACTTTGCCGTCAGGCGATATCACCCATGGCATCTACAAGTGGCAGAAGAAGCATTCGCCGACACAGTCTGTGCGGGGCAAGCGCCGCGGGTCGTTCTCGGGCATGGCGTCGGATTCCGATTGGGACCTAGGCGTGTCTGCGCAGCCAATTGAGAGCGCCCGGTGGAATGCGCAGGCACTTTGTGCAGGACCGTGCCGAGCGCGAGGGCAGACAGGTGGATATGCTTACCGACAGCTTTGTCGACTTCATCGGCCTGTACGGCCATTTCGCTGGAGGTGATTATCCTAGCGACGAAGACGATGAGGAGGAAGAGGGCGAGGAAGCACCGCTGCTGGCACGCCAGCGGTCGGCTAGAGACATCCATGCGACGGCGTCCAGTCGGAAGGCGTTTTTCTTGCTGGTCAAGGCGTTTGTGGGCACCGGGGTTCTCGTGCTGCCTAAGGCGTTTTCCAATGGCGGCCTGCTAGCGTCGGCGTTTGTAATGACGTTTGTTGCGTGGTATGCCTGGCACTGCATGATATTGCTGGCGGATGTGTATCTGAAAGGTCGGCGGCAGCTACAGTGACCTTGGCAACAAGCTGTATGGCCCGTGGATGCGCAGCTTTATTACTGTGTCGATTGTCGCAGCACAGCTTGGGTTCTGCTCAGCCTACACAATCTTTATTGCCACAAATATGAGGGACCTTTGGAATGTCCTGACAAAGTGCCGCTTTGACTTTTCGCCCAGCTTCTGGGTTCTTATCCAGCTCCTTGCCTACATTCCGCTGTCGTGGGTGCGCAAGATCAAGAAACTGGCGCCATTCGCTCTGGCTGCCAATCTGTTTATTGTAGTCGGGCTCGGATACGTCCTGTTCTACGATATCCTGACTGTGTCGGAGCACGGAATTGCCGATGTTGTGCAGTTCAACCCAGTGCGGTTCCCGCTACTGATTGGCACGGCTGTCTTCGCATACGAAGGCGTGACTCTGGTGATCCCCGTGCTCGACAGCATGACACACCAGGACAAGTTCCCCATGGTCCTGACTTCTGCACTCTGTGTATGTGTGTGCGTGTGTGTGCTTGTTGGCTCACTGTCGTATATGGCATTTGGCGAGGAAGTCGAGACTGTCGTTCTTTTGAGTCTGCCCAGCGGCTCGTGGGGCACAATCTGTGTCCAGCTGTTCTACTCGCTGGCCATCATGTCTATCTGTTCCTTTGCAACTGTTCCCCGCTGTCCGTATCTGTTGAGGCCAACCTATTTGCTGGCTCTGGCAAGGGCGACCCGTATGTGAAGTGGCAGAAAAACCTGTTCCGCGCCGGAACAGTCTTTCTGATTGCTATGGTGGCCGTGTTTGGCGCTGACCAGTTCGATAACTTCATTGCTATCATCGGTGCATTCTCGTGCACTCCGCTCAGCTTCATCTTCCCGACCGCCCTGCATTACAAAACCTCCACCAGCCAGTGGGTCAAGATCAAGGATGCCACCTTGGGCACCGTTGGCGTTATCATCATGGTGTACGTCACATATATTGGCATTAATAGCTGGGGTGTTGCACCGCCGCCTATCGATCGGTGCGCAACCAAGCCTTAACACTTTTATAGCCTCCCCTTCCATGCACTAGTATCTATTTCTCGTAATAGCAATTGTTGGAACTTCAGGGACATTAGGGAAGTGCTTCGGCAGGGAGTACAGGGTCCCAGCACCATCTTTGCAAATGTCTACAAAATGCCTCCAGTACCTTGAAGACCCCTGCTTTACAGATGAGCAATATTAGTTACTAGAACTGCTTTGCTTGCGATGCTGAGCTCGGCTGCTAGTCAGTATTGTTTGACACATTCGCCGTGAGGGCCAAAAGAGCATGAACCATTTCAGGCCATCTAAAAACAGTCCAGCAAACGGCTGGACACTTTTGGACTATAAAATCTTATATACAGGTAAAGATAAGTAAAGATGTAGCTGAGAGAAGAGAAATGGCAGCACTCCAAAAGCTATTACAACGTATAGGATGCTGTTTTGCAATATTAGAGCAGCAATAGCAGAAGACGCAAACAATCTATACAAAGGTTTCTGCACATTCATTGGCGACTCTATGTTTATTCAATAGTCATTTACACTTGCTCTTCCGGCTTGGTCTCAGGTTGCTGGTTGCTGTTGTTGCTGGCTGCTGCTGGTGTTTCTTTTTCCGCCGCTGCTGAATCCAGCGAACAAGAAGCAGTATCAGCATTATAATGATGATGAAACCGATAACTTGCTGCGATGGATACAGCGGCGACCTGCCCAAGGTGCTTGTTGTTGATGTGGCCATTTGATGAGGCGTTTTTGTCGTGCCCGTCATGCTTATCGTGGTTTTCATGGTCGTCACTCATCAGCTAGTGGTAGTTTGTATTTTATACAAATGTGGAACGAATAATAATGGATGTGCTGGAACCAGGAGCTGGACTGTACAGTTCAGAGGGCGAGGGTATGCTATTTATGCTCTAGCAGGAGTACATAGTCGCGGAGCGGAGGGTTGTCTTGGCTGCTGCAGATCATCCCAAGATCCGCTGCCGGATAAGCCTTAGTCATGGCCATGGCCCTGGGATTCCGCATAGGGTCGTGCATGAAGTACACAGCTATGAGTGGAACTAGGTCCCATGCCTTGGATGTGCCAAGGAGTCTGCAGACTCCCAAAGAACTTCGGCTTCTGCTGATGTACTGTTGATATCTGTATAGTCACCAGCAGCACCGTTCTTTTTTATTCCAAGCAATTGCGGGACATACATCCCTGCCGCAGCTTGGTTGGGTTGTTGGTTGGGCAGTTTAGACGCCATTGCATTGTCCTGTGATATTTATCGCCCTATTATTAGAGCGGACATCAGCGTTGCCTAGAAGCGAAAAAAAAAAAAAAAAAAAAAAAAAAAAAAAGAAGCCAAACTGGACCGTCTGGACCGGTGATTGGTGTGGCTGTCTGCATCAAGCCGGTCCTAGCTGTGGACAGCCTCTGCATATAAAACGCATGCGGAACGCAGGAGCCATCCAGACTGGCAAGTTGCTTCTTCAGCTCTTCTATTTCCCTCTTGTTACATTACTCAGTTGATACTTTCCTCTAATCACTAATACATCATGCCCTACCCTACCTACGAACTGCGTTTGCTGCGGCGAGAAGTTTGAGTCAAGCAAGGAGCTCACAGCCCATTACTATGACGAGTGTGAGGCAATGCCCATTCCATAATGAGGTCAGAAGGGTCGCTGTCCCGAACTGATTTGCTGCTGTGGACGATCATCTGCCAGATGGCAAAGTCAATCGCTCTTTTTCTCATCCCCCTCACTCCCCCGGCCCGTTCACACAGCCAGTGTTCTATTTCGTCTCCACACGCCTATTTAGAGCGTGCGATCCTGACAATCGCGCAGCACGAAAGCGGGGGATTCTCATTTTCACTTTTCTTTTCGCATCCGACTTTGCCGGTTCCCAGGAGCAAAAATTCTAACGACGGTTAATGCATCTCTGTGAGAGCAGGTGACAGGCATGCCAATAAGCACGCCAACCAAGTTGTGCAGCACAATACCTGCTGGACTCGTAAGGCGCTTGCTTCTCTGCTTCTCTGCTCTCTCTCTTTATGTCTCTTTTTCAAATATACTTTTACCACTTTCGCAATCTAGACAGACGCCCTCTTGTGCAGTCGCATGTCGGGACCCAGCATAGTGATTAAGGCATCGATAGCTGCAGGGTGTTGTCTGCGGGCTAGCTGTTTTGCACAGCAATATTCTTCTACTTTTACCACATTGAGATTTGGCCCCGGCTGCGGGTTCGTCGGTGGAGGGCGCCAATGGTAGCTCCACTCCGCAAGCACATTGTACGGGTATTCATGGCGGAGGACATTGAGCGGGAATTTCCGGCAACCCAGATTGGAGTGTGCAGGCAGGCAGAGTGTCCCGTATGTCTGGAGAAGATTGGCAGTGAGTGCATGGTGCGGAGGATGCCATGCGAACACATTTTCCATGTGCCTTGCATTGATCCATGGCTGACTACCAACGCAGTGTGCCCAGTATGCCGCTGCGACTTGGTGATGTGCTAGAGGAAGGTGCGGCTTTGTACTTTTATAATATTCTTTGTGCAAACCCCGTTGGAAGAGTTAACACACATGTAATACAGATAGCTATATCGCTATAATATAGTTTTACAATTTTGTGGTGGTGATGACATGTAGAACAGATTTAGTACGGGTAGTATCAGTAGTAGTTTGTGTTACGACGCGGTGCTGGCTGTGGCTGTGGCTGTGGCTGTGGCTGTGGCTGTGGCTGCGACTGTAGCTGCTGCTGTGGATGCTGTGGATGCTGCTGATGTTGCTGATAGCGCTGCTGACTGTGCTGGTACTGGTACTGGTGCTGCTGGTGCTGATACTGCTCGTGATTTGGATGGATTGTTGTAGGACACAGCCTCGCTCATCTGCCCAGTGGTGGCCAAGTAGCCTTGCCCCGCCGGGTGTTTGCTCGGCTGCGCTATGCCGGCGATGTGGCTTTCTTCGTCTCTGGTGGTTTCCATCCTCCTGGTGGCCCTGCAGTGTCTCGGAGCCCATCCCCATGGTTTTCTCCTCGTCCATTTTGATCTGGATGACTGAGGCAATGGCGATCCTCGCAATAGTTGAAGAGTGTGTCGTCAGGCGAAAGATGCACAACGGTGGACTTTCTCTGCATCAGCTGGTCGGCTTCGGACATGGCGACTCCCAGCACGACATGCTCATGATTGAGGTCCTTTGGTATCTTGTTTGCATGTCCCTGCTTCACAGCTGTCTTCAGCGCCTCCTGCACCTGGGGCTCGGACCGGAGTGCCTGGATTGCTGCTGCACCGCCCAGCATCTGCGCTGTAGCTTTGCTCAGGTCTGCCTGCGGACCAAAAAGTAGGCTGTGGTAGTACTCGGCAGTGCGCTTGTCAATGGCGCAGGACCTGTCAAAGTCGTCCAGCGAAATGGGCCCATTGCTGTCCACAGCCGCGTCACGCGAGGTGGCCTTTTTGAACAGACTGCTTATGATTTTATGCATGGCCAGGGTGCCCTTGTCTGGCTGCGGAGTACGGGTGGAATCCGCCGTACATTTGAGGACGGTTGGCACCGATGGCTGTAGCCAGAATGCTTGTCCAGTTCATCCCCCACCACCGCCAGGCGGGCGTGGGCCTTGTGCCGGGCGCTGGCTGTTGGAAGAGGTAGAGCCTCCAGGGCCCTTGACAAAGTCGTAGGCAGTGTAGATGAACGCGGCGTTTTCGACATGGTTCATCCACGAGGGTTTCTGGTACTGGGCATTATCTCGCTTATTGCGGCTCCGAAGTTTGTGGTAAGCGAAGGTCCCAATAGTGCCCACAATAGGGACGAGGTCGGCGTAGCTAAGGTGCTCCATCAGCTTCCTTTGAGGGCACCGACGAATCCACCTTGCTTCCTGTGCATCGGTGGCCGGGCTACCGGATAGTCAGAGTCAGAGCTATACTCGGAGCTGCCGGAATAGTAGCCGCTGCCCGCGGCGCTGGGGGGTGGGCGACCAGGCCCCATTGGTGGGCCGGCCCTGGGGCATCAGGTGGCCGGCCAAGCCCCATGGGCGGACGACCTGGCCCCATCGGAGGCCGACCCTGGGCCATGGGTGGGGGGCCTGGGATTCATTGGTGGCGGGTGGAATGCCGGGCCAGTAGGCGGCCTCAGAATTGGACGCGGATACGTTCCGTAGCGGTTAACCTGCGGCGGACGACCATTGCCTGCGTATTCGCCGTACTCGGACCCCTGTGCACTCGACACCGGCCCTCCATCCGGGCCATACCCCTGGTGGTTATTGTATTGGTATTGCTGTGGGGGCGGGCGCTGCGGCGGGCCAGGGGTCACCGTGATACTGGCCTCCATATGCTGGATATCCGTGCTGCTGCCCCACGGGCGGCAGTGGCGGGGCTGGCGGGCGGACTGGCTGTGCGGCATAGTGATGGTGCTGCTGCTGGTGGCCGATACCTGGCTCTGGGTCTCGGCGTTTCTGCTGCTGCGCATTGCCCATCAAGCCGCTTGCCTCAGAGATGATGTTTGGCACGCTCCCGTTGATAACGTTGACGTTGTTCATTCCCTGGTAGCTGTAGTTGGCCTCATAGGGCGCGGTTGGCTGCATTTTCTGCGCCATGGCGTTTGCTGGAGGAAAATAATAGGGAAGCTATAAGAACATAAAGCAACAGTGCGAAAAAGCTTAATATCCTGTAATGAACTAGGATAGTGGGAGAAAAAAAGATATAGTGAATGGGAAAAAGGTTCAAGATGTGCGCCTATTTTTTAAGCTGCTTTTTGGGCGGCAGTGGGTCCTGCGAGATGCAGACCTTTTGTACCTTGCGTCCAAAGAGAATCCCTGAATAAAGGAAAGGGGGCAGTGGCAGCGGCCAAGAAAAATTAGGGACAAATTGAATGCGCCCATGTCAGAGGAGGAAAAACAGGGCTGGTGTTTTTGCTGTATGCCCACCACTCATCCACCCTCTCGAAAGCCAATGTGGTCACAAGGCATATGCATGTCATCATGCCATGACCACAATGTTTTCCTTCCGCACTGTCATAAATTCACCTCTTTCCTGTCAAAGAAAAGAGCTGACACCTTACTAACCCTGACCACAGTGTGCAACCACTATTCCTTTTCGGTAATCGTTGGTACGTATCAGGATATGTCGAGATGGGGAAGCAACAGCAGACGGAGATTGGGGATCTGGGAAGAGGGATACGGTGGTATAAAGCTGCAGAGCACCTTGTTCTGTTTTGACATGTACACACATACTCTCCCGCAGCAACACTAGCCTATTGTTTGAGAAAACAGGTTGTATGCAGATACCCATCGGGTGTCTCTGGTTTTTTGCGTCTCCCAGGCGTGATCTGCAGCTGTTCCAATTCGCTGGCCAGAGCTGTCAAACACTGTGTATTAATACAGCATTCAAGGTTCACCGTGCCAGGCCATTTGAGAATACCAGGTGATAGCTGCAGAGGTTTCGGGAGGGATGGAGATCCAGGATGGGGGGGCGTGTACTACAAGGCAGCACGAAGTATTCGCCTAGCATGTATGTAGATTGTGTCGCATTGTAGCGCTTATTGCCCTAGACGCACAGTACCCGGATCCAATAATGCCTACACATTTCCTTTCTGCATACTTGGACTGAAATTAGCTGATTTCTGGCAGAGCGCCGATTTTTAATTAATAGGCAGCCCGATACCCTGTGTATCTGTATACCACTCCAAACTGGTGGCAATGAGGTCACATGCTTAATCGGACATGGGCGGTAAATCCACGATCACTGGATTCCACTCCCTCTCTGCGAACCAGGGTCGCCACGTCACAGCACGGATTTCCTTTCCTGGCCCGATCAGGGGGCGAACCAGGGGGAAGAGTATTCCAGCTTCTCATACATCCCTCTCCACTCCAGCGACGATTTTTTAATAGACCTTTTGTGAAAAGCACCTTATTCTTTACTCCACAGCCTGCTTCTGTAATATTTCATAATTGTACACTACACATTCTGCGCATGGAATTAACAGCGTTTATAGCCAGCGGGTGGCTGTCGGTGCTTGGGCTTTATATTCGGCGGGTGCTGCTCGAACGTGTTTGCGCTGGAGCACCTTGTGCGGGAGGTGCCGAAGAGCGGCAACCTGATAACGTTTGCGCAATTCCTGTTCATCACGCTGATTGGACTGCCGTCGTACGTATACGTGCCAGCTCGGTCGTTCTTGCCGCGACTGCGGGCGCGGCGGGTGCCCTTGCGACGGTGGGCGGTGATGGTGGGGCTGTATTTCTTGGTTTCGGTTCTGAACAACATTGCGCTGGGGTACCGGATCTCGATTCCATTGCATATTGTGTTCCGGTCGAGCGGGCTGATGGCGAATATGGCGTGCGGGTACGTGGTGATGGGCAAGCGGTATCCGGTGAAGCAGGTGGTCGCTGTGCTAATGGTGTCGGTGGGAGTGGTGGTGGCGACATTGGCAAGCGTCACACAGCACGATGCGGAAGGAGCGGATGAGTCGTTGATAGGGATTGCGCTATTGACCATGGGCGTGTTCCTGGCGGCCATGCTGGGGCTGTACCAGGAGACGACGTACAAAAAGTACGGCAAACACTGGCAAGAGGGCCTGTTCTACAACCATGCGCTGGCACTGCCGATGTTTGTGATTTTTAGGGCGCGATATCATGGCACAAGGTGCGAGCGCTGAGCAGGTCGCAGCCGGTCAGCCTGGCGACACTGCCGGGCGTAGGAGCGGTGTGCCCAGATGTTTCAGTGCCGGGCCTGTGGGTGTCGCTGGTGGCGAATATTCTGTCGCAGCTGGTGTGCGTGTCGGGGGTGCATAGATTGACGTCGATGTCGTCGTCGCTGACGCTCAATGTAGTGCTGAATCTGCGCAAGCTGGTGAGCCTGGTGCTGTCGGTTGTGCTGTTCAAGAATACTGTAAATAGCGGCATGATTGCCGGCTGCGCGATGGTGTTTGTGGGCACGTTTGCGTACTCGCAAATAAAGCCATTGCCGGCGCATGTGCAGATGGGCGCGGGGAAAAGCGACTCGGGTTCGGAGGTTGCTGTTGTTCCAGGCAAGACGCAGGCGGACGGGTCGGTCCTCAGGCAAGGTCAACCGGCGAGGCGCTGGGAAAAAATAGATTTCTTTTTTTTTTTTTTTTTCGTGAACATGAAGGGAACTTGGCAAAGCTGGGCTGGGATACTGGTCCTGTGATTGCAAGATCAGCTAATCCGTGAGGAGCCCATATGGTTGGAAGTGTTATTGCAAAGGGTTTATTATTTTGTTTAACGCGCAGGCGGGGCGCGGCGTATAGACACGTTTGTACTTGTTTACCTGTCTCTGGCGTCCTACTCTGTTCAGCCTCCCTCCATACGCACATTCTGCACGCAACATTGCATAGTGGACGCACACAAAGGGGAAAATTCAGCGCATTTAACAAGCACAGGCAAACCACACTGGGAACACGTTTTTATTCGCATACAGGTAGGCACCAACTGCCTTGGACAAAATTAAATAAAGCGCGACTTCCGTTATTTAATCATACGCATATTTAGGTCCCCCTACACAGTCCGCGAGGAGACGCTTCAACCCTTTTGTTTTTCTTGCGAGGGCAGGAATGAGCACACAAGATACAGACGACTTAGAGCGGCCAGAGCAAAGCGCGTCGGGCAGCGCAGGGTCGGAGGACTGCACAAGCGGACTAGGCAGCGACGCATGCACAGACGAGGAGGCAGCGGAAGGCAGCGGGGATGAAGTAGAGAGCGATCCGGGCGCAGAGGTAGAGGAGGAGACGGAGAGCGAAGGCATGGAGGTGGACGCATTAGCTGAAGCCTCTGAGAGTGCAGAGTCGTCGTCTGAAGAGGAAGAAGAGGAGCAGCCAGCGGTCGTGGTTGATATAGGCGAGATTGAGGGATCTTCAGGCGAGGAGCCTGAATCGGAAGAAGAGTCCGAATCAGAGTCTTCCGAGGAAGAGACCGGGGTCGAGCAACAAGAAACCGAGGAAGCTGAGGAGGAGGTCGAAGAAGAAGTCGAAGAGGAAGTCGAAGAAACCACAGACTCTGAAGAGGAGGAGGAGGAGGAGGAGGAGGATGAATCCAGCGGCGAAGTAGAGGCCACCGAAGAGGTAGAAAGCGAATCTGAAGAGGAAACAGAGTCGTCAGAAGAGGATACTGTCGTACAGGCGCAAACAGCAGAAGCCATGGAGGTGGAGGAGGACGACCCTGATGATTCGGACGACCAAGAGGCTGAAAGCGAATCGGGAACCTCGGAAGAGGAGGAGGAGGATGAGGAGGAGGATGAGGAGGAGGATGAGGAGGAGGATGAGAGAGAAGAAACGGAGGAGGTTAGCGTCGAGCTACAGGTGGCCGAAGAGACATCAGACAGCGAGGTCATGGAGGAGGAGGAAGAGGAGGAAGAGGAAGAGGAGGCCAGCGGCTCGGAGACGTCTGGATCAACGTCAGATGGCGAGCAAGAGGGCGAGGCTGTGGCTGAGGAAGAGATCGAGGAGCTTCCACCCTTGGGAGCAATTCCCGAGGATTCGGACGATGCGGAATTCGTCGGGTCGGCGGAGTCATCGGAGGCTGAGTCATCGGAAGCTGAGTCGTCAGAAGCTGAGCGTTCAGGGGCAGAGCTGGGGAACGGTTGCGGCACAGCCTGCGCAGCGCCGACCAGCCAAATGTAGACGACCAACCACGCAAGCGGAGGCGAGTGGTACCGGAGCTAATCTCAGCCAGCGACGAGGCGACGGTCAGCGACAGCGCACGGGCGCTGAAGGCAGCGCAAGATCACGTGCCGCGCAAGCGCAAACTGGCAGCCTCGCTGCTGGCACTGACGGCAGGGCTCCCCAATGACAGCGAGACAGCGACACCGGTGCGCGCGCAGAGCCCACCAGCAATACTCGACAAGCCGCGGGAGGAGCGCAGCTACCGGGAGTTCTTTCCTGATTTGGCAGAGGACGCACCGCTGCTAGTGCAGTTCCGACGGGCAGAGTCGTCGGGGCAGTCGTCGGTGGCCAGCACGCCGGTGCCGCAGACGACGGAGCCCAGCAGCCTGACGATCAAGCTGCTGTTCAACGACCCGAACCCGCCGCAGTCGCCGCCGGTCGCATTGGGACGCGGCAAGGGAGCGGGGTCGTTTTCTGGCACGCCACAGTCGTCGGTGGTGGTGCTGGCGCCGAAGAAGCCGGTGCTGGCGCTGCCGTCGGCGCAGGTGCGGAAGCTGGAAGGACAGGCGGGTCAGTACCGGCCGGCAGAGTTTGAACGGCCGTCAGCGCACTATATCCGCAACGTCGAGCTGACGGAGACAGATCTGGCAGAGATGGTTGAGTACGACCTGGAGGACATTGACCGCGAGTGGCTGCGGCAAGCGAACCGGGAACGAGCCGAGAGCGGAGTCGCGTCAGATGTGTCGGCGAATGTACTGGAGACGATTGTGGACGGGCTGGAGAAGGAGTGGTTTGACCTGACCAAGGACGCGCAGAAGGCAATCTCGGCGCAGCACCAGGAGCAGCTGCCAGCCGAGGACGCGGCGTGTGCGATCTGCGGCGAGGAGGAGTGCGACAACACAAACGCAATTGTGTTCTGCGACGGCTGCAATCTGGCGGTCCACCAGGACTGCTACGGAGTGCCGTATATCCCCGAGGGCCAGTGGCTGTGCCGACGGTGCATGCTGGCGCCTGACAAGGCCGTCGCGTGCATGTTCTGTCCGCAGCGCGGCGGGGCATTCAAGAAGACCACAGCCAACAAGTGGGCGCACCTGCTGTGTGCGCTGTGGATCCCCGAGGTGGGCATAGCCAACACCGTCTACATGGAGCCGATCGACTCGGTGGACCAGATCCCGCGGTCTCGCTGGCGCCTGTACTGCCACCTGTGCCACCGCAAGCAGGGCGCGTGCATCCAGTGCGCCCACCGGCAGTGCGTGACGGCCTTCCATGCCACGTGCGCGCGCAAGGCCCGGCTCGCCATGATCGTCAAGCAGGATCGGCTCACGGGCGAGCCGGTGTTCCGTGCATATTGCGAGAAGCACACGCCAGCCAGCCACCGCGCGCAAATCGACCTGGCAGCGCCCCTCAAAGCCATCAGCCAGCGCCGCGCGCTCTCCTCGGCCTCGGCCAGCCTGGCGCGGGCAGCCAACGGCCACAGCTCGCCTGCCACGGCATGGCCGCCCACCAGCACCGAGCTGCTGCGCTCGCCGACAGCGGAAACCACGCGGCAGTTCCAGGCGGCCAGCCGTGGCAGCACCGATGCGTCGCTGCGGCTGACGATGGCGGTGTATAATCCGGACCGCCCGGTGCTGAATGCACATGTGTATGGGCAGGTGCTGCGCAAACTGGCCACTGCGCGGTCGGGGCTTGCGCAGCGGCCGCAGCTGGTGGGGCAGGTGGCGCGGTACTGGGCATTGAAGCGCGCGATGCGGCACGGCGCGCCGCTGCTGAAGCGGCTGCATCTGGAGCCGTGGACAGCGTCGGCTACGCAGCAGCGGGCACTGGAGATGGCCGAGGGCCAGCGCCAGGCGTTTGTGCGGCGGCTGCGCACGGACCTGGAGCGCGTGCGGCTGCTGGTCGAGAGCGTGCGGAGGCGCGAGCGCGAGAAGCTCAAGCGCACGCGCCTGCAGACCGACTATCTGCAGCAGGCGATTGATCCACTGACGCCAATCATGAGGTCGGTCATTGACGAGCTGATTGACAAGCGTGACCCGCGCGGCGTGCTGAGCCGCCCGGTCAGCACCGACGAGGCCCCCGACTACCTGTCGCTGATCCACCAGCCCATGGATTTCGGCACCATGCGGCAGAAGCTGGACGAGTTCGAGTACTGTGGCATGGACGAGTTTGAGCGCGACCTTTTGCTGGTAGTCAATAACTGCACGACGTACAATAAGCCCGGCACGTACTACTTCCGGCTGGCCGTGCGCGTCAAAAAGCACATTGAGCGGCTGATGGGCGAGGCAAGGCGGCAGATCGAGCGGCTGCCGATCGACCCAAAGACCGGGCGCATGCTGGTTGATATCGACATGGACATTTTTGCCCTCAACAGCCGCGTGCCGGAGCCGCCCAGCCCGCTGCAGGCCGACACAGACAGCAAGGCCCTGGCACCAGCAGAAGCGAGTCCCAAGGAGCCTTCACCTGCAGCCGATAATGGCAGCCAGGCAGTGGTCCAGGCAGACCTGCCAATGACGCGGTCGCGCAGCCGCACAAAGGCCGAAGAAGAAGCAGCGCCGATGACAAACGGGACCAGCAAAGCAGCGCCGACGAACGGACACGCCGACGGCAAACCGCCCAAGAATATGCGCGGATGGGCCTGGGTAGCCGAGCCGGCCGACGATGCTGAAGACGCGCGGCGGCTGACTCTGTTCGAGCAGCTGTCGGTGCCGCCGCCCGACATCCGCCGCAGCAGCCGCGCGCGCCGCCAGACGCCCGACTCGGCAGTGCCCGACGACATCAACGTCATCACCACGCGGCTGCGCAAGGACTCGGGCAAGACGCAAAAGCGCCCACACGAATCCTCGCTGCCCGTTGAGATGGCAGCTCCGGCGAAGCGCGCCAAGACTCGCCATGCGCAGGCAATGGAGCAGGACGTCGAGTACCGGCCGGGCACGCTGGTGTGGGCAAAGATGGCGTCGTATCCGTGGTTCCCGGCTGAGATCGTCGACCCCAAAAGCCCCAGGGTTCCTGAGGAAGTCCACAAGGACCGCCATGCCGACAGTGTCGCGCTGGTGTGCTTCTTCGGCGCCAGCCGGTCGTGGAAATGGGTCGCCGGGCAGCACGTGTGCCGGCTGGGCGTCACCATGGAGGACGACCGCCGGCTGTACAAGGCCAAGCTGTCGCGGTCGGCGGGCATGACCAAAAACGTGCGTGCTGCGTATGCCGAGGCGTGCCAAAGCGGTGGGATCGAGCCGCTGGCACCATGAGACTTGGGAGAAAAAAAATTACTTTAATGCGCTAAAACAAGTGGGATAAGAAGAAAGAGTAATACATGTTCACAGGTCGTTGACGCTCCACACAAACAGGAAGCGGCGGCTGACGGTCCCCTGGCGGCGCTCCTTGGCGGTGCCCATGACCTGGATGACGGTGCTGCCGCCGCTGACATTGCGGTCCTTGGCGACAGCGGTGCCCGGCAGCCCGAGCTCACTGCTGTCGCGCCTGGCCCGCATCTTCTTCTGCGGCGGCGGGCTGGGGATGCGCGGGAACGCGTCGCTGCACAGCGCGGCCGGCAGCGGCAGCCGCTGCGAGCCGCTGGGCTTGCGCACGGTCAGGTTGACCAGGCGCGGGGCGAACGGCGCATTGGTCAGGGTGTTGCCGCCAAACTCGCCGCAGATGCCCGACATCGACACGACCCGGGCCGAGGTCCTCCCGATGCTCTCCAGGAACGCCTGCTTGGCCGACAGAGTCTCCTGCTCCGACAGACCGGGCATGGCCTGGCCATGGACCACCTGCAGGTTTCTGCCTATGCGCCGTAGCTGCTCGGCCGCCAGGCTGAGCTCCTGGTTGCGCCACTGGCGGCGCTGGCGGGCGCGGAACCGCGCAAACTCGGCGCTGGGGACCGTCACATTGCGCAGCTCGTGCAGCCACAGGTCGCGGTCCGGCAGCGACCCCAAAAGAATGTACACGCGGCACTGCCAGTCGCAGTACTGCACCAGCGCCGCGTCGTCGTCGTCCAGGTCGTTCACGTTAATGTCCCGCAGCGTCGCCTCCATGGCGTCGGACTGGCGCGGGTGTGCGCTCTGCCTTCTATGCCTGTCGGTCATGGCCAAAGGCGACAGCCGCAGCTCAATGCCCGTCGGCCCCAGATTGACCAGGTCGGTTTCGGGCACCCCGGCGTCATGCAGATGGAACAGCGGGATGGCTGTCACCGGCTCGTGCTCCTTCTCATTGTCGAAGAGCTCGATGCGCGCGCTGCTGAGCACCGCCCAGTACCGCTTCCACGTGGAGATGCGCCCGCTGCGGGTGAACACGCTGACAAACCCGCGCAGCCTGGGCTGCCGGTCGTCACGGTCTGCCTTTTCCCACTGCATCTCGGTCTCTTGCCTGCGGCGCTGCTGCATCATGCGCTCCTCGCTGATGCGCTCCTGCTGCTGCCTGGCCAGCCGCTCCTCGTACGTCTCGTTGACCAGAATGCCGTACTCCAGCAGCACCTGCACCTCGACGTGGTTGCCGCCGCGCATCGCCTCCTGCGCCTGGTTGACTGCAGGCAAAGTCAGCGTGGTGCGGCGCTTCTCGCGCCTATCGACGCGGAAGTCCAGGAAGACCTCGCCCAGGGACTGCGGCGTGATCTGCGAGGCATTGGAGAATGTGCGCAGCCGCGGCCGGAACACCGACGCTTCGGTTGCTGTGGTGTTGGCGCGCGCCCGTGGGAAATACCCAGAGAACCGCGAGCTCTCGGGTGCCTGGCTGAAGTCGCTGGTGGAGCTGGTGGGCGAGTACACCGAGTGTCTTTGGATTTCAAGCGGCCGGCCGCTTTCGTCCGTCGCCTCTTCCAGAAGCACGTCGTCCTGCAGGAACGTCGTGCTGGGCGAAAGAGACACCCGCGACTTGTTGCCGGCGTACACCGGGTCATTGGCTATGTGCTTGTTGCGGAACATCTTGGAGAACAGCCCCGAGATGCGCTTCTTGGACTTCACCGTCTGCGTGGTCGCCACGCTGACCTGCGACCCCAGATGCAGCTTACTCATTGTTATCCGCGATATCGTCGGGTGCCGACGCACCGGCGCCACGTGCGTCCCCAGCACCGCCAGGTTGAATGTGAACTGCCGCGATACGTCAAACACAAACGTGTCGTCCATCTTGGCCGCCCACACATTGCCGCCCGTGCACTGTGTCTGCACCGGCGCTATCGCAAACTTCTCGTCGCCCACCTGTGCCACGCACTGCAAGTTCATGGCTACATGGAAAATACCGGTTAGCAGTTACGAACAAAAAAACACACACACAACCCTCGCTCAACTGCTTTGGTAACTGCCACTTTTACTTACGCTTGTTTGCTCCCACCTGCCTGACCTCCAATACCTTGACAACAAACATGCCGTCATTGTAGCAGTCGTCACTGCGCTGCAGCCCGCCAAAACCCCCCGTCCCGTGAATGCTCGACCTGCGCATTGTGCGGCGGTTGACCGAGCTCGAGTTTGTCTTGTACGAGCTGGTGGTCGACGGGTTGCGCTCGGCCACAGGCAGCTCCTGCGCCGAGTTGTTGATCCAGTCCATGAGCTCCGGCGCCAGGCTCTTGGTTGTCGTCTTCTGGATATGCACGCGTGGCTTGCTGGCAGACAAATCGCTAATGTACAGGGACTCGTGGCTGGCCTTGGCCCGCAGCTCGCCGCCAGAGGTCTTGTCCACCACCACCCAGCTGTCTACCATAGATGCCATTATTTGAGAAAGAGATTACGAGAAAAGATAAATGCGATGCTGTGGATATAGAAATGTGCTTTTTGCTTTGTGTGGAAACGGGGATGAGGAAATGAAGAAGGTGGAAGGAGGGTGTGGTTTTTTTTTTCTCTGGGCGCTTGCGCCCACGAGGATGGCCAGCCAGGCGGTGTTTTAAATAGTCTGAAGGGCGAATAAAAGCACCAAGGGTCCTGTTTTTGGGTCGAACCAACCAGGCTCGGGCAGTAGTAGAGGGAAAAAATTAGGGACACTTTTTTCCTCACTCTTGCTTTGTTGGGGCTCATGGCGAGTGATTGGCGAGAGCAGTGCAAGGCAACCCATGTAAACACCCAGGCCAAAAAGACCAGCCCTTTCTCCATCGGCTTTTGCTCTTATGCACTCGCACTATTCGACTGCCAGACGCGCATGTCATTTCCTCTGCGAACACCTGTATCACAATCGTGAATACGCTTTTTCCTCCCAGTGTGTCCTGTTTTGTGTCTGTTTCAGGACACATGCACATTGTATTTCTGGACGTCTGTAAACATACACCAGCTGGTTCTTCTCACCAACCGACGGCCCATCATAGCGCAGACAAGAAATGCATCTATATTTATTTTTGCCGCTTTCGTTTGTTAATTGCCTCCATCCGAGCGGAGACACTGCGCAAAAAAAGCTAGCAAGCATCGGTTGTTCCCAGGACAATAGCCAGGCTGCAAGCGGTTCTGCTGATGATGCTTGCCGACAATACCCCGCAAATATGCAGTCGCTACTAAAAATACGTCCCGCAAGCTTGGCCCCCCGTAGTTTTTGCTGATGCCCAGAAAAAATACCAGTGCAATAATAAGCCAAAGTACTATACCAGCAGCGCCTGCCAAATAGCCAGTTCTGATGCCCTTGCGTGCTCCGCACGTATAGTGCCACAAAGGATGCTGCTTTCCCCTCGGGGATTTACAGCCTGCGATGCCTGATGACCTGGATAGTGAGCCGCTGATGACCAAGGGGCAGAATGGGACAGAATTCAAGATTTTGAGTTTTGTGCAGCTGGCAGCCACTGTGCAATTCCAAAAACGACACTATCCTCGTCTGCTGATACTTGGAACCGCACTATTGCCCGCCTCTCCCGTCTTTTCCCCCACCACCGCTCGCGCTCTATTTTGCGTGCTCGCACCTTATTGCATGAATTAGAATTCGCCGATTTTATTTTAACCAAAACCGGGATCCTTTGGAGACGACAACAGGGTGTTGGGCGGACCCAGAGATCCGTTTCCGAATTGGTGGACCCCCCGCAAGCTTCCTCGGATCTCCCCAATATCTGCTTTACTGCTTGATGGTGATGCCCTTGCGCAGCGACTCCTTGTACTTCTCGATCGAGCCCTCAAACTTGGTAATCTGCTTGTTCTCGCACAGCCACAGCTCCTTGGCCACCTGGCTGATGAGCCGGAAGTCGTGCGACACCAGCACAACGCCGCCGCTGAAGTGGTTGATCGCATCCGCCAGCCCATCAATGGCCTCGGGCGCCAGACCGTTGGTCGGCTCGTCAAACAGAATAATGCCCGGCGCCTGCTGCGCAATCTCGGCAAACACCAGCCGGCTCTTCAGCCCATCCGACAGCGTGCTGATCGGGCTGGTCTGGTGGCCACCCGACAGACCGAACCGCCCCAGGTTCTGCCGCCAGAAGTCTATGTCCTGCGAGATCTTCGGGAACTTGTCGCGCAGATAGTCGATCGGCGACTTGTCCTGGTCCAGCTGGTCGTTCGAGTGCTGGCTGTACTTGGCCAGCTTCAGCTGCGTGTGCCGCTGCACACGGCCCTCGGTCGCGTCCAGCTCGCCCGTCATCAGCTTCAGCAGCGTACTCTTGCCGGTTCCGTTCGGGCCGATCAGCGCAATCCGCGAGTCCATGTCCACTGCCGCGTCAACCTCCCAGTACAGCGCATTGTCGGGGTTGCCGTCGTACGAGAACGTCACGTCGTCGAAGCTCAGCACAGGAGGCGGCAGCTTGGGCGTGTCCGGGAACCGGAACACGTACTTGCGGTCAGCCTCCACCTTCTCAATCAGACCCGCCGCCTCCATCTTGTCAATGATCTTCTGCTTCGACTTGGCCTGCCGCACAAGGTTCGCGTACGTACCCGCCGACGCAATGAACTTTTTGATGTGCTCAATCTCCGCCTGCTGCTTCTCGTACGCCTTCATCTGGTTGACCTCGTTTTCGGCCTTGGTCCGCACGAACGTGTCGTAGTTACCACCATAGTACACCAACCGCCGCTTCGGCGTCAGGTGGATGATGTGCGTGCACACGTTGTTGAGGAAGTCCTGCGAGTGCGACACAATCAGCAGAATCCGGTTGTACGTCTTCATGTACTCCTCAAGGTACACCACCGACTGCAGATCAAGATGGTTCGTCGGGTCGTCCATCAGCAGCACCGTCGGCTTCTTGAACAGGCACTTGGCCAGCGCCACACGCATACGCCAGCCTCCAGACAGACTCTTGGTCGGCATCTTCATGCGCTCCTTATCGAATCCCAGTCCATGCAGCAGCTCGGCCGCGCGCGGCTCAAACGTGCTGGCATCCAGCTGATCAATACGCTCGTAGATATCGTCAATCAGAGGGTTGTCCGCGCCCTCCTCAGACGCCAGCAGATCCTCCAGCTCGTGCTCGAGACGGATCAGCTCGTCCTGCGCCGTCTTGACAACATACTCGAGCGACGAGAGCTCCGTGGGCTCCGCCTCCTCGCTCAGCAGATACGTGTCCATGTGCGGCGGCAGCTCAATGTCGCCCTCGGCAATTGACCGCAGGAATGTCGTCTTACCACTGCCGTTGTCGCCAAGCAGACCGTACCGGTTGCCAAAGTTGAGCTCCACCGACGCATTCTCAATCAGCATGCGTCCGTGGAACGACAGCGTGTATGAGTCAATCTGGATGTCGCGCGACAGCGGCGCCGATGTCAGAACTCCGGTCGCGGACCGATCAACCACCAGCTTCAGCTGGCTCATCGTCTTGGCCAGACCCTTGCCACCCTCAGTGCCCGTCGGCGTCGCCGTTCCGGGTGTGGCGGTGCCGGGCGTGCTGGCTCCGGAGGCCTCACCGGCATTGCCGGCATTACCAGCATTGCCAGACTTGGCCGCTGCCTTGGCCGCCTTCGCTGCGAGACGCTTCTGCTTGGATGCGGAAACTGCCATGGTCGTTTATGTTATGAAAGAAAGTACTAGCGTAAACGGTATATGCCCGGTGTATTCTATATGTTTGCTTTTCGGCTTTGTTCCTCCCTCTAATAGAGTCCTGGAAAAAAGTATGAGGAAAATAGGTGTCGAGTACTGCTGAAAAGAGAAGAAAAGCTTCAATCTGCTCGCTCTTTTCGCCGCTACGCTCTATTGATTTTTGGTGCTCTCTTGAGGCAAATAAAAATTTTTTACTGGTATCCAACTGAGCAAAAAAATAAAAAATTTTCCCCAAAGCTGTTGGGGCACCAGAGGTCACCGGCCCTCATTGGCCAGCCAGGCTCTTTTCTTGCCTTCCTCCCCAAAAAAAAATATAGCAGTGTGATGTCCAGCTGACGTCAATGCTCTGAGGAAAAAGGCTAGGCCACAGTTGGAACTCGCTCGTACGCTGCTTGTGCTGTGCGCTTGCTTCACCAGATGGGGGAGGCGCCGTGCATGTGTGTTCCCGTGGCCACACCAAATGCCGCGTCTGCTGGGCAGCGTTAGCCTAGATATGCTTGTTTGAAATACCTGTGGTAGGTGTGTATTAACATCGCTTGGCTGCTTCTGGGAAAGCAACTGCTTATCAGGATGCGTGGCTTAATATATAGCGATACTGTCGACAGCGATCAGAAAAGCAGTCACTCGACCAGGATCTGAGATAAATGATCCCACGCTCTACACAGGTTTCATGATGTTGTTGTGGGGAAGCTATCCTACAAAATGGTCGGCATGTATCTGGGTATAAATCTGGCCACAAACCAATGATGTTTGAGTACAGCTATACTAGAGTGCATCCACACATTCGCCGAAACAGATTCAGATAATAAAAGCAGTACACCAAGTGATTTCAAGTCATGGATGCTCCATCGTAGACTCACAAACCGTGCAATGAGATGCTATCCGTAATTGGGACATCTAACCTTTCATTTGGAGATATCATCTATGAGCAGCGATAGCGAAGGTCAGCGGAGAAAGCAACGAATTCTAAGGTGACCAATGTCCTATAGAGTTAAACGTTTTATTTTTCAAGGTTTCCAGAGTTCGGGATCTAATCTGGTTTGATCTTCGATGGTTCTGGGGCTTTAGCTCATCTGGGAGAGCGTATGACTGAAGTTCATAAGGCACCGTGTTCGATCCACGGAAGCCCCACTACGGATCTATTTTTGCTCGCCAGATCGCCATACTCTTTTGGATCGTCCCAGTGCTCGACACACTGGTTTGCCCCAACCGGTGGTGCTCATCCATGCCACGTTTGCTTTTTGCTCAGTCGATTGTGCATGCATATTGTTGTCATTCGGGCAACCCCATGCCATGTCCCTCAGAGGACCAAGAGCCAGCAATCGTATTGGTTGCCTCTTGCCGCTTCGGGCACTGGCAGTACATATTTATATGCATTCGCTCGTTGTCGCTTGTCCGATAAGATATGTTTGGCAAGCCATTCGTCTGCTGGATACTGAATCTATGTACAGGCAAGCAGAAAAGACCAGTCGAATATCTGTCTTTGCTGCAAGTGCTTTCAAGTGAGAAGCATAGGGAATGGGGAATAGGGAACCGCACTGGGTGTTTGACGATGGTCCTGTCATTTAGCAACAGGCCGCTGTGATATTTATACCTGATGAGCAGGGCCTAGCAGAGCCATTTTTCTGGATAATAAAACACACAGATCCAAATATCTGGACAATACCACAATGAAATGTCGAAATTGATTGGAAGCCATTGCCGCCAAACACCTTACTTCTAAGCAAAGCCTTCCTTCTACTGCTTGTGCACATGGCGCATAACGATGCATCTGAGAAATGGACGGTGTGGTTAACAAAATAGCTGCAAGGCTGGAAAGCGATGTTTATAAATGGGCATTGAAAACTGATGGAGGTGGAATGGAGGGGACATTTACATATGCACATGTTCACCACTAGCACCCATCAGGAACACTGCTGTCATCGGTATGCCTGCCCCATCCACCACCTGGTGCATTGACACCAAGTCCGCGCTTGGCAAATGCACCCCAGATCTCGCACCTGTTCTTGCCACCAGTCAGATTCTGCTCGGCCTGAATTATGGCATTGCGTGCATCGATAAACGTTGGGTTGCACGGCTGCAGCTTCATCCCGTCAAGCAGGATCTGGAGCATGATGGAGTTGCCCTTGGTCAGGTCGTGGGCAAAGATGTCATCGGCAAAGCCATTCTTGTCAATCAGCGCCCACATCACTTCATACAGAATTTCAGCCCACACCTCGCCGATGGCATGCACTTCCTGGTAGTCCATGCGGTCGAGGTAGCTGTATGTTGATGGGTTGGTGTCCATGCTGGTTGAGTACGGATAGTTGCGAATCCCCTTGGTGTACACATAGTGGCCCAGCACGAGGTCAGCGTCATGTGTATCAGTGCTCTTGAGGCGCAGGATAGTCGACACTGCATCGCTCCACCCCTCGCCCATGCCACCCGACTCGCCATCATTCAGGCAGTCGGTATTGGCGGGCCCACCTGTCAGCCGGTTCGAGATTCCATGGGTGAACTCGTGTGCTACAATGTCCTGCTCAAAGTCGCCGTCGCGGTTTGGCATAGTCTGGGTCCATGTATACATACGCATGCGCGGACGCTGGCCATCGGGAGGCGTGGCAAAGTTGGCATTGTTGGTGCCAGAGCCGTCCTGGGCATTGGCAATGACGCCATCCCCGCCAACCCCTCTGCCGCTAAAGTTCTCATCCTGGAAGTTGCCTGCAGCCTCATCAAAGCCGTAGATGTAGGACAGATCGTGCATGATGTTGTTGGTATAGAACAGCTGCACAATAGCTGCGTCAATGTATGACTCTGGTGGCTGCGACAAGTTGAGGGGAAAATCGAACACATTGCCGGGGCCAGCTTTCGGGCGGTGGTTTGTCTGCCATGTCGGGCCACCGGTTGGGTTGGACTGTGCCCAGACATTGTTGCCGTAGGTCGAGCCCTTGGTGACCCAGCCCTTTGGACTGGCATCCTTGCTTGCTGGGTCAGCAACCAGTGTGTGCCTGCCATCTTCAGGAGACAGCACATCCTTGGCATAGACATTGTATGATTCAGACTGCGAGTACCAGTCGTAGAGGGCGAGCACATTGTGCGAAGAAGTGTCGATGCTTGCAGTCCACCAGTGGTCCTGCTGCTCGGCATTGACACGCCAGACGCTGGATACTGAGCCGTCAGCATTCTGCAAGAGAGCAGAGGTAATACGGGCAGTTCCATCGATGGCAAAGTGTGCAGGCAAGTTCGTGACAGTGAGCCCAGACGATGAGTCAAAGCTGGTTGCCGCCATGCCACCAAGGTCAGTGTCGGCAAGTGGTGCTTGGATGTGGTTGGCCAAAGCAAGAAGGGCCGCTCTGGCAGAGTCTGTTGAGAGAGCAGCTGATGAAAAGTCGGCATTGTTGCTAGCCAGAGGCCCAGGAGTAAATGAATGGCCAGACGAAATGACACGTCCATTCTTGTCAATGTTGACGTTTGCTACGGCATTGGTGACATGCAGGCCATCGTGGGTCTGGACCATGTAGACATGTGTTAGCCCTGTAGCAGTGTCGGTGTATGCATCGGTGATGTGGATGCTGTCCAGTTGGATGCCATGCTTCTGGTGCAGATAAGTGGCAGCAATCGACATGCTCTGCAGCAGCAAGGGGTCGCTGTGGGCAAGCGACGAGGAAAAGGCGGTAGGGCTTGCAATGGGGTTCAGAGACAGAGGAGTCTCGTAGACAGTAAATGGCTGTCTGTGGCTGAGAGCAGGGCTGAACGGCTTGGCTGGCGTGGAGAGCTGTCGCTGCTGTGGCTGGGAGATAAGCGCACAGGACAGAGCAGCAAAGTAAATGGTAGATACGAGTGGTTGGAGCATGGCTGGAGCATGGTTGGAGTGGAGGACAAGGTGAGGCAGGCGCTTCGTTCCATGTGGGTTGGAGCGCAATAAATACGCAGCTGCCAGCACAAGCAGCAGCCTTTACATAAGGCGTCGGGGGGGGCTGGGGACAGTGGCTTGCGGTGTGGTGGTGGGAAGCGTGACCCGGCCGGCTTAGGAATCGCCGGCGGTCCGCCAAAAGCAGCAGCAAAAACATGTGCAGGGCGTGACTTGGTCAGCACTCGGGGAGTGAGGATTGCCGAGGCCGGGGTGGGGCGGCAAAAGGAATGGGCAAAAGAATCGTCAGCGACAGGATTTGAACCTGTGCGGGCAGAGCCCAACAGATTTCGAGTCTGTCTCCTTAACCACTCGGACACACTGACGCTTATCCGGATCGAGCCGAGGCTCTGAGCCGATCAACTGCTGAAATTAGTAGGAAATAATGTATACATAAAGGAATTGAACAGTGGAGCAGTACGCTTGACACTGCATTCTTGCACTCTGCCGCTAATATAACCCCAGAACCTCCTGCTCCTTGGATACTACACACCAACAAATATACACATGCAAGAATGAACGTCAGCTGTCATGTTCCATAGTGCTATTGATATAATGCCACTGAGCGAAAGCAAGAACATACCAGCTTTCGATACCGCTTTTCGCAACCTATGCCATTTGTGCCTACGCATATTGGAGGGAATCGTTATCCGGTACCTCGCCACATCTAAAACAGCTCCAAAGAATTTTCTGCGCTAGTGTGCTAGTCTCAGAGTGCGAATGCCGCCATGTCAAGAAATCAAACAACAACTGCCACTGTTGACACGCTGCTGATACTAATAGATTTTGCCAGCATGGTGTGTTTAATCCAGAAAAGTAAAGTAGACAGGCAAACGGATGAGGCAGCGGCCAGCGTCTGTAGTAGACATGGCAGCTGCATTGTCAGTCAACCCAGACAGAGAAGCAGATCTCATTCCTGCTCCCAAGGAACTCAGCCTAATCACCCATTTTACACTCTCTGTCCACGTTTCTATAATAAATTAGCTCGATTATTGCGCAGTTCGGATCTTTATTTCAGCTGCTCTCGCTTTATGCTTAATAATGGAATTCTCAGGCACTTTGGCTGCGTTGCGTGAGGATCTTGCAGCATGCTGTCAGAAGCAGCCAGGCGAGGTACCGTGGCCGTGGATCGCAACGAAAGTAGCATCGCTGCTGACAGCACATGGAAATATGACGCGGACGGTTCTGTTAACTGAACTTGAAGCGTCATGGCACTCGCTAATAGCCAAGGAATCTGCGGATGGTGAGATATTCCGGACAGTTGATCCATTCCTAGGATGCTCTATTCCGCCACCGCTATCAACTCGTTTCCACCTGAAGGTTTTGCAGACACACAAGCTTCCAGGGACAGATATCTGGCTATGGAGCGTCTGCGGTGGACCGAGCTCAGGCAGTGAGCGGCGGTTGCGCACGGCAGACAAGCACATGGATATGTTTGTCCACGAGCGACACTGCCCGATGATTGACTCCAAGGAGTTTGCTGGGTTTTTTGACCAGCGGTGCATCTACGCAACAAACCTCAAGGCAGCAGATCGCGGGTGCGGGTCAGGCAGACCATTGCTAACACTTTTGCCTGACTGTGCACTTGTATTTGAGGTCAAAGTCGGGCCATCCAACAGTGCGCTGCAGGACACCACGCCTACTGACGAGCTCTTCTTGCGAGACATATTTGGCGTTGCTTTTAGCCGAGAAAGGTTCGTATATGCACGGGACCCAATATTCGATGCGAACCAGGTGTGGGGGAAGATTGAGCGCATTGAGCGTACCAGAGAGGAATTCGAAGACGGCCGGCCAGTCTCGTATGCCACCGTCAGCTGTCTGATCGAGCATGTGGAAGCACCATACCTGGTATCCATCCGATTTTACGATGCGGATATACCGCTGGTGCGGCTTTTCCATGATGATGACTACATTGGCTTGCTCTGCGCCGAGCAGGCCTCAGATACGGAGTTTGTCTATGGACTGCAGACAATTGCCTTCATCATGCGCGGCACACGCGCCTCATACAACGAGACATCACAAACAAGCGTTGCGTACAATGACCTCGGGTTCTTTGACTATCGGCGATACGCGCACCAGATCTCGATTGGCCAACTTGTGCCCGAGATCATCAACCTGACGATGATGGCGCGAGTCGTCGCAGTCTCTGAAAATTATCCGACCCAGGTAGAGAACGGCTCAACTTTGGACCGCTATGTTCTGCGCATCGGCGATGGAACAGGAGTATGCGATGCCACAGTTTGGGGTGAGCTTGGAAGAACCGCTGCCCGAACTATGCCTGGCCAACTGGTGGTGCTGCACAACTTTGAGACCCACGAGGACGAGAGCCCGAATCCACTCAACGACAGCAGAGTCATTATCAATGGGAGCCTTGCAATCCATGCACAGATATTCAATATCTCGCAGATGCCTGGAATGCTAAGCTGCTCTGAGCTGCGGGGATATTCGTTCCTGGCTGACATTGCAGGTGAGGCCAATTGCTACGTGCGTGCAGCGGTGACTGGGATACATAGTGCTGGTGATTTTGTCAAGGACTCGCGGGACCAAGTAGGGATAACAAGGTTTGCCCACAAAAAGTGCAGGCGAGCTGTTGTTCCCTCTGCACGTCTAGACGGCACTGTGCTGGAATCACTCAAGAGCGACTACGAGTTTAGCTGCCAGCGCTGCAAAATCAAAGAGGTCCCAGACATTGATGTTGTGTGGGAGTTTGCGCTTACAGCAGAAATCGATGACGGGACTGACTGTTGTACTGCAGATGTCTCGCCGGAAGCTGCAGCAACAATCCTGGGGATATCACCATCGCAGTTCCTGTCACTGTCCGCCGAGCACAAACAGCACCAACAACTGAAGAGTCCCTTAGGGCTGGAGTTTGTCATTTCGCTGACATCGTTTATCGACGGCGGTGGTGATAGTGGCCCTTTGTTGCGCATTGAAGCAGCATGTCCGATAGATAGGGTAGGGATGTCTGGGATACATGTGTGATATGGTTTGTGGTTTCTAAGCGAATCGTCCTTTTACGGATATCCACCAGAGGGATTGCCACTTTTCACCTTGATCTGCATTACGGCTGACAAATACAAGCTCGACATACGTGGCATTTATGGGTATGATTAGCACTCTTTCACATTGTGCATGTGAGGGGAGAGTGGTTTTTTACAGCCTCCTCTTATAGCTGTCCAATTTGTAAGCATGACAGCAGGAGCCCCTTTGGCCTTTCCTTTACATCATTTTTGATAGAGCTAACCTCTTGATACAAACTATCCATGCTTACAAACATCTTCATGCTGTAAACATTACTGTCTCTTGCAAGCTGCATTGTGCAAAAAATAGTCCGAACTCCGCAGAATGCCAACCAACGCCACCTGGTGACAACCATCCAAAAACATATAAATTGCAACACATACCAATCTAGCACCTTCACTTTCACTACTTGCCATAATATACTTTTCGTTGACAACCCACACTCAAACACCCACAAAGCAACCATGTCTACCTATGTTCTTCGTTACTTCCCTCTCAAGGCTCGCGCCGAGACCTGCCGTGCCCTGCTGAGCTACAACGATTCTGAGTACAGCGATGAGGCCCCTGTCTGGCCCCAGGATAAAGTCAACCAGCCGGTTGGCCAGCTCCCCGTCCTGATCGAGACTGATGAGTCTGGAAACGTTTTTGAGCTTAGCGAGTCTCTGGCAATTGAGCACTACCTGGCAGCCAAGCACGGCTTGCTTGTCAACGGCACCCCTCAAGACAGTGCCCGCCAAGATGAGCTACGCCATCAGCTTGTTGATATTTTCAACTATGCCCCAAGACACCGCTTTACTGTTGAGGAGGCTCGCCCGTCTATCAAGGAACGGTTTGAGACCCAGGTCCAGTTCTTCATCAAATACCACGAGAACCATCTCAAGAACAACGGCTCCAACGGCCACTATTTTGGCAACGAAATCACATACATGGATGTAGCTCTCGTTGCAACCTTGCGCTCGATTAACGACTTTGGAAACCAGTGCCTGTCAGGCATGTCGGACTTTTTCACTCCGGAAAAGGCACCCCTGATCAACAAGGTTGTTGAGGTTGTCAGTGCTGACCCGAAGATGGCAAAGTACCTTAGCAAGTAAAATCTTTCTTGGATAGCCATTGCCTATAATAATAACCGTCGAACCATCTGATTGGTGATATGGAGAAGTAAGACGACACATATCCATTGCCTCTGGAGACGTGGACAAATAGCAAAAGAGAGCTGGGACAAAAAGACACCGCTCTCGGATAGGCTCGAACTATCAACCTCCTGATTAACAGTCAGACGCGCTAACCAGTTGCGCCACGAAAGCAGATACAGCACCAACACCGTTTTCTGCCAGCATCCAAAAATAATGTATATATTATAATTCTGTGACCTTGTGTCAGGCATTCCATGGACCAGCGGCAAATCCATGGGCACATCATGGTGATCATCCACTGATGTGAGAGATCGTCGAAGCTGCCCTTTTGCGATATTTCCGCATACCAAGATCGAGGTAGGCGCCGATAAAAATAGGAGTAAGGACCGGTGTCCCAGAAAGCTGAGCTTTAGTCCTTATGGCCAATAATTAATCGGGATCCGTGTCAGATCATTGTATGTTCGACCATGATGGATGTCTCCGCAGGATCCACATAAAAGTACAACAATATGACAGTAGCTCTTGGATTCGATAGTATTTTTCAGTAGGTTTTTCGTGTATCTAAATTGTTCACCATCGACGGAATGGAGCAGATTTAGTGCAAACCAAAGAATACTCAACTCGTATATGTGCACTCGGCACTCGTCAAAACAAGCAGCCCCCCGTATTTCTTCATACTCCTCTACACTCTCTGTGTGTGTCGACTACTTCATCAAACCCCTATTTTATTCCCGTAAGCAAGCATTATTAAAGATGGCAATGGCTGATGCCACTCCCACGATGATAGCCGGGCCTGTCGAGGCAGGCCATGGCAGAACAATTCAAAAATAATGTATATATGTCTACATGCTATTCATATAGGCAGTAGAACCCACCAAATAGCTGCGCAAAACAGTAGGTCACAAATCAACATAACCAAGCTGAAGATACAAAGGCTCAGATACAAAATTGAGCGAAAAAGAAATGTCGACCACGCCAGGACTCGAACCTGGAATCGCTTGATCCGTAGTCAAGCGCCTTATCCATTGGGCCACGCGGCCACCGACATACTCGGATTCTGATTTCCCGAAATTACGAATATATATAAATTAGATGTTTTGGTGTACATGGCGAAGCATACTATGCCTATTCTATTCATACTTTCCACTGTATCCCACGTACATCTTCAACATGATATTCAGCTGTTTGAGTCACTGCAAAAGTTATTGAGGAATTTTTGTCACTGATTGGCATTGCATTCTTATGGCTAAGGATCTAGTCATTTATACGCAGCATCTCGAGCAGTCTGGCGGCTTCCAAGTATGCTAGGTAATCGTCATCCTCGGAGTCGTAGTATTCATCAGACTCATAGTAGTCATCATAGTCGTCGTCATCGTCATCGTCATCCCACTCGTACTCTTCATAGTATTCCTCCACTGCCTCATTTGCCAGGTCGTTTGCCGCTCCCGAGCACAGGTTTCCACTCTCGACTGAGTCATGCTCAACAGATATACGCAGTTTGGAGTTGCGGAATTCGTGGACAAGCCGCTGGATCAGATCACGATTCTGCACATCATACCCACGGCTCGTTGTCCACCCGTTCTGCACCCATTTGTCGTACCCTTCGAACAAGCAGTGTAAAACATATTTCGACTTAGTATAGACTACCACCTGGTAATCGATATTCGTGTCGTACCGACGGATCCCAGAATGCACAATCTGCAGAGCCCGCAGAACGCCTGTCAAATCGGCACGCAAGTTTGTCTGTCGGCCATCCGCCAGTACTTCGGACAGGTTGTTTGGGTCGTTGCAGCCGAAATATACACCCACTCCGCCCACTGCGCCCGGCTGTCCGTTGCCCTTGCAGATGCCGTCAGTGTAGACGTGGAGGATTTGTGAGGGTCCACGCCCGCGTGATACATACCAGCGGTACCGGTTGAAGAAGCGCTTTGAGCCCAAGTCAATGTAGTCTTCGGCGTCCTCCAGCGAGTAGAAGACACGCATGTCGTTGTTAGAATAACCGTCAGTTTGATACCGTGCTGATTCGTAGTCCTCATAAACGCCAACGGTATAGCCAGCGGCCACCGCGTAATACCTGTCGTCCATTGTAAAAAAAAAACTGTGAGGTAGCGAGGGATGAAGAGGAGCAACGGTGACACAGGACAGGGTGGGAAGCGAAGCCGGTGAAGGCGAGGATGGGTTTTAGAAAGTGATCAGCGGCTGTGGCTTGCAGCTCTGATCCAAACCTAGTTGTTTCTGGACCCAATTCTTAATTAAGAGAATCATAGAGAACTAAATTTAACCCTAGGCAATTCGCCTCCGCGCTGGTGGCCTTAGCTGCCATTATTGCACATAACTAGAGCATCCTGTTGTATATAGCCCTTCCTACCCATGCTTACGGATCTAGAGCAGGAGATATAAACCTTGATAGGGTGTAGCATGAACTTAGCCTTCAGCCAGGTGATTGACTGGCGGCTAGTGTGTCAAGCGAGGTGAAGCAGCAATACGGGTCTGAGCAGAGCATCGACTGGACAACAGTTGCTGAAAGTGTTCTAAAGAAGCATACACACTATGGGGAGTGGCTAAGCCGAGTAGACCAAGTCGAACCTGGTATCTAGATACCCGAAGGTGGAGCAACAGGTAAAAAAATCACGCTTGAACCTGATATTCCAACATCATTGGTTCATATGGCTGTAAACTAACTAAAACCGGCTAGTTTTGTAAAGCAGTGGATGGGACAAGCAGACTTGACAGTTGGTCGCCTATGCCAAACCAACAGAGAGCAAAAGGACTCGGTGTATTCAGCCTTAGATTTGGGTACAAAAAGTCCAGCCCAGTGCAATACAAGGTGGGACCACATGAATAAGCCCATTTTGTACATTTATACCAACAATTATTTTGAAGTCATTTAAACATATTAATGCTACCATATGGTGGCTGTGTAGTCATTAGCCGCATATGTAACTTATACTGGCGATGCTACTATGATATGAAACATAATGCACGCATCCGCATTTTGGTCTATCATCTTTGATTCAATGAAGTTTACCACTGGGTATTTTGTTCGGATTTCATGTATCATGGTTCAGAGTGGTGCGAATCAGAGCGATCGGTGAATGTAGGCTGGATCTGTATCTTACATCAAGAAGCCTCGTTCACAGCTCATGATTTACAGCCATGTTTCAACACACCTTAGAAATTTGAATGTATATACAGAACGGTGTTCGTCTATGTAAGAACCAGCTGAGAGCAACGGCCAAGGTTCGAATCAAACGGCGCACTCTAGCCTTGTTCTTGGGCTCGACACGTCTCCCGCACCCCCAGCTGAGGCAGCCCTATCAGACCAAGGAGCTCAATAGTCAAAGCAAGCAAAGCTCAGAAACATCGCTACGAGTATGAACAACGACAATATGCGCGTCTGCGAGATGTGTCATAAGACTGAGGAGCAGTGCATGTGAAGGTACAAGAGAAGCTGTGGTGTACAGACGCTGTATGACATGGTACACAAGAGCCGTGTGTGAGATGTGAATAGATCTCAGTCCTACATCTTTATCTTTACTTCTTTATCTTTATCTTTTATCTTTATCTTTACCTTTATATAAGATTTTATAGTCCAAAAAGTGTCCGACCGTCCGCTAGAAATTATTTAATTGGTTAAAAAAAAACAAATTTTTATAGTTTAATAATGGGTGTATATGCACGTGTTTTGTTAAATATGCATGTGTGACCTGTTAAACAATCATACAATACCTTACTATACCTGTCAAGTGTCATGACAACAACAAGAGCAACAACAACAACAACAACGACAAGAAAACCTGGTATATATATATAAACTTTCTTTTTGTAAACGCTCATACTCTCTCTCTCTACATATTTTTGTGGTTTACTGTGACTTTGTTTTACTGAGATATATACTTATATATATACTCCTCATTTATTCCTTCATTTAAAAGCAATAGCGATGGTATTCTATTCTAATAGTACGAATAATGCCTCGGTTTCTTATCGTCGTCGGATTGCTGATCGTACACGACGCCAATGTCAGAGGGCTTTGAGTGCTCAAGGGGACCGCTCCCATGAACTTGAACAGGAAAGATTACGAAGTCGGAGACGACGGGCAATGCAGAGCAACGAGAGCCGCAATGCTGCTAACAGACAGCGTTCTTCTCAGCGACAGGCTCAGCGTGCTTCTCAACGACAGATTCAGCGTACTGCATCAGGTGCACATCTGCCGCTTGCATTGCAGGTATCTGGTGCACACACGTTACCTCTCCGACTTGGAAGAATGGATGTGCAGTGCACCAGTTGTAGTGCCTTGCTATGGACTGCCGAACGAATCCAGCAGTCCTCTATGACATGTCCAATTTTTCAGATCTGCTGTGTACGTGGAGCTGTAGTGCTTCCAGCTCTGCAACCGCCACCAGGAGTACTACTTCGACTATTGACTGGCACTAACACTGAAGCGCGGCAATTCCAGCGAAATATCCGAATGTATAACTCGGTACTCTCCTTTACCTCAACAGGTGGAGTAGTTAATGGCGAAGTTAGCAGGCATCATGGTGGTAAGTACCAATATTCTATGTTTTATATTCTATATTCTATATTCTATGTTCTATGTTCTACGTTCTACGATTGTTTTATGAATAGCTATATAATTGTTGGAATCATCTCCTCTCATCTCAAATCATATTATATTATATCATAGGTGTCTCTAACTTTCGAGTTCGTGGTCAGATGTACCATAGAATTGGATCACTACTTCCAGTATATGGCAACGAGCAGCCGCAGTATGCACAGCTGTATATTTACGACACTGCCAATGAGCTTGCAAATCGAATGACTGCAATTCCTGGACTTGATGAGAATACTCTGTCTCTCCTCCAGCAGATGCTCCATTCAGTTAATCCGTATGCTGCTCGCTTCCGTCAGGTTGCTGAAATTGTCCAGCAGAATCCATCCCCTGAGCTATGCATAGCGATTACAGCAGGTCGCAATAACGATTCGCGTCGCTACAACTTACCCACAGCAGATGAAGTAGCTGCAATTGTACCCGATGGCCAATATACAAACAATGGCCGTGATATCATCCTACGGACAACTAATGGTACACTACAGCGGATTTCAGAGCTACATGTTGCCTATGCTGTACTGCACTATGTGCTTCTATTCCCACGTGGGGAGGATGGCTGGCATCCTGACATTCCTATTTCAGGTCATCGGCATACACGCCAAGACAGTATCCAAGCCCAGGATAACATCTCAGAGATTTTGGAGAATGGCGTTGGAGATGAAGCACTCTCTGAAACCCATCGCCAAAACCATGTAACTCAGATGGCCTTTTATGCCTACCGGCTTCAGTTTCGTGGTGAGGCAGCTCCAATCCTCCACCTAAGTAGGAGGTTATTCCAGCAGTATATTGTCGATGCATATTCCACTATTGAGAGCAACCGCCTACGATGGTATGCAAGAAACCAAGATAATATTCGTGCTGAAATGTACCAAGGTATGTATTAGTTTCAATCATATATAAAATATAGTAAGAAATGATGCTATTGTTGTTGTTGTTGTTGTTGTTGTTGTTGTTGTTGTTGTTGGTTAATGCACATTTAGTATGAATTATTATAATAGTAAGAAACTGCTGCTAACTTGAATCAAACATATTTATCTATATATAGGCCTTCAAGATGCTGTCCAGCTATCTGAAGCCGATATGGTTGGTGCTAACCTTGGTCGTAGAGTGATATTGCCATCCTCATATACTGCTGGTCCCCGCCATATGTATCAGCTCTATCAAGATGCAATGGCTATTGTGAGGATATTCGGTCCCCCTGACCTATTTATTACCTTCACCTGCAACCCCCGTTGGCAGGAGGTACAGGCCGAATTACTCCCTGGACAATCTGCTGCTGATCGCCCAGATCTAACAGTTCGTGTCTTCAATATCAAGCTGAAGGAACTGATTAAAGATCTAATGAAGAGGCATATTTTTGGTCAGGTCACTGGTCATATTTACACTGTTGAGTTTCAGAAGCGAGGGTTGCCCCATGCACATATTCTGCTTATTCTGGACAGCGAGTCAAAGCACCGAATTATCACAGAAATCGACCGAGTGGTATGTGCTGAGCTTCCTAATGAACAGCAGAATATGCAGCTCTTTAGAGTTATTGCCACCTCAATGATGCATGGGCCATGCGGGCCACTAAACCTACAGGCACCATGTGTAAGAGAAGGCAACTGCACAAAGCGCTACCCAAGATTCTTTTCAGAGGCCACACAAATCACCAATAATGGCTACCCAATTTATCGACGGCGTGAGGATGGGCAGTTTGCTTCTATAAGAGGAATGCAGCTTGATAACCGATGGGTTATACCTTATAACCCTTATCTAGCTGCAAAGTATGAGGCACATATTAATGTTGAGGTATGCTCCTCAATCACTGCTGTCAAATACCTTTTCAAATCTGTGTACAAGGGCCATGATCATGCAGCTCTCCATATAACAAGGGCAAGGACAACTGATACAACAAATACTGCAGTTGAGAATGAGATCCAGAGCTATGTTGATGGCCGCTATATCTCTACTTCTGAGGCAATCTGGCGAATTTTTGCATTCCGCCTACATGAGGAGAAGCCCGATATTCAATGACTTCAAGTCCATTTACCAGGGGAGCAAATGGTTCTCTTTCATGATGGTGAGCTTATTTCTGAAGTTGTTAACCAGCAGCACCTTGCACATACTACACTCACATAGTGGTTTGCTTATAATGCTGCCCACCCAGAGGCCCGTGCATATACATATGCTGAATACCCACAGCATTTTGTCTGGAATCACCAACAGCATGTCTGGAAGCCAAGGCAGAGAGGCAATACAATTGGGCGTATCTACTTTGTTTCTCCTAGAGCTGGAGAACGATTCTACCTCCGAATGCTACTCAATGTAGTTCATGGTGCAATATCATTTGAAAATCTCAGGACTATCAATGGTGTTGTTTATCGAACATTTAGAGAAGCCTGTATAGCACTTAGCCTGCTTGAAGATAACCGCGAATGGGCTAGGTGCTTAGATGAAGCTGCACAAGTCCAGATTGGTCACCAACTCCGATATTTATTTGCCACTATTCTTGCTCAAGAAAACCCAGTAAACCCATATGCACTATGGATACAGCACCAGACAAGCCTAATTGATGATCTATTATATAGAGCCCTCATGCATACAGCTAATCTGGAAGCCGCTGAGCAATCTGCTATTAACAGTGCCCTTAGGGAGATTAACTCTATTCTTCTCCACTCTGGGCGCTCACTTAGTGACTATCCTGGCATGCCAGTTCCAATACCAGAACATGCAAATGGTGATAGTACTGAAAACTATTTAATTAGTGAGCAGCTATCATTTAATCAATCTGAGCTTGCTGATTGCACTGAACAGATGCTTCGTATAGCTAATACTGAGCAGTTAGCAGCCTATAATACCATTATGTCTGCTGTAGAAGGGTTAGCTAATACTACAGCAACATTTTTCTTCCTTGATGGCCCTGGAGGAAGTGGCAAAACATTCCTGTATAAGCTTCTCCTTGCTCATATTCGGAGCCAAGGCCATATTGCCTTAGCAACTGCCTCCTCTGGCATTGCTGCTATGCTTCTCTCTGGCGGTCGAACTGCTCACTCTACATTTAAGATACCTCTAATTGTAGATAGTACTTCAACATGCAATATCTCCCTTGGCACTAACTTGGCATCATTGCTCCAGGCCACAAGGCTGATTATTTGGGATGAGGCACCAATGATGCATCGTCATACATTTGAGGCCCTTGATCGCATACTGCGGGATATAATGTGCTCTGCTGATCCAGCCCTTAAGCATCAGCCTTTTGGAGGTAAGGTAGTAGTAGCTGGTGGCGATTTCCGCCAAATTCTCCCTGTCATTCCAAAGGGAAATAGAGCTCAAACTGTTGATGCAGCTCTTTGCCGATCTCCATTATGGAGTCAACCACAAATTCTACACCTTACTACCAATATGCGACTCCAACTTAGGGCTGGTGCCCAGGATTATACAGCAATCCAATTTGCTGACTGGCTACTTCAAGTTGGGGAAGGAAGGTTACCCAGCGATGAATATGACCAAATTCAATTGCCTGTGGGTACTGTAATACCCTCAGATAATGTTGAGCTATTGATCAATGCAATTTATACTAATTTAGCATATCAATATAATCAAGCCAACTATATGGTCAATCGTAGCATCCTATCACCAACTAATGCCTCAGTGAATGATCTAAATAACAAGATCAGTGACCATCTACCAGGCACTATCATTAACTACTATAGTGCTGACTCAATTGCAGATACTGATGGTGCAACTACAGAGACCCAGCAGTTGTTCCCAGTTGAATTTCTTAATTCACTAGATGTTGGTGGAACCCTACCACCTCATCACCTCCGCCTCAAAGTAGGGGCACCAATCATACTCCTACGTAACCTGGATTCAGCCCATGGTCTATGTAATGGCACACGACTTATATGCCATAGATTACAGCCCCATGTGATTGATGCTGAAATTATAACTGGTGCTGCTTATGGTACCAGGGTATTTATACTCCGAATGATATTAACAACTAAGCACCAGCAATTACCATTTGTTCTACGCCGATGCCAGTTCCCAATCCACCTTGCCTTCTCAATGACTATAAATAAGGCCCAAGGTCAAACAATGGAACGAGTTGGGCTTTATCTTCCATCACCTATCTTTACTTATGGCCAACTCTACGTGGCACTTTCTCGCATACAATCATTTAGTAATCTCAAGATAATGTTAGGGTCAGCTACACATTATCCTGATAGTGAACCTAAGACTAAAAACATAGTCTATAAGGAGATATTTTCTTAGTTTAATTTTAGCTTTATATATAAATATATTTTTTATTAGCTAATACTAATTTCTACCATATACTATTATTAGTATTAAAATTATTAAATGTTTTATATTAAAACCTATTATATTCAAAAACATATTTGTATTTATGTATTCAGCCCGCTGCAGGCGCTAGCAGTCTCCACCGAAATGTGTGACAAACAGCGTTTGGCACACATAGAGGTGCGCTTGCATCGCAAGCATGAGACTGCTAGTACTTATATATAAGATTTTATAGTCCAAAAAAGTGTCCGACCGTCTGCTAGAAATTATTTAATTGGTTAAAAAAACTCTTAAGCTTCAACATGGGTTTGAGTGACTTGCTCTGTAAACTCCCTTTGGTTTTGTGCGGCATCTGACCTCACCGGTGAAACCAGGGTGACAAGTTGTTGTTGTAGTGGTCACAGGTCTCCGCTGGATATCTCCATTGGTTCAGCGCAAGAGCTGCTCTCATTGTCAGTCAGCCTGATAATTTCCATGGCATCATCATAGTGGTCATCACTGGCTGCGCAACACTCTTAGGATATTTATTTATGAGCACCTATTGAGTAAGGCCATATAGCTCTTCTAGCGGTCATGCAATATTTGTGGGTTTATTTTATAAATCAATTTGTCTTATGAACATGCGTAAGCGGTAGTATTTGGGTCACAACGGACCCAGTCTGTATAGACTTATCCAAGAGATTGTATCAGTGCTAAGGGCCCCAAGAACCATGCAAGCCAGAAAATCTTTAATAAAAAGTTCTTAATGCTATGCATACGCAATACAGCAAAACTGAACAGCATCATTTCTCTTCTTACTTGCCTATTGAATTTCTCAAATGAATATTACTCGCAGCACTACTGTCATAAAGACATCACTTGGTGGTATTGGCTTCCGTGATTCTATGTTGCCCCGCCTAGAGCAATTTGTACACAGCGTCAATATCATCAAAGAGCATACATACATGCTTGCACGATGGATATTACTCCATCAACTAGCTTATGATGATGCTTTTGACCCTGCAACATTTGTAAAAAAGGGGTTTTTTCGTTCCATTTATTTATTTATTTATCACAACCTGAAGGCGAAGATGGCCATGTCTGCCAAGGATTTCGTTAACCGGAAGGACAGGTCAGAACTGTCGAGCGCAGATTTCGGTGATGTAATTAGATATCATATTTATGATTATCTATTAAATAATGGCGATATCGAGCTACATGGCGTACGTGAAATGAATCAGGTAGCGACATACGTGGATACCGAGCTGATGACAGCATACAAGAACAACATTGTGTTGCACTATGGCACTTGCCTACAGCGGATTCTGGCCAAATTGATTGATGTTCGCAGCCGCAAAAACACGCTGCACAGTACAATGGGCAATGTGTCCAAGGCTGAGTTCAATAATGCATGCCAAGTGTGTATTTATACACCTGCACAGAAGCTCCGCCAGGCAGTTGCCTCTAGGCACCCTGATCTCAGTGTGCTCACCCCACCGATGCTTGCAATCTACAACAAGCTGGCACCAGTCCTTAATGCCTATGATGCCAAGTACAGATTCGCCAAAGACAGCCGATACTATGATGCCAAGGTAAATCCACTTAAGCATCTGCGTGCATACATTCGCCTATGCCAGCTTATCGAGAATGAGCAGCTTGGCAAGTCTCCCCCTCAATGCTTGCCTCTGCGGACATCATGGATCCCAGGCCATGTGCGCTTAGACAACCAAATATTCAAGCAGGTGTTTATTTCGAAAACCCGTGAGCAGGTTACCAAGATCAACGCAGCAAAGAGGGCAGCAACAGAGGCAAGGAAAGCAGCAGAAAAGGGCGAAAAATTGGCCAAGAAGGCTGCACGCGAAGCAGCGAAGATGCCATCAGATGAAACAGAGGCCACTGCAGCAACTGCAGCAGTAGCGGCTGATTCGCTTGCTGCTGCATCGGCGGCAGCAGCAGACACTGTTGCAGCACTTAACAATGCATATGCACCAGCACCCCCAGTCTGTGCACACGACCCGGTCCAAGGGATTGCACAATCTGTGTGGGATGTATGGGGCCGGGTCGCAGATCTAACATCAAAGCCATTTAAGGCGCATGGTGATAGAAAATTCCACGGAATGGCGACAACAGATGGTGTAACGATATGCATTTTGTTACAAGACAAGGTATCCTAAGGCTGGTGCTGCAGGAGGCAATGCTGCAGGAGGCAATGCTACAGGCAATGCTACAGGCGATGCTACAGGAGGCGATGCTACAGGCGATGCTGTGGGAGGCGATGCTACAGGCGATGTTGCAGGAGGTAGTGCTGTGGGAGGCAATACTATAGCTGACTGTCGCTATATCCACCAGATCCCACAGCCAGAGCTGCAGAATCTGAAAGGCCGCTGTGTATTCATCGATCCAGGTCGGGGCGATTTGCTATACATGATGCACGAAAATAGCAGCAATGGGAAAGAGGGTGAGAGAATGCTCTACCGCTACACACGGCAGCAGCGCAATAAGGAGCTCAAGCTGCGCCACTATGACAGGATTCGTCAGGCTACAAAGGATCAAGTCCCAGAAGATGCTGTCCGCAGAGCAGAGGCAGAGCTTTCCAAGCACTGCTGCCGGACCCTTAGCCCAGCAAAATTCCGTGCCTACGTTGCTGCCCGTGCATCTGTGCGGTGTTTCCTAGCACCGTTTTATGCCAACACGATGACAGCGCGAAGGCTACTAGAGCAGCAGCCCACTAAGTCAAACAAGCAGCATCAGAGGCGCTGGAAGGCCCATCCGGGTGTCGGGACCAGTCCCAAGGTGTACCCGCTTCACCGCAAGCTGCGCCTTGATTCATTCATGAACCAGGCCCGTGCAGACCACAGGCTTGCCGCGAAACTCCGGAGCAAGTTCGGTCCAGATCCAGTGCTGATCATGGGCAATTGGAGTGCGCCGATGGCCCGACACCATGCGCCGATTCGTGGCAAGGGATGGCGCGACAAGTTCAAGCACCATGGCTTTGAAGTCTATCTGATCGACGAATTCCGGACATCGTCGGTGTGCCCGTTCTGCTGCGAAAAGTCACTGCAGACATTCCGGCATGTTCCCAATCCGCGGCCCTACCAGAGATCGAAGAACCCAACTGTGAAGTGCCATGGCCTTCTCCGCTGTACAAGCGAGTCATGTAAGCGGGCCATGGCACAATACAGGCGAGCCTATTCGTCTCGGCTCTTGAACCGCGATCTCGCAGCAGTTCTAAACTTCAGACTCATTTTCCAGTCACTCTGTGATTCAGGCAGTATTCCTGAACGGTTCTGTCGTTCTACGGCCATTGCTGCCGGTACTTCTGGCACCACCCCTGCAACAAAGAACCCGCACAAGAGGCGTGGACCAGCTGCAGGTGATTCTGCTGCCAGCAGCAGCGAACCAGCCCTGAAACGTCTGCGCTGAGCAGGCAATCAAGGTGGGAGATGTCCATGATCGCCATTGCACCAACAACCATCCGACACGTTCAAATGACCGGTTCGCCGTGATGCCCTTATCGACGTGTCAACCCATGCTGACTAGCAGCCGAGCTCGCATCGCGAGCAGATATTTCTAGTAAAGCGGGATTGCCGAAACCCCTGATTCCACAAACAAAAAACACGAGGTTGATTTTTTTTTTCTGGAACCCGCAAGCGTCGTACCCAAAACCGTGCCGGTTCCACAGCCATTAATGCCATTTTTTTTTTTTGCATTCCGACCGCAGCCCCTCAGCATCAATTAAAAAAAAAAGCACCTGTAAAAAATACTATCTTCCATGGCAACCTACAAGACGCTCGCGGCCTCGCTCGACTGGCCCACAGGCCAGCCGCCCTCCCAGACCACAACGCTGATATGCAGCTCGCTCTCAGCGCCCGGCGACATCCTGCTCCCGCATTTCCTCAGCAGCGACCATGCGGTCCTTTTGTCGTTCACGCAGACCAGCAACCACTACATGCACATTCTGCGCAAAATGGGCGTGCACCGGCCGAAGATCCACTTTGTCAATGCACTGACGGACTTTAGCTTGGACGCCTTGCCCTCGGCCACCCGGCCAAAGCTCACTGTGAATGGCGACTGGTCCGCGGTTCTACCAGTGGCTGGCCGGGCAGCCCGAAAACACCACGTTGGTAGTCGACGGGCTGTGCTCGCTGATGGATCAGGGGATGAGCGCTGTGCAGGCGGTGGGTGTTTTTGATACGTGTCGGAGGATCACAGAGCTGCTGGGCGGCAGGCTGGTGGTCAGTGTGTTTCTGGACGAGTTCACGGAGAAGCTGGTCAGGGCCCTGGCGAGACGGTCGCATTATGTGTTCAATTTCGAGGGCCTGGCATCGGGCGCGTCGTCGGATGTATCGGGCCAGCTGACTGCGGTCCCAGGCCATCCTAAACTGCCAGACCGCCAAGACATTCAAGCCAGTCCATCTGCACTACAAGGTGGCTGACACAGCCGTCCAGTTTTTCTCGCCGGGCCAGTCCCGGACGGTCCTGTGAGTAGAGGATAGAATAGAGTTTATTGTTTGGTGGATGGGTTTTTTTATCTACAAATTACAGCTTGAAAAGAAAGGGAGGAGAGAGAAGGAAAATGGAAAAGCATAGTGAGTGGTAGGTGGCTCAGCACGACACAGCTGCCTGGGCATCGGCGGCAGCGATAGCAGCGGTCTTGTGGGCCATGTGGATGGACGACTCGAGGGCAGTCTGCGACAAAACCAGCTCGGCAACCAGGCCGGCAAGGGCGAGGGCGGCGCAGCGCGTAGCCTCGCTGGCGACAAAGGCGTCGGACTCATCGCGCATGCTGAGCAGAGCATCGACAGCACGCTTGCGCTGGGCCTCACGCAGCACGGTGTCGTTCTGGGCGTGGTCGACAAAGGCAGTGTTGACGGCAATGAAGCCCGATCCGCTGCTCTTTGCGGCCCAGTTGCCGGCAGCCTTGGATTGGCCCACGTCCTTGCGCGGGTTGAAGCGCACGACTGGCGATGCAGCCGGAGTGGGCTTGGGCACTGGCACAGGCGACTGGGCGGCCACAGTGGGGACCGGAGCAGGGGAACTGGCGGCCACAGTCAGGGCACTGAGTTTCAAGCGCAGCTTGGCGACCTCCTCGCGCAGCTGGGAGTTCTCGGCCTTGGACGTGGTCAGCTCCTTGCGGAGCCCGTCGGCCTCTTCGCGGTGCTGGCGAACCTCGGCCTCGAGATTCGAGATATACTCTACGGCACAAAGAAACAAAATAGAGGCACTATTAGTATGACACAATGCGGGTTGCTGGAGGTGTTGGCCTGCGCCACACTGACAGGAAGCTTTTCTTTGCAACACTTACCCTTGCGACGGACGCGGAAGTTTCTTGCCGAAATCTTGTTTCTCAGCTGGCGGCGCTCCTTGGATGACATGTTCTTCAAGTCGACGCCTTCTAATTCCGCCTCGTGCTCCTCGCTCATTGCCCGGTCGCCGCCACTGGGAGCCGATGGCGCCGCCGCTGCCGGGGACTTCTGTTGCTGCTGCTGCTTCGGGGGCTGCGCCTTGGAGACAGTAGCGCGACGCACCTGGCTCTGATTCGCCGGCTGCTGCGGTGTAGTCGAGCTGGCGCTCTTCTTGCCCGCCGTTGACAGCGCCTGCTGCTGGATGGTGGTGGTCTTGGGCTTGGGCAGCGCAGCGACCTTCTTTGGAGCAACCGCCGTCGGCTCATCAACAGCCATCGGCTCGGCTTCCGCAACGGCAGCTGCGGCCTGCTGGAGGTGGGGGGCAAGTGCAGGATAAAAGTGCTGCGGTCAGCAGCGGGTTGGTGTCTGCTGTCTCGGTAGAGGCAACGGACTGCATGTACACGTCGTCGTACGCAGGGGTAGACAGAGAGTTTGGGTCGATGGTGGCAGCAGCTGCGCTGTTGGTGGTGGTGGCGGTGGTCGAGTTGAGCAGCAGCTGCAGCAGGAGCTCGTTGTCCAGGCCGCTCAGGTCGCTGGCAGAGGGCTCCTCCGACTGGGCAGTGGACGAGTCAACCAGGCTCTGGTTAATATATGCGTTGAAAGAGTCGGTGTCCATGGTTTAAATAGAAGAAAAATAGGTGAAGTATAAAAGGCGGGTGCGGTAGAGAGGAGAAAGAGCGAAAGCTGATTTCAAGAAAAATAATCGGCATAAATGCCAGCTTTTCTTGGCTTTTTGTGAGCATTCTTTTCCACCTGCCTTTTCGGAGTAGGTGCCGCAGAATTGCGAATATTTTTCCAGCTCCTCCCCAGACAGCCAGCAATAGAATTTTGGCACCACAGTGATTGGCACTAGTAGAGACGCCGCCCCACAGCTAGGAGCACTATTAATTAGTAATCCGCCTTCGCGACACATTTTTGCTGCGGGCGGACGCCCTTGGGCAAGCGAGTAAACAGACCTCTGGCCCCCCCACCAAATCAGGGTGCTGTTGGCAGAAAAAAAAGTGCGGGTGGTGCGCTTGATGCTCATTTTCTTGGTGTGGAATCTGGTAGAACCCCATTTCCTGTTTTCTTTCTTAGACAAAGCAGTCCTGTTGTTGTTTTTCCAGAGGTTGGAGCGGGCTCCAGCGTGACCAGCAATTATGTCCATCATGCTCACGAGGGCTGTCTCGGCACAGGTGTTTTTAGTTTTGGTGCCGCGCATCCGGCTGCAGAACTTGAGCCGATCGCTGCGCTCTTTGAAGGGAGCGGAAAATCGGCAGCACGCCCCTTGCAAAAGCGGTCGTGGATCACATACTCGGGCGCGATTCAGATCAGGCCAAGACAGGGATCAAATTATCTCGAGAGGCTTGTGCCGCTGTGAGGACGGGTCCTGGGAGCACACGCTCAAGGCCACATTTCTGCTCTCCACAACAATTATTTTTTATTTTTCACCTCTAGACACACTCCGCACCAGCGGTATAAAGCACAACAATGGCTGAAAGGCGTTTTGTCGAGGTACCGATTCACAACACGAATGACGTTGTCGAAATCGAATGCACAAATCTGGATACATCTGGGTCAGAAATGTGCTCCATACTAGACACAGAGAAAGCCGCAATGCCGTTTTACTCCCGGTTTGCGCTCGAGTACTATAAGCAGGGGAAGACCGAGGACGCAATTACGGTACTAAAAGGCGGGCTGGCCAAAGCACGCGCCAATGACCTGACGTCGAAGGTGCCGCTGCTGAACCTTCTGGCAGGCATCAGCGTGCAAAAGGCGAAGGTGGCGACGGTCAGCGGGACGGCAACCGAGCGCGACATTCAGCTGCAGATGGCGGCGACGTTGCTGACGGAGTCGGAGAAGATCAGCCGGGAGGATCCGCGGACGTTCTTTGGTCAAAGGGCTGCTGGCGATGGTGAGGCGCAGCCCGGACCAGGCGCTGCAGCAGTTCAATCTAGCGCTGCGACTGAACCCGACATGCGTGGCATCTTTGCTGGGCAAGGCCCGGGTGCTGTTCAGCAAGCGGCAGTTCCAGACGGCGCTGGGAATCTACCAGCGCGTGCTGACACTGCGGCCAAACGACAAGCCGGACCCGCGCATCGGCATTGCGCTGTGTCTGATGAAGCTCGGACACGCAAAGGACGCGCGGCGGGCGCTGGAGCGCGCGATCGAGGTCGATGAGCAGGCGGTAGCACCGTATGTTCTGCTGGCGACCATGGATCTGAATGCGGCCAAGCGGCTGATGGACCCGCGGCTCAACGCACAGCTCGACGCAGGGAAATTGGAGGAGGCGCTGGCGGAGGGCGGCTCGCTGCTGAACTCGGCCATGGCGCAGCTTGAAGCTGGCATACGAGCGGCAGCCGGCGAATGCGGCAGTGCTGACGCGACTCGCAGACCGGCTGTTCTACAGCAACGACTACGAGGGTGCGCGGCGGCTTGGCGAGCGGGCGCTGAAGACGGCCGATACGCTGGCGATCCAGGCCGAGGCCCATTTCCAGGTGGCTCGCGCGCACCACGCAATGCGGCGATTCGACCTGGCGTTTGATGCGTACCAGAAGAGCCTTCAGCACAACGAGCAGCACGCGCTGGCGCGGTTTGGGCTGGGGCAGATGCAGCTGCAGCGCACCAGACATGTCCAGCGCCGAGGCCACGTTCCAGCGCGTGCTGGAGAAGCACCCAAAATGCGTTGAGGTGCTGCGGGCGCTGGGCTACCTGCACGCACGGCTGCCCAACAACAAGGCCAAAGCCGTGGAGTACTACGAGAAGGAAATGCAGGCGGTGGCCGACGAGGCGGCCGAGCAGGCCAAGCGCCAAGGCAGCGATGGCGACGTAGCCGCGTGGTTCGACGACGCCAACCTGTTCCTGGAGGCCGGGCTACTATATGAGGCTACCAGTGCCCGCAAGGCCCGCAAGGCATACTCGATGGCCGCCGCCATCCTGCAGCGCCAGGGAACCGGGGACCAGCTGCCGGAGCTGTGGAGCAATCTGGGGGCGCTGCGGCAGCTGGCGGGTGACGATCGCGAGCTGATCTTCGCCGAGTACGACAATGCGGTGCAGAAATGCACGGCGCTGCTGGAGTCGGCTCGCGCCCGGCTTGGCGACAAGTCCGGCGGGCGGGCGGCCCATGACGTGCAGCGGCTCGAGGGTACGCTGACCACAGTGACATACAACACCGCGCGATTCTACGAGCACTGCGGGCTATGGGACCGTGCCGAGGCTCTGTACCAGCGCATTCTGCAGGCGACGCCCGCGTACCACGACGCGCGGCTGCGGCTGGCGCACATCGCGTACTACGCGCGTGCCAACAGCAGCGACGCGCTGGCGCTGCTGGCAGACGCGACGGCCAACGACGGCAAGCGGGCGCTGGTGTGGCTGCTGAAGGGCGGCATTGAGCTGCAGCGCAAGAACGTGCAGGACGCGCGTCGCGCCTACGAGCACGTGCTCAAGGACATTGCCAAGCACGACGTGTATGCGCTGTGTGCCCTGGGCAACTACCACCTGGCGGCCGGGCGCTCCGAGCACGCGCGCGCCTGCCAACGAGCCGCGCGACTCGCCCAAGCACAAGAAGCTGCGCGATGTGGCCGCCATGAGCTACAAGCGCGCGCTGGAGTTCTTCGACAAGTGCCTGCAGCTCGACCAGTCGTGTGCCATGGCTGCCCACGGCGCTGCCATTGCCATGGCTGAGCGTGGCGATCCGGCTCGCGCCCGCACCGTCTTCCAGGACGTCCGCGATGCCTGCCTCTGCTGGTCTTGGCTCGCCCGCCCTCACCTCGCCGAACGCTGATCTGGTCTTCAAGATCCCCGAGCCGAGCGCCACTGAGCTGCCGTTCGCGGATGTCCCGGTCTCCAGCGACGTTCTGCTGTGGGCCACTGTCAATGTCGCCCACGTGCATGTCGAGACTGGCAACTACCGCCAGGCCGTGCTTGCCTACGAGGCGTGCATTCGCCGGCTCAACGACACCTCCAAGGTCCTCGAGGACGCCGAGGACCATCGACGGCTCGCGGTTCATTGTCAAGGCCCTGGAGCCGGCCGATGCGCCTGCCCTGGCAAATACGCCTGAGCGTCTGACCAAGGCCGAGAGCCACGAGCGCCGCCGCGTCCAGCGCGACCTGCACCTGTATCTGGTCCGCGCCCTCTATGTCCAGGCCAAAGGCCACCAAGGACGTGGCCACCATGCGTACGGCCCTGACGGAGATCCGCAACCTCTGCTCCGCCCAGGACATCCAGCTGCCTGAGGACGCAGAGGGCGCAGAGGAGACCAGCAAGTCGGAGGAAGCCAAGGATCCGGAAGACGCCAAGAAGTCCGAGCCGGCCAGCCGCCTGCAGCCCGAAGACAGCCACATCCTGTTTGACCAGGCGCTGATCGAGCAGGCGGTAGCGCAGATGGTCAGTGAGCAGCCCGAGACGCAGCGCACGCTGGCCGACATCGACTTCAGCACCGCCGCCCTGACCCACAGCACCCGCGCCTTTACCTTCCTGGCCGCCTACGGCAAGCCGCCGAAAGCGCCGCACGCGCATCCAGTACAGCCCGCGCCTGGCCAATGAGCGCGCCACCTTTGGCAAGTCGCTGGCCACGAAGCTCGAGCGCAAGCGCACCGAGCAGGAGGTGTTTGAGCGCGAGCGCCAGCAGCACCTGGACGAGTGGCGCCGCAAGCAGGAGCGCGAGCAGTCCCAGCGCCGCGACCAGGAGGAGCGCCAGCGCCGCGAAATGCTGGAGCGCGAGGCCAGGATGCTGCGCGAGACCGAGCAGCGCAATGCGGTGCTCAGGCAGGAAATGGCCGATGCTGCCCTGCGTGCGGCCACTGAAGCTCCCAAGGCACGTGCCCGCAAGCAGAAGGACGACGGCTTTATTTCCGACACCGACGATGCCGAGCCCGTGGCCCGGGCGCCCGCCAGCAAGCCCCGCAAGCGCAAGCCTCACGACGAAGACGTGGTGGATGCCGAAAAGCTCTTCCCGGACGCTCGCCCCGTCTCCAAGAAGGCCCTCAAGTCGAAGAAGCAGCGCCTGGAAGATGCCAAGGCCGACGACTACGGCAAGTACAAGTCAAAGGCCATCATTACCGACTCTGACGACGATCTGGACAACGACACCCTGTCTGGCCGCCCGGGCGACGTCACCCCTGAGCCCAGAGACTCGCCCATGCCGTCGCACGACGCGCGCCCCAAGGCTATCATCGACTCTGACGACGAAGCCTAGTTTTTTTTTTCACCTTTCTTCATTTTCCTCTTTCCACCAGTCTTCCAGGAACACGTCATAAGCCCTTGCCCAGCTATCTAAATAACCGATGTTGCACGCGAGGCGCAGTTCCGCGATTTACCACATTGACAAGTGCACCGTTACCGCGTGGTCTCCCATTGACCGATGCAACAACCCCTGCAGCATATGTCATACCGACATAATTCTTCCTCTATCACGTTGACTGATAAATGACGTAGGCGGATGAATCGCGTGCTTTCGCCATACAATCGCCACCACATGCGTTGCCTCTACAAATGAGGGAAAGACAAGCAAAAAGGAAATGCAGAACATAACCGCGTGCCCCTGTCACCCCATCCCCCTTTTTCTCAAAATACCCTCATACCATGTTTCCATGCTCCATTTCTGCATTATAAAACTCAGACTCTGCCCTTCTAGCTACTTCCGCCATCCCTCGTCCCTCGATATTTTCCACTACAATCCACTTAATAAAAGTGAACTCTCGTATGCCATCGCTCGTTTTCCCTGCCATGCGTCTCTACCACGCCCACGGCAACTATGTCTGCCAGCAGTGCGGTGCTACCTTCAAGATCGAAAACTCCTATTGGGACCATATGATCCTCGTCCACTACGCCGGTTCCGAAAACAAATAGCACCAATTTTCTCTTGCATATCCTATCAGACTGTCTAAAAAATTTCATTTCATAAACCACAATGAGCGTCTAGAAGAAAATGCAGGAGTGAACGAAATTGCTACTGAGCCCAGTAGTCCCATCCGCGCTGCAGATACCCATCCGAAACTGAATCGCGCTTGCGTAAAAGCTGGTAGTTCCAGCAGGGTTCTTCAAGCGTTGGCTCTTTGCCGGACTCGCCGCGCAGGCTAAAGTAGTCCCTGCCACGAGCCCGGACTGCTTGCTTGTCCGATCTGGCAACTGCCAAAACCGGCCGATCGCGCTGACTGAAATAGTCCCATCCGCGTGGATTACCGCTGCCCTGGCGATCGCAATGGGCTGGGTAGTTCTGGGTGCTTGACACATCAAGACCTGTGGCAGAATCATGCTGGCGCTGCGCCTGGTTGTCCAAGCCCAGTGCCTTTGGTGCAACATATTCGAGAGCAGGAGCAATACCCAGCGAAGCACTGGCAATATCAGCAACTGGAAGGGCTGCTGCCAACGAAACAGCCGCAGTGAAAACAGTGGTGATCGAAACGGTAAATTTGGTGATATTCATGATCGAGGAGTATCGTGGCAAACAGCTTTAGTGAACGGATAACGAAGTGTACTTGTGGATAAGATGTTCGGCAAGACGGAGAGGAATGGACACAAAAGAACTATCTGCTGCTTGGCAATGTTTGCTTCTCATATGTGGCCTTCGTTGTGCTCTTTTATATATCCCTTGCTTCGAGCTTCGAGCATTTCTCAAAAAAAAAAACCCCCCCTCAATACATCTGAAGTCCATTTGTCAGCGACACCTACAGCGATTACTTTGAACGACCATGGGCTTTTTCAAGATACCCTGATACACCCCAGTTTTCCTGCTCTAGTACTTCACATCCAGTGCCTACATGGCACAGTATTGGCGATTCTAGTTTCCTTGCACAAACAGAAAGCTGCCTTTTTGTTAAGTTTCGGACCAGTGTCATGTTGATCATCTAATAAATTGCTATCAGTCGCCGATTGACACCAGTTCATGAACTGTTTTTTCACCAAAGGGGCCCATGCCCCGGTAATCACTCAATGCTGTTCAACCGCTACCATGTGTTTGCATTTGAGAAGCCAGTGAGAATGTGGAGAAATGCAACCACCTATTTGTGAAGTCTGTTCAACCACCATTAGCGTTTTGGATTGGTCTAACATAATTTTCACTCACAAATCTGTGAATAAACGGACACTGCGTTTCATGAATCCCAGAAATGCTCTCCCCATGAAACTCCCTAGTTGCTGAACTATGTTTATAGAGGCTCTTTCTACCCTCACCTTTGAAATTTCACCAGTATTTTAAGAATGAATGAACAGCTTACATAGTATGGATAAGGGCTGAAAGCAGTTCATAGTTACTCATGCAGCCAGTATAAGAATGAAGTTGATTATATAATTCATTACTCAACATATATAGATCAGAAGAAAGCCTCATAACTACCTCCAAAAATCCCTTACTAATATCTATTAGTATGCCTATGACTATCAGCTTAGAAAAGCATATCTAGAAAGTTGGGTGGTTAAAATGATCAAGGTGTGAGGAGGGGTAGGACTAGTTTGCATATAAACTAGAGGCATATTCTATCTGCCAGCTGAAGACAAAAAGTAGTACTCTGAGGAGGGTTAGATCTGGGGAGTAATAAGGTATAAGAATATATAAAAATAAAGTAGGTAGTAAGGCATATATACTGGAGCTTGCTACCATCAAGCAACAGCCATTTGATATGGCTTGGCTCATCTCATAGGGTAAGCCAGTAGAATTTCTTAGAATGATAGAGGTTAAGTATAGAAACTGCTACAAAATACGCGTCGCAACTCCTGCTGAAATCGAGGATAAAATGGGCGCTCTATTCTTTACAATCTCTACTTTCTGAGCAGCTTTGCAAACCAAACTAGCATCTTCGCTCAAACGATTACAGAGAAAGCAAAAAATAGGCAAAAGAATGGAGGACCTGGGTATCGATCCCAGTGCCTCGCGCATGCTAAGCGCGCGCTCTCCCATTTGAGCTAGACCCCCTGAATTGAGGAATCCGATCCAATAATGAATCCGAATTACTTCCCAATTTCTGATGTTATCGCTCGGCGGGAGTGATAATATGCTAGCAAAGGAGCTAGCGTCGGAAGAGCTCGAACCGGAGCTCAGACGTCGGGGAGAGAAGGTCGGGATTGTAACGGGTTATATTTGGAAACAGGTTCTGAGTCAAGGAATATTCGGGGGCTTGTTGTTCTTGTCTTGTCCTGTCGGTCTGACTTCTCCATATATATGGAGTAGTCAACGAGTGTCTTGGCTACGCTTTAGGTGTAGCATATACGATAGGAATTCCTGTGTTAGGATCCGTAAGAGGAGCATAAAGGGCGGACTTGTTCCGTAGACGAGGCAGTGTACTTGTGTTTATATTGCGAGTGGAACCTTGTGCGTGTGTGACGTTGTCTTGGCCCGGGTCTTGATCTTGATCTTGATCTCGCAGGTGGGCTTCGTCATGTTCATGCTCATCCGAGTTGAGCATAACACTGATTGTTATGCCCGTCGTTGACGATCATGAACATGTCGCTGATACGCTCCTAGATCAAGATCAAGATCAAGACATACGAGACCCATGATTGCCCCGCATCTCTTCCTCTGTCTCAGTTTCAAGTCCACAAGACCAGTCTCATAGCCATGTGACAAGGGTCGACCCAGTCACTGGGATTCCTATTGTCTATGCAGCCCTGAGACCTTAGCTCAAGTGTGCATCGGTATATATAAGTACACATCTTATACATGCACATGGAGAGAAGGATAACTCTGATCCTGTCTTTGACTTTGATTTCCTGAATACAATAATCTCTGACTCAAGCTCTTCTTTCCATTTGGCTCAATCATTATCACCTGGGCCAGGTAATAACACAATGTTATGTTAGTGGCAGAGGAAGCAACAGAGTAGAACTTGGGGCTGGATGAACTACTTGCAGACATATCTGAGTCAGGTACTAGAGCAGGAGGATGGAGTCAAGGGATCTTATCAGGTTCAGGTGAAGTTTAAATAAATGGTATTCAAACTCAAAAACAGGAGGGAAACAGGTTGAAACAGAATATATGAGTAGGGAACTCTAGTAGACACTGGATAATGAATTGTCTTGGAGTCTTGTCAAGTTGAAGCATATATATGCTTTGATGCACTAGTGTCTTGCTAGTGATATTGCATTGCATGAATGACAGGAATACCAGTCACTGGTCTTTGCAGCATAAAGGTACTGCATTGTTGTACTATGTGTGGACTTGGATCTATGGGAGCTGGGTCAGGGGATATTGTGGGAGTTCAAGCTGAGTCATCATGTTCATGCTCATCAGATTCAAGCATAACACCAATGTTATGCTCAACTCAGATAGACAT